AGAAATCGAAATGCCCAGGAGTTTGAAGAGGAATTTCCAGAAGCAGCTGATGCCATAATGAACTACCATTACATGGATGACTACCTCGATAGTTGTGATAATAAAGATGCAGCAGTTGAAAAAATAAAAAATGTCATTGAAATCCATAGAAGAGGAGGTTTCACTATATGCAATTGGAACTGCAACTCAAAACAAGTCCTAGATAGTATTCCAACAAAACTTAGATCAAATGAAAGTAAGACTTCAAATCTAGAACTTGAACCAGCATATGAAAGAGTGCTAGGTCTACATTGGAACCCAAATCATGACGATTTTTGTTTCAAACTGAAATTTCATACAGTGAGTACAGATATAATGGAAGGAGAATGTTTACCAACTAAAAGGCAACTCTTGAAGATCGTAATGTCGATTTTCGATCCTCTTGGTTTCGCGGCTAACATTCTTATTTATGCTAAAATCCTTATGCAAGATTTATGGAAGAAAAAAATGGGTTGGGACGAAAAGTTACCTGTAGATTTTCAAGCTAAATGGGAAAAATGGAGAAGAACAATCCTCAAAATTGAAAGTTTGCGAATACCAAGACAATTTTCGCAGATTTTTTATAAACAATCATCTGTCCAACTTGATATATTTTGCGATGCGAGTGAACGAGCCTACTGTGCAATTGCCTACCTGAGGATAGAAAATGAAGGAAAAGTTGATATAGCTTTGATGATGGCTAAAACTAGAGTAGCCCCTCTTAAACCTCTATCCATACCAAGGTTAGAATTACAAGCAGCCGTGCTCGCAAGTAACATTTCAAAATTCATCGAAAACAATTCACGAATAGATTTCTACAGAGAATATTACTGGTCTGACTCAAAGACGGTCTTGTATTGGCTAAGAAGTCATGCAGGAAGATTCAAACAATATATCTCACATAGAGTCGCAGAAATACAGACTAATACAAATATAGAAAATTGGAGATGGATAAGCAGCAAGGAAAACATTGCTGATGAAGGTACGAAATGGTCAGTTGAGCCAAAAGTAGGCACTGAATCTAGATGGTTCCAAGGACCCCCATTTTTAAAGCTTCCTGAAGAAGAATGGCCAAAAGAAGAATCATATATACCGGAAATCAAGAAAATGGAAAAAGAATTGGAAATTCGCAAGGAATGGGTAACACTCACTATAGAGAAAAACACAGGTCTCCCTGATGTATCAAGATTTTCTAATTGGACAAGATTGATACGAGCCACCGCATACATCCTGTTTTTTCTCGAGAAATTACGTAAAAAGGGCAATTCTGAATATCTTTTACCAGAACATATAAAGAAAGCAGAGGTCTTATGGTATAAGGATATCCAAAGGAATAGCTTTCATGAAGAAATAATGAATTTGGAACGTGAAAAATGTGTAGAAAAATCAAGTCGAATCTATCAGCTAACCCCTTTCATGGATAATTATGGAATAATAAGAATGCAGGGAAGGATTAGTTTAGCAGAGGTTGCTGATGAAGATATGAAAAATCCCATAGTTTTGGACTCGAGAACATCATTCACAAATCTTTTGGTAAAACATTTTCATGAAAACAATAACCATTTAGGACAGGATTACATAATAAACCAGATACGTCAGAAGTTTTGGATTTTAAATTTACGAGGAATAGTCAGAAAAATTGCAAAACAATGTATTGTATGCAAGAAGAACAAAACAAAACCAGAAATTCCCATCATGAGTGAGTTACCAAAGTGTAGGTTAGCAGCATACGAACTACCATTCACATACACTGGAATGGACTATTTTGGGCCCCTTGAAGTGACCGTGGGAAGAAAGCGAGAAAAACGCTATGGTGTACTCTTTACTTGTTTGACAACTAGAGCAGTACATATCGAGCTAGCAAATAGTTTGGACACTAATTCAGCTATTCTTGCGATAAGGCGAATGATTTCCAGGCGAGGCAAGCCAATGCACATTTATTCTGATAATGGTACTAACCTTAAAGCAGCCGAGAAAGAGTTGAAGCAAGCATTGAAGGAATTGGATGATACAAAAATAGGCGAAGCACTAACTAATAGACATATCACATGGCATTTCATACCACCAGCTTCACCACACATGGGCGGCAGCTGGGAGCGATTGGTCAGATCTATAAAAACTTCATTGCATGCAGTTTTAACAGAGAGAGCACCAAAAGAAGAAATATTGAAAACGTTATTAGTAGAAGCCGAAAATATCGTAAACTCAAGACCATTAACTCATGTATCTTTGGATCCAAAAGACATGGAGTGCTTAACACCGAACCATTTTTTAATAGGGACAAATAATCGGACAGAGTCGCCAGGAGTATTTGAAGAAAAACATGTGTCATTGCAAAGACAATGGAGAGTTGCTCAACAATTAACAAATATGTTTTGGAAGAGGTGGGTGCAAGAATATTTACCAGAATTAACGAAAAGGACGAAATGGTATGATTCAAATGTTGAACCAATTAAATTGGGTGAACTAGTTCTGGTCGTCGATAATAACGCACCACGAAACACATGGCACATGGGCATCGTAACCAGACTATATCCCGGAAGAGACGGACAAACCAGGGTTGTTGATGTGAAAATCAACAACACTATCTACAAGAGGCCTGTAGCGAAGTTATGCAGACTGAAGATTGCTAATGACGAAGATCCTGTATGATTCAGTAATCATACGAGGGGGAGAATGTTGGATAGTTTACTTTACATCCTGTATATCAGTTTACCCTGTATACAGAATATGTTGTTAACGAGGAGTTGAATCAATAGTTCAGTTGTTAATTTTCGATTAATATAATAATCGTTAAAAATATAGTCTTTATTTTAGACATTATAAGCTACAGTTTTATAAGCCAACCTTTAAGCCAATATCAGTCATTACAGCATTAATAATATCTCGGTTAGAGTATGGGTCAATTGTTTGGTCACCCTTTTATGAGAATCACTGCACTACATTAGAAAGAGTTCAACATAAATTCATGAGATTCTGTGCATATAAAATGAACATTCGTATAGATAACTATGACTATACCTCTATTATGAACATTCTCAACCTCAACTCTTTGAATAAAAGAAGAACAATTGCTGACCTGATGTTTATGTTTAAGTTGATTGGAGGCCTTGTTATTTGTCCTGAGCTCCTTGAAATGATATTTTTACATGTACCTAGTAGAATTCTCAGGAATTCGGATATGTTTCGAATTTCCTTTCATCGTTCTAACTGAGATGCTTTTAACTATGGTATGCATTCTCCTATTGATCGTACACTCAGATTGGTGAATGAGAAAAATATAGAGATAACAGGCATAACTCTTACTGCATAATGTATTGAGAACATTATGAGCATCATTATCACATAATATAAGTTTCATTTTGTATAATCAATAGATATGGACATTTTGGTATATAATTTTCACTGAGGGAGTAATTTTTCCATCTATTTTCATATTTATAATGTATACTATAATTATTAATTAGTTAAACTCTTTCAGTGACTACATAGATTTAATACATGATTTGTATTTATTATAATGGGGGTTACCCGTACAATAAATAAAATAAAATAAAAAAAGATGCCATAGCTTTTAGGGTTATCCGACAAAATTTCGAGTTTTTCGACTTTGACATTGACCTCATGTTTTAGTAGCGTCAACTGGTGAGAGTGAACATTTTAGCCCTTGTGACAATAATAAATCCAATTTCAATGGGGAATTAGGTTGCCTGAAATTTGGTTCGCTGCACCTGTTGCATACTTCATATTTTTGTGGATTGAAATGAAAATGAAATGCAAACAAAAATTTTTAAAGAATTTATTAAATAATTGTACAAGTTGTACCAACATCAATTTTATTAATGTTATTCATTATATACAGCCATATAATATATTAAAATAGTTTTATGCAATTAAACTCGATGTTATCATTGACAATTTTGAGTGTTTGCAAATTATTCTTCATCATTGAACGATATTTTTTAATACTGACCGATACCAACAACAATAATTCAATATTTTTCTATTTTGATAAAAATTTTATATGAAATTTTGTACAAAAGTAATGATGAAACGAATAAGTCGCAAATCACAGATTACTTTTCTCCTTGGAGCAATACAGAGAGATTTGCGCCGAGGAGGACGCGTTAAATAAATAATTCAAAACAATAACTAACACTGGATTGTAGTACGAAATTTACAGATTCATATAATATATAAATATAGTACTATGTACACATCGGAATATATACATAGCGACCCCCCTACTAACAGAAAGTGATGTGTTAGCACTCAGCAGTCAATTAATTTTAAAAATTATTAAACAAATTGTACTCGGAAGAAATAGTAAAACATTCATTAGAAGTACCTGCAATAAGAGAATCAACAACATAAAACAAATTACAAAAATTCTTAGGAAGAGATACTAACTATATCAGCTACATTAACATCACTGTTTTTCTAACAACCCCAATGGTGTTCTTAATTCTATAAAAATAATAAAAAAACCGCTCTACTTTCGAAAACACGAGATCACCTCTTAAATAATTTTGTACTTTTACATATTCACACAACATTGACTTACTTTCCTCCAACTGAGTATTCAATTGAAAATTAATTACATTTTTTCCTATTTACAATGAGATTACTATGTGCAATTATGTAAATCAATGTTGCATTCAAAATATAATTTAAAAAATCAACGATTATCTAATTATCTCTTACGAATAATGTTTTATTTACAATGTGAATATATTTTACCGTTGATATCTACAAAAAGTCACTGAAAAAAAAAACGAACCCAATAGAAAAAAAAATCAATAATAATTTTACATCACTGGAGAATTTACTAACTTGTAGACATCAATGTACATTCATTGAAAAATAAACTCCGAAAATTAAACAACTTATATACACTGTTCTTACTATACTTAATACTTTCATAAATAATGTGTTCCTTGAATAATTGCACTCTCCGAAACCTATCAAAATGTTCTTCAATTTTATGATTCACCACTGGATTCGGCCTTCTCTAAATTGGGAGGTGGAGAAGGATTTCGTCCTTCGTAACGCAATTCATCATCTACAAAAAAAATTCAGATTAGCCATTAGGAAACCCCCTTTCCCCAAACTATCTCCTGAATTTTTTTCATGTCTATTCACGATGTCAAAATACTACATTTCCGTGATAACTTCACCAGACAGGGAAAGTAAATTGTAATTGTTTAACATGGAAACGCGACTGAGAGCTGCCACCAGTAATCAGAGTACATGTTTCAAAAGTATATTCATCATTATTCATATTATTTTCAATTTTGGGAGTTTAGCATATTTCATTTGGAGAGATAAAGTATAAAGTGACTGTACGTTTCTTATTGGGGCGATTCGTTGATTCACCAAACATATACACCACAATAAATTACATTTCATATCCATTAAAAAAAAATCCAATAATAACTCTATAGTAGGAGAGCCCAAGCGAGGATTTTGGAATCTACTCGAGCGCGGAAGAATAACATAGGGGTGGGGGTAATCTTGTACTATGTGAAGTAATCCCACCATTCCTGGGATCATTATATGGTGTCGAACGTCTATGGTAGCCGATCAGATTAGTAAAAAAACATGGATCGTTGGAAAAACTCGAGCGCGTTAGATTGAGGCAAGTTAATGACATGCAAAAAGTGTGCATTTCAATAATCTGACGATTTGAGCTTGGCATGAGTAAATAGGAGAGCCACAAAGTTGTAAAAAATAAACGTCACCTGGATATTCGCGAGAGAGATTGATTTTTCATTTATTTTGAAGGAACACCGAAATAACATAATCTGCTGATTAGTACAAGCCGAAGTAGCAGAAATCTACAATTGGGTTTGCGTGGGTGGAGGCGCTAGTAACTATGTTTTTCCCACTTCGCGCTACGCTGTTCTTCTCACTCTTTCTTCATCTTTCACTCTCTCGCTGTTGTAATGATATACAGGGTGTTCCATTTGAAAAAACGAAGTTGCTGGCATTTCGAGCAAACCCGGAAGTTCGCCATATTGGACTGTGATATGATCAAATCCGTCTACGAGTACAGAAGTTACAGGGGTGGCCCGATACCCTCTGTCACCCGGTATGTCAACATGAGCTTTTTATCTTAGGATTGTAAATTCTTCTGAGCTGTTGTTTACATTCAGTAAACAAAAAAAAATCCAATCGTCAGATTAAGGAAATTCCTCTACATAATTGTCAGATCATCAAGTCAATACGACAAGGACATTAGGATGACGCGTCTGTATAATAATCCGACGCGCTCGAGTATTTCAAGGTCACTTTTTTTTTAAATTTTCAAAAATTGGTCAAGACTACTTGAGGGTTCACTCAACATCCCTTCTTAATATCTGACGCAATCGAATAATTTTTTTTAACCTATTCTCTTCCCCCTTCGTACGGCCACCCCATGCCACCATGCAAACCGGCAGATTAATATTTTTTGGTTATCAGAAACACGTGGGTCGAATACACTATCAATATCTGAAGCGCTCGAGTATTTCTTTGTGACTGTTTTTTTTTTCATTATTGAAAACCTCTACACGCTTCCTCCACCAGTGAAAAGGCATAACTCGTATAAACTTTTTTTCCTTTTTAGCATCTTATCTTCGTAAATATTTAGCCTATTTGCCTCCTCTACTAGAATACACCATTTGGTTTGCTATTTTAGACCAAAGAAATCATTTTCATCAGTATAGTGAAATTTACAGTCCTATATTAGTTGATGATATGATAAAAACAACTGACATTATCTAGTAGATAATATCTACCCGCTCTAAAATGCTCTGAATTTGATTTTAATTCCAAATGTCACTTATCTGACAGCTCTCAGACTTTCAACGACACCAATTAATCATTCACAGAAAGTACGACGCGGACTTGGAAAAATGTATTATATACCTTGGTTAATAATCACTATTTTCAACCCTTTCTATAGAGGGTTCAGGCAGAATGCGATATTCCAAATTTAATGGAATAATTGATACTTCCAATTTACTAAACAAAATACAATATTTGAAAACATACGAACACACCACAAGAAATCACACCTCTCCATATAACACTATTTTCAATATGCCCTATTAAAGTACCAGAATGGCAAGAGGCGGATTCATGCACAGCGTTGCTTTCTCATTAATCTGTAAATTCACAATTATTAAGGTTTTCACCAAGAAGTTTCAACCATTTATGCATCCAAAGTAATTTTATTCTTTTTTTCAGTTATTCTTTTATTCTGCCACAACTAATTTCTTCCTGTTATTTTTTCAAATAGGGTTATAAATTCGAGTTGACTGTTCATTGAATTTGTATATATCGTTGACAACATGCGAAACACGAAACATCCACTTCTTCTATGTGCATATGCATATGAAGTCTCTGTGGAACAGCAATATTTTCATTAGGTCAAGTACTGTAAGGAGTTTTATTCGATTATGAAGAACAGTTGGAAGTTGAGGAAAGTGGTGTATAAATGAGTCCATAAATTTATCAAATTCCTTGGGTGAAAATTAACTGATCGACAGTTAATCGGGTCGATTCTGTTCGGATCTTGTTATAACATTGCTAAGATAATAATATTGTAATGATCATAACATATAACAATATTGCTATGAAGTTCTGTATTCTGTTTGCAGAGTAACTGTAAGACTGGTTATAAGTTCAAGTGATAGCAATATTGTTGAGAAATTGAGAATTTTTGAGCTGACAACACTGTTTTCAACTCATTGTTTCCGTGTTATGTATCGATTAAGCCATAATTTCATGAAGAAGAAGAGTTCATGATTATCTAACCTCTAAAATTAGTCACTCCTGCACTAATATTTTACAAAATTATATTGTTCAAATCGAGAGATTTTGTATTTGCTGATTCTGGTCGTCGTTGTGCGACTGGTGCAAGTAATCAATCATGTCCCCGAAATGAGAAAACAACTAAAAGCCGGATGAAACAAATCGTGATTTTTTTTTAAATATTCTAGCAAAATAGCTTGAAAAACTATCCATCAGGCAACCGAAATTTCTCTGATATGCCGAAAATGTAGTCTCATATTTCCTCTACAAATTGGAACTTCAAGAAAAGGTTTTCAAGTAGTTGGTCACAGTAGTGAACCTATCCTATATGTTTGTAATCACCATTCCAAGTTTTTCAATAATTCTTCTACGAATTGAAACTTTGAGGAAAGGTTTTCGAGTAGTCAGTGACAAAACTGAACTCTCATATGTTTTTAATCCACTATTTTCTGAATTTTCATACAGTTGGAAGAATTTGTAGTGCAAAAACAAAGAATCCACTACCTTGTTATACGATAGCAAGCACAAAATTGATGTTGCCGAGATAGCAAGAAAGCTGACCAATGTCATTGAAATTGACAGATCATATTACCAAAAATCGATGATTAGAATTCTACTTTTTCGAATCTTGTTATGATAGCAATATCTTCTCCACAACCATATTGCTATTTGCAAACAGAATCGACCCGAATGAAAGCAACAGATCAATGATGAAGTAATTGTGTCATAAATCCACCGTAACATAAATTCAATTCACTTGAAGTTCCTTAGTATACAGATTGTAGTCTGGCTTCTGAAAGATTACCGCAGGAAAGAATGTGTGCACTTCAACTTGCTGTCAATATAGGCATAACATACACACATATAACACAAGAAATCTTTCTCAAATTGAACTGCCAGCTATCAAAACCCTAACTGGAATGAGTTCCATATACTGTCATGGCATGAAATGTTATAATAATATACCAGGATATCTGAAGCATCTACCACTGAACCAATTCAAGTCTCAGATGAAAAAAGTCTCCAGGGAAGGGAAGGGGACAAGGAGAAATTATATGTGAATGTAAGTCATTACCTTCTTTTTGTGTTTTTCAGTGAACTGCTGAATATTTTTTGTGATATTAATTTTTAGGGGTGAAAAATCAAATGATTTGTACTTGGTATGTTATGTATGTAATGACAGTGTATGAGTTGGTAGACGACTGCATAGTGTCCCTTCATAAACTTGTACTAGTTTTTAAGGAGTGATAAAGGAACAAAAATTAAAATCTTAAGCAATTGATAGAAGTGATTGTATCAGGTCAAAATTGCAGTCAGCCATATCGTTCATGACTTGATGAAATCGACGTCATCTGCAGAACCGAATAATTGTTCAGATACTCTAGAATCCGAGGGTTAAACGCCTCCATCCTTTCTCTTTCATCTTCTTCTTCTTCGTTGGCGCGTCGAACTATAGTAACATCATGAAATATTTCAGATGTTACCTATCTCTAGGTCATTAGGAGTATTTCGGATCTTCATTTTCTGACAAACATCGTTGACATATGTTATTAATATTATGTGAATTGCATGTAAATGGCTGATTTGGCAAGAAATGAAATAATCTGTAGTGTCATGGTGGTTTTCAAGAGTTGAAACTCATTTTCAAATATCAGAATGTATTCACAGGTTTACCTGGCAGGAGGATCTCCAATTTATAGCAGCAATAATGATCCTGTTGTAACAAAAATCAAGGATGTTTGCAATGTTTACTGCACACTACTTTTTCAAAAGGCACACATTTTTAGTTTCCTAAAGTTCAAAAATTAACTGCGTAAGTTTATAAGTTGTAAATGTGCAGATGAAATCAATTTTTGAACTGCTGTAACCTGAAAGGACATGAGTTGTCAGCATTCGGGTAAGATATAAAATGGAATATATTATGAACACAGATATTTCAATCTACATTACACATACTAGCAACAAATGAGCGTAGAAATGAATATATCAACATAACGAGCATAAAAGGTGAATCCTGAAAAAAGGTTACACATGCGATTTTGTGAAATAAAATCTTGAAATAACTGACACTGTCAACCTTAAATTTTAGGTATCCTGTAAAGAAAATCGTTCGAATTTTAATGAAATAATCCATTAATTGTCGAATTCCAATTGATTTTTTTTTCTCCGGTAGGTCTAGAAGGAATTGTGAATTATAGAAGTATCCAGAGAAACTATACTTCATATTATCATTACATAATTATTCCACCTTGTTATGTATTTAAAGTCAATAGAAAAATTCAACTCAACAATGAATAAGTTAACGACCAATCAACTGGTTTTGAAATCACGAATTCTTCAAATTGAAGCAAGACCTCACACAAAGCTAATTGAAGTAATGAACACCATTTTGAGGATAATTGAAGAATTGGAGACCACTATAACCTTTGAAAATATTGCAGTGCTGCATTCTTCCATTATCGAACCTGAAGACCTTCTTCAAGGGTTGCAGTATATTTCCAAACACTTAGATTATGCCATTGCCATGCCATGTACATAAATCCTATCGAAGAAACACGAAAATTGTGTTTATCCTTGAATTTCCAATAATTGTCAAACTTAAAGATTATAACTATTATAACCTATATTCCTTTTCTGTTTAAACAGAACAAAATCTATACCAAATAATAATTCCTGAATCTAAATTTAAAGTCATCCCAGAAGAAGCCATGTGTGCACTTCCGGAATTGACTCCCATCGACACCGTGTGAAGTCTACCTCATCATCTTCACGAAGAAGTGCGAGAATTGCCGACCACAACACATCAAGCTACAAGACTAGGAAATCAGGATGTCAGGATGACGTAACTTTGAGATGCACATTGACCTAAGGTGACTAAGTGCAGATTTCTATTGAGATCATGATTTAGTTTTGTTCATGAAAATGAAAGTACACATTCCATCAATATACAAAGAAAAAAGTGTCAATATGATATTTCACAAACAGTCCTCTACAAGAGTAGGTTGAAGGAACGCCTGCCACTATTCTTAATATTCTTTTTTGCAGAGTAAACACGTCATTAACAGAAGTTGGGTTGCCCCTATTAAGAAATACCATATCATTTTGTAATATATTGCAGTATATCATTCTTTACCTGGCAGACTCTATCAAGTTTGCTTACTAAGAAACCTCAAGTAAATCACTTACTGAAGAAAATATTTCAAGTTGAGTTCAGTGTGACAAGGTACCATGTGTTCACTTCATTTTGTGAAATAATTCATCAAATTCGACCATGCTCAGTGAATAATCTCATGATGTTCAATGATGAATGTGTACTCAGCGAAAATACTTTCCTGTTATTATTATTCACGATTTTGGATCTTCTGCTGGTTTGGAAAGCAAAAAATGGCCTGCCGAATTGAATAGGTTACTTCAATATCGAAAATCATGCAGTTAAGAGTTTTGGTCAATTTATCCAAAGTTTGTCGTCCCTAATGTACCTCGGCATCTTCAGTCTGTAACTTGTCCACAGAACAAGGATCCTATCAGAAGTTCCCTCAATATGGCCAGAGATTACTTACTTCACTGGTCAGCTAGGATTTCTAAAAATATCAAATATAATAACCTAGATTTCCAAACATTTTGACGACCATTTACACCAGAGAATTTACATCTATATACATGAAAATTTTGAAATATGGTGACGAAAGATGAAGCTTAAAAAATACCGGAATGTACCACAAATGTTTTTCTGTTTTGGCACTGAAACTTTAGTCTATAATACTTTATGAGGCTAATGCGTTTTTTTCTTGAAGATTTTCAATTACCTTTACCCGTCCCTACTAATCACGAGATATTTCTAATTCAACATTTCATTCTCCACAAACAGCATTTACGAAAAAAAAAATATATCAAAATCGACTCGGCTCTAAAATAGCTCCCAAAGTTATTCAAGTAACATTGTAATCTCCAGAATCATAGTAAGTAAGAGAGTGGGACTCACCTTATCAAACAAATAACTTCCAGACAGAATAAGATCAGATATGAGGAAATACATAATTACAGTATAGGTTAACATTTCATCATTCAAAATTTATCAACAACTGTAAAATGACGAACAAAGAACCATATTTGTAGAAAAATATTATTTCTAATTTTATCCAAATTGTTCAGAAATATTTATCCAAATTCTTCAGAAATAATCAGTTTTTTCACATTATTTTTGAATGTACCTGTATTTCTGCAGTTTTTTATACTGATATGTAGTTTATTGTAATCGGTTAAGACTGCATGAGTGATTCTTTTTTGTCCCAGTATGGAGCTAGCGGCGTCAATGTGAATCAAGTAATATTGTCTAGTTTCATGATTATGAATTTCAGAATTCCGTATCAAAATGATAGTAGACTGGTGCCAGGAATACAAACATTTTTAAGAAAAATGCCCAGACAGCATTTTGGTATCGTGAGCGACTGTCTAGTGAGTTTGAACGCTCGGATATTGGTTGATAACGCTTTCAAATTGGTGTGAAGTTTGAGATTACCTATTGATAGTAGGATAAATCTTTACGAATTTGTAAGTAGCAGAGGGAGAAAGAGAGGGAGGAAGAGAGGGAGAAACAGTAGAAGAGTGAGAGAAAGAGACAAAGAAAATGAGATTTTTTTTTCGAAAAGTTACACTCTTTTCATTTACTCATCAACAGCATTTCAATCTGATTATGTTCTGTATGATGAATGATATTTGAATCATATTCTTCTACATTGACATTAGTATTGAGGATTTCAATTAATAGTTGTCAAATCTCAATGCAAAGTTGTTGAATAGCATTAATTAAATACGCTCTTTCAAAATTTGGAGGTATTAATCAACTTGAATGTTTTTCTGGATTTGAAAAATCTCATTCTCAAGTGTTCAATCACAATTTGAGTATGGTAAGTCTGTTTGAAGTTGAAAATGTATAGATCGGCAAAATTTCCGGCTCGGGGAAGTGTGCTCACCGGCAATGGACTGACGCGAAAGATCATCTAGGTTAGTCGACAGCAAACATGGCGTCTGGACACTAGCAACTTCCTGAAATAAATGACACACTTACCAATAGTAGAAGAATAATTTGTAAAACTCTCATTGGGATACACCGGATTGTTGAAAGGCGGAACGTAGCTGACACTCTCTGCCTCCTCGAACGCAGGCTCACTCGGAACCACAGCCACCTCCTCTTCCTCCTCCTCTTCTTCTTCTTCCTCCATGCCTTCCACCTCCTGCCGACCCGGAGAAACCGGGTTCGGTTGTGCGTCTGTCGACCCCTCAACTTGGTCGATCGCTTGCGATTCCTCTGTCGCGGGGATATCCTCGGTCTCCATCCTTTCGACTTTGGTCTCCTCAACCCCAACTTCGGTCTCAGTTTTACAGACTTCGGGCGTTTCCAAGAGTTGTTGGGGGGGATCGAGTGGAGGGCCGTCCGTCGATGAGACTTCGACGGCTCCGGGGATTGGGAACGTCGGGCTCGGGAAGGGAAGGGTGGCCGGTTTCGTTTCCGTCTCCAAATTCACTATGGTCTCGATGTTTAACGCTGTAACTGAAACGATAAATACATCATTTCAACACGAACTGAAGTGTTTCGAAAGATACAGGTGTCTTTTGCAACCAGGGTTACTATCTAAATTCATCTGGATCTTGGAACTGAATGTTTTAAAAATCCATGCATCGGAAATCATATCTAGCGATGTCTAAAGGTATGTTCATACATGTACGAATTCCGCAAAATTTATTCGAATAAAATGGCGACTGCGAATACCGCAACTGATGATCCACAGTTATTCACAGATGTTAATTATCTTCCACCTATCGGAAAATCAGATCATGTAGTTTTGAGCACATCTATTCAAATCATTACAGGATCAGTTCCGAGTCAACGGAAAAAAGTTAAAAAGTATATTGACTTTCATAAGGTTAATGAATCACTTTCACTCATGGACTGGGACGTTTTATTGAGTGGAGATGACGTGAATACCATATGGGAGACTTTTCACAATACTACAAATATCATATTAGAACAGAATACACCAATCAAAACATTTTCGGAAAATAGACTCAAACCATGGATTAACGACAACATCCTCACACAGGTAAAACGAAAACAGACATTATGGAAAAGATTCAAAAGAACAAGAAACGCCAACGATTATCACACTCACAGACGTTTCTCAAATACACTATCTGAATCGATAAAGAATGCTAGAATTTCATATGAAAGGAATCTATCAAAATTTGAAAACTCCAAGAAGCTTCACAAGTACATAAGATCACACCTTAGTTCTAGAGTTAGTATACCTATGTTGAAGAAGACGGATGGTGACATATGCAAAGACAACAAAGAAGTCGCAGAAATGATGGCAAGTACTTTCACAACATCCTTTAACATTGAACCTGAATTACCAAATACAATCACGATTAACTCCGTACGCAACCAGGACAACCTTTCCAATATAAATTTCCCTCCGTCAAAAATTCTGGACAAAATTGGAAAACTAAAATCATCCTCCTCCCCAGGCATCGATGGCATCACTGTCCTGTTTCTAAAAAGATGCAGCGAAAATCTAGTCTATCCACTAAGTAAAATTATGAACCGTTCATTCAAAAACTGCTGCTTACCAAATAGCTGGAAGTTAGCATCTGTAACACCAATATTCAAAAAGGGTAACAAGCTCGACCCAAGCAACTACAGACCTATAAGTCTCACTTCAGTGGCTTGCAAAATCATGGAATCAATAATAAGTGATGAATTAAAAACTTTCCTGTTATATCACAAAATAATTCCGCAACAACAACATGGTTTTGTTCCAAATCGGTCAGTTACAACAAACTTATTGGAGTGCGTGAATGTCTGGTCAGAACATTTGGACAATAATACCCCTATGGATATTATTTATCTAGACTTTTCTAAAGCATTTGACCATGTCCCTAGAAAAAGACTTTTGTGTAAATTAGAACATTTTGGTGTACGCGGGCTACTACTGACGTGGATCCAGAATTTTCTAGAGAACAGATATTTTTGTGTTCGGATAGATGATTGCTTCTCTGACCAATATCCTGTATTGAGTGGAGTTCCCCAAGGATCTGTACTTGGTCCTCTGTTGTTTTTGTGCTACACATCAGATTTATCACATATTTTTAAGTCAACCTGTTCTTTTTACGCTGATGACACAAAACTTTACAACAACACAAAATCACAACATATATTGCAAAATGACTTGATTGCCTTATACAACTGGAGTTGTGAGTGGTTACTACCACTGAATATTGATAAATGTGTTGTACTTCACCTTGGTAAAAATAATCCTAGACAAAATTATACCATCAATGATGAGCAATTAGTTGAGGTTGAATGTCACAATGATCTTGGAGTTACCATAACCAGCAATTTAACGTGGTCACAACATATTTCAAACATATGCAAACGAGCGAATACAAAATTGTACCTCTTGAAAAAAGTTTTTCCGAAAACGTCACCTGAAACGTTCACTAACCTCTACAAAGTTCATGTTAGGCCAATCCTAGAATATGGAGGACAAGTGTGGAGCCCGGAGTTGATCAGAGATCGTAACATGTTGGAATCTGTGCAACAACGAGCAACCCGAATGTCCTTCGGTCTCAGAAGACCATCATACCATGAACGTTTGAATCAGTTAAGCCTGACAACATTCGAAGATCGAAGACATCGTGGAGACTTGATCCTAACTTATCGGATTCTTCATGGATTTCTACCCTCACTGAGTGATATGTTCCAGATAAACGATGATACACGATTAAGAGGACATAATTTTAAACTTAAGAAGGAACATTTCAGGTCGTCAAATCGGCAGAACTTCATAGTAAATCGTGTTTTCTCGGCATGGAACAACCTGGATACAGACATAGTTAATGCACCCTCAGTATCATCATTCAAAAGTCGATTAGATCGTATTACTGAGTAAATTGTTTTTGTTTTTTTTCAGTTTGCATCGCATTATATCTGTCTATTTTATTTCGAAATGTTCAATTTCTATTCAACATTTTCAATTGTTTTTTCAATTTCATTTTTAATCTAATTTTTTGTCTAGTAGCTATTTACATATATATATATATATATAATATTTCTTTATGTGTACCATACAACTATGTCATGTATAAATGGGCTTTTATAGGTTCACACCTCAGCCCATTATCACTTTTTAATAATAATAATAATAATGAAGTTGAAATATTTGAACTTTTTTACGAATTCGGATGGAATCATAACCACACAGTATGCATAAAGTGTGTTGTTATTTTTATTATTGTAATTATTAGGGAGCGAACAGCAGAGGCCGAAAAAGACGAGACTAGATACTAGACTACAGGTAAGGACAGAATTATAATTAAAAATTTCATCATTTCTTCATTTGATTAAATTTTCTTCGCAGGATGGATTCTCTGGACGAATTGATTTGAATGTATCATTTGTATCGTCTCTATAGAGCTAATGATGTATCCAGAAGCAAAAATGGAGCTGTACTGTTCGAAGCATTTTTAAATGCCGAAAAATATATGGAGATTATTACAGCCTCGTTCGATAAATGCGACTGAATGACCCTTGTTGGATATACACAGTCCACTGTGTACGTCATAGACAAACCAAAAATAAAGAGACTGTTCAAAACATAGGAAATTTTGACCATCAAGTTTGTGCGCAACCCAGTCGCGCATGGAGGCGTTGTTCGCAATCGACAAACGACTCATGACATGAAACAATTCGAATTTCGACTTGCTTGCTAAACCTAATTTTTTTTCAATGACTTTCTCTGTTTATATCATGCTATGAACAGAGACAACTATGGAGAAACATCAACTTTAGCAAGTTCTATTTTAGAACAAAGGAACAGACCTATGGAATACAATATTGTTTATTTTCCGAGTTGATGTTGATACTGAAATTCGCTGAAATTCGAGTTTCTCTTTCACATTTCTTTCACATTTATTTTACTTCATTTCCGAGTTTATTTCTGTTATTGACAACGTGAAATTGATAATATTCATGTAGGTTGCACGTAGGTACATTTTTCTAGAAACATAGGTGATATTTTTTCATTCTAAACTAACCGAAATATTTCACTTGAACTGAACTGAATTAAACATACATTTTATCGAATTGAAGTAGGTATTTCGAAAGAACTCATGTTAACTTATTTCAGTTTTATGTAATATTTCAGTTATATTTCAGATTAAAAGAATATCACAGATGTAAAAGTGTGGTGAGATGTCAGGCAAATACAAGTGTGCAAGGAAGTGTTGAATAGCTTGATAATACCTAAAAATGCCAACAAAAATTGTGAAGACGATGTGAGTACCATATTGGATAATCTCAACTCATTTTTAACTTGCCCAGTGGAGCCAGGGCCATCATCAGTTCTTGTCAATGAGTTGAATGAATTTGTTATTCCAAATTTCGATATTGTGTTTTCTGACTCAGAATTTGACACCCAGGCAACATAATATAGCAGGACAGAGTTAGTTATTCATTTATTTATAATTTTCATCATTTTTGTTAATTTTTTTGTTTTTGTATGTCTAGTCATTATTAGGCTGAAGAGTTTATATCTTATTTTGTTTGTTTTTTTCAGTTTTATTTACTTATTGTTTCATAATATGTAGTTCTCTAGTCTTGGATGGAATAACATATTTTTTTTAGTTTTTTAATTTTTTTTGTAATTTTCCTGATTAATACAAATTTTGAAAGTGCAGGTTTGAAATAAACCGCCTTGTCTCAATCGGTAACTAGGGAATCTGTTTTATCGATCATAGTAACTAGTTCCACCCAGTTGCCAAGTGTGTCGCTCTAAACGTGGTGCCAACTTTTACTTCAGGTTTGACAACTCTCTTTTCTTTTCCTTTCTCTATGGTGTACGTAGACAAAAATGAAATATAAACCAATGTATTCATTATCGTTGAATATCTAGAAATGTCGACAGTGCAGCGCACGAGGGCCACATTAAATTTGTTTATTTAAAATATATAAATGAAAGCAATGTATAGTATAGATGAGGAGAGACTGCTTACTAAGCATATACTTATGTACTTAGTTTTCCTAGAGACGTTTTCTATATGATGATTCTTACATCGGCGTGCTTTCCGAGTGGTCTTGATTTGAAGAGAACAATATACAGTTTTAAAGTATAAGACACGGACTTGTTATTTCCATAACCAATTTCCATCAACCCTAATAAATACTTCGTGTAAGAAGCCTTCAATCTCATGAACTTTAATCACTGGTGGGACCAGAAATAATTGAATTATATATGACAACAGAACCCTTATCTCTTTCAAATTTTGTCGCATTAGTATGAAAGTCGAATTCTGTTGGGAATTTCATGTTTTGCGATTCGCATAAATTTTGCTGAATTCGTACAAGCATGAACATACCTTTCGACTATCGATTACAGTTATGCGTGAGTCAGGAATAATGGCTTCAGTTTCTTCATGTATAGTTCAATTTACAAGGGGCATCGATCTTGTTAGGATTACGGATTGAATTATCCAATGATAATTATGTTAGCCATAATTCCGACTCAAGTTTGAAAACCCGTATATACTAGGAACATTTTATGCGCTCTTTATTTTCCATTTATTTTGAACTCATTGTAGGTAGCTCGAAAATATTTTCATTATTTAATTGATGCATCAGCCAAATTTGACGTACTATGTCAGTTTCATTTTATACCGGTTATGAATTGACAAAAAATAGTATTCCATAGTACGTCCTAATTTTAATTAAAATTGAATTTCATAACAACGCTATTATCCAGTATTGATCTATCCTTTTGAATTTATTTCGTCACCAAATCTTGAGGAATTAATCAGGGATCATTTTGTCTCGATTGAATGTGCCTCTAATTTTCAAACTATAGCTATAGCCTTCCGATTACCAAGGCACGAATAAGAAATGATGTCAATTCTCAACCGACTAGTATGGCCCATTAATATAGAGTAGGCCCTGCTTTTACACCAAAGACATTCATAGGGTTCATCTCTTTCTCAGCTCATGGAATAAAATAGGGAATCCCTTTCGTGCGATCCAAAAGAGAAAAACTGTTACTTCAAATACTAATTAGGACAAAAATTGCTGGAGTTCAACTAAAACCACAATTTCATTCCACTTCAAACAACAAATATCAAAGAATCTTTCAACTTACCAGGGCGAGGTTCCTCCACATTCAAACCAAGAACTTTCTTCAGCCTCAAACTGGCCAATTCTCTTTGACGCTCGAGCTCAGTTGGTTCAGAATTGAAAGCTGGTGCTGCAAAAAATGACAAATAAATATAGAAAAAATCGATTCAAGAACTTTTTCAAATTGAAAAACTACTGTAACTAGTTGAACATTTTTGTAGTATTGATTGAATTTGACTTGGCAAAACACTGTACATTTGACAAATGACATTCAATTTGTCAGTAGTTGCTGCCAACAAGTAGCACAAAATGCCTGACCCTTACCAAGTTCCAACAGGTGGGGTTTGAGAATCCCCATCTTCATGAAGAATTAGTTCCATTTATTTCTAGAGTTTTTTTGGTTTTGTTATTCCATTTTCATTGTTTCGTTTGTTCTCATTAAATCACAAACACAAAAAGTCGAAATTTATATTGAATTAAAAAAAAAGTACAAGAACCACACAACATTATAGTATCTTTACATGGAATGAATTATTCCAATCAATTCCAATATTTGAAAAACCATGTACATTATTCGACTTAATATATGACAAGAACATTTCCTGCCAATCGCACATCCTGCTAAATAGTTACAAATAAAAAAACAACTAATTTGATGACAAAAAACCTTTGAGAGAGTTGCTCTCAGTTCGCTTCAGGTGACCAGGAATAACATTGTAACTGGTGAAAAAAGTGGAATACGGCACACCCCAGTCTACTTTGGAGCGACGTGCTCTCTAATATGCGTTATATGACTGCTGTTTGTGCGTAGGTGCAAAGATGAATATTCAATGAGGACCGTCTCAAGTCTCACCAGTTGGCGCTACTAAAACGTGAGATCAATGTCAAAGTAAAAAATACCAAAATTTTGCCCGATAGCCCTTAAGGCTGTGGCCTGTTTTAGGGAAAATATTCGGAAATATGATCTAAAAGTAGAAGTATATTTATCAGTTCTACCAACACTGAACTCACGTTTCAGTGGCGTGATGTGGTGGACAATAAATAATGTTAGCTCTCATTGTAAGCTATTGTGCGATGCAGGTTCGAGAACTCATGTTTCAGAAAGTTATGTGAGAGTTTTCGGGTACTGCACCGTGTCACACCCCACGTGTCATACGCCGGGTTAACTAAAAAGATATCCATAAGATTTCACTCACCTTTTGCGGTGATATCGAGCGGCAGGAGTTCCTCATCGCTCGAAGACAACGACGTGCTGCTGCTCGAACTGACGGACCTCGCTCGCGCGGTAACCTTGAACGATTCCGACGAATTGTTCTCTTCGGTGCTGGTCGGCTCGACCTCCTGGTCTGCTTCATCGCTTCTGTCGTTCGGATTCAGTTTCTTCCGCTGCCGATATTCGCTGATCGAGAGCTGCAACGGACACAAAAAAACAACCGGTGAGAGCTAGGATCGACCCTCTGGCGGCTGTCATTCGTTTATTTTTCTACAAATAGCATTTAAATCTTGCTCAAGTCGTGAATGGTATTTCACTTCCAAGTTATATTTAGTTAGTGGTGACATAAACACCTACTACTAATATGAATTTCCATTGTAATGCAAAATCAGCCAAAATGTGGTAGAAGGGTAGACATAAAACACAATAACAGTTTGAGAAATAAAAATGCATCATAAATCATTTGTTGAAAATCAGCCCAAAATATTATTGTAACGACATCTATGTTCAAGTTGGAGACCAAGTAGGTAACTTTGTCAGTATATTAATGACAGTGGGTGGCAAGCCTGAATATGTTGGTACTCAGTTTGTGCGTACATAATATCTTTATTTTCTTTTTTAAAGTCAGTCTTGTGCTCAGAATTCAACCTGCGTGTTTCATTTATTTAGATCATTCACCTTTATCAATAAAAATCCAGAGCAAATAGAATTTTAGAATACAGTGTGGAGACTTCAACTGGAATAAATTCGTTAGTGGGGACGTGAATATTTTTTCTAGAAATTGCCGTTATACATTAACGATTTGTTGTATCTACTTACCTTTTGCAAGCAATATCGAGAATATATTCTTCCAGGGGTAGCTGAAACCACTCTCAACATAATTTTTTCAAATGTAACCCTATGGCTTGTGACCCCTCACTGGAAAGCTGGTGGAAAGAGTAATCCAGCGTACTAATCAAATTTCAGTTTTTCATACTTTCAAAGGTTGCATAAAATCGAGAAGAATTTAAAAATTCAATTTTTTTTCAACGTATCAATCGCTCAAAATGTTTATTGAACTATCAAGGGCAATTTTTTGCCACAACTGCTATCTGCTATTGTATTCCAGTGTTTTTATAGAGCCGCAAAAAGAAATTTATTTTTTTGCCGTATTCACAGTTCGAATCGAAGTGTTATTGCAACTGGTCACTAAAAGTCGAAATTTTGATGAAAATATATTGAACTTCGAAATATGATCAGTACGCTGGATTCCTCTTTCAACCAGTTTTCCGATGAGGGGTCGCAAGCCATACGGTTTCATTTGAAAAAACATGTTGGGGTTGATTCCAGCTACCCCTGAAGGGTTATATTCTCCATATTGCTCCCCAAATGTAGGTGAATACATTTAAACGTTGACGTCTCTCGCGAATTTTCATAAAAATCATTCATTCCCCTAGCAGTGAACTTATTCCAGTTAAAGTTTCCACCCTGTATGATATTCGAAGTTCCGAAAAGATTTCTAACCTAATACCACCAAAAATTGAAATCATTGACCAAAGTTGGCAGTCAGATTCGGCAGCCAACATTTCCGAATCAAGGTCGACCAATGGAGAATAATTACTGTGACACACCGTTGAAAAAATTAGACTGTTTCTCTGGATTCGACAGAAATGTATTGAATGAGGAAAATTTCGAAAAACACTTTTGAGTAATTCGCGAGAAAATAACACGTCTCCGCACCTGACGGCAACAACTTGAACACTTCTGAGCGGTTTGTTTTGATGGTTATGGCCAAAAACCAAAATAAACAGTGTAAACAGACCACTTTGATAGCTTTCAAAAACCCCGTTAGGTGGCGTATGTTTATTTTCTATCGTGAATTGTACGGAACTGAAACTGAATGACATTTGTGCTCACGCAGTGATGACTTGATTTTCATTAAAAAAATGCACTCTCAAAATGTTTTCTTCAGTTCTACGGAACTTATGATTGAAGCACATTGTCAGTGGTAGAAAAAATATAACACACGCATAGAAAAGAATATTATTACCACTGGACCTTATATCCGCTGAAGCGTCTGTATTCAATTTTGGTCTCTGAGTAACCATAATATTCTTTATTCATTCATTTATTGAAAATATAACAATTTCTAGTATGAGGAAGGGTTTGACCATGATGATAATATTCATTGAACATCAATTGTGATGAACCTGATTTTTGGGCATACTTGAATTCGAATATATTTCTGCTCTTTGATATTATTAGGTAATCAATTATCAGTTCTGGGACCAATTTTATTTTTAATTTATATTAATTCAATATCAACTCTGCAATTGAAAGGAAAACTAAAATTATTTGCGGATGATACAACATTGATTTATATATCCAAAGAATTAAATGATATCGAACGGGATATCACAAGTGATTTGGAAAACATATCATCTTGGATGCAAATTCATAAGTTGACTCTTAATTATAACAAATCTTCATATATGTATATTTCCAATAGATCAGTTAATATTTCGAATAGTGCTATAACTTTCAACAATAGATTAATTAAATATACAGACGTGACAAAATTTTTAGGTCTCTATATCGACAAAAATTATTATGGACTAAACATATAGACTATTTGAGAAATAAAATGAATCCGATCATAGGCATTTTATTCAAAATCCGAAATATTATTCCCATAAAATACTTGAAATGTATTTACTTTTGCCTCATTTATTCAAATTTGCAATATTTAATTTCTATTTGGGGGAGTACAAATATTTCACGTTTGAAACCACTAATGAAATTACAAAACAAATCAATTAAGTGCATTTTTCATCAACATTTTCTAGAACCAACGATAAATTTATACAAACCAAGACATTTTCTGAACCTGATTTCGTTATATAAACTTAAAATATGTTGCTTTATTCATTTTGCCAGGAATAAGTTGAAAATATTAAATTTAGCTTTCAATGAAGTCAATACAGTCCATAATTATGGGACTAGACAATTGAATTACTTGATAGCAAATACATTCAAGTCAAACATTGGCAAACAATCCGTTTTTCACAATGGAATAATTTTATACAATTCATGACCGAATGAGTTAAAAAATATACATGATGCAAGAAGGTTTAAAATCAATCTTAAAAAATACTTGCTCAGGACAATTTGAAAGAAAAATATGTGGCATGATTTGATTACTTAGGAATGAAATATAACTTTAATCTTATAAGACACAATATTAATTCGTTTCCACTGAGTGAAATTCATTATAGTTAACCCTTTATTATTATTTTTTTATATGTATTTATGTATCCCTATCATAAACAGAAATGTTTCTTGGGGTAATAAAGACAATCAATCAATCAATCAATTATATTCAAATATTGCAGCGTGGGTGAATCTTCTTTGTCCTATTATAAAGTTAGCAACATGAAGGTGAAGTATGTAATTTTTTCTAGCTTGGTAACCATGCATCTCATAGTTTTTCGTTAAAATAAAATTGTAGGGCTGAAAGATATCAGACAATATCCTATTGTTGTTGTATGCCCCTAATTAAGATATTCTCTTTCTAAAATTGGATTTCAATGTTTCATTTATGATGTTGAAACACATTTTTAAAGTTTCAATTCTGAAAATTTCAACCAATTGAAATGCTTAGTATATATAATTGATTACCAAATTAGACAACATGGTATATTTCATCTTGATATCGCTAATTCTTCTATAGGCCAAAAAAGATTCACCCACGCTGCTCTGTTCGAATATAACAAATTACCAGATAAAAAATTGCAGAAATACAATAAAATTCAAATACGAACTCAAAAAATTCATAATTTCTGAACGAAATAGATGATTTTTTCCAACTTTTGAATCATATTCAAATTGATTGTTGCTCACCAATATGAAATGATTTGTCAAAATGTAATACCTAATGTATCCAAATATTATATTATTTATGATTTTATTATAATTGTATAGTTTTAGGTATTGTTGATTATACTTCCTTATATCAGAAGCTGATTCTGACTGGAAGTCACATTTTTAATAAATAAATAAATAAATAAAATTTGGTGGTGAATCATTTATATGCCATATTGCCAATATTTTATTAACTTTGTTTCTTGAAAAGTATCCCCGAACATCAATAGTTAATGCGACTGGGTATGTGGGAATAAAAGATGAAATAAGTAGCCTCTTTATCAATTTTGGTACATCTTCTTGAAAATTGTTACCTTAGATTGGGAATACTAGGAACACTTTTCAGATCGTGAGCATACCTGCTACATGGGTATTTGTTTTAGATCTATCTGAATCAATCCGGAATCAGTTTGTGATTAAGTAATCCAATAAATAAAATATTTCAAAAATAATACATTATATCATCTAGTGTTATGAATGCATTTCATAAAAAAACTTTCAAAATCTTGTGAATACAATTTCTAACAGCAAAAAGGACTAGTAAAATCTCATTTAGCAGGAGAAACTCTAAAATGAACTCTTTAGTAGTGTTGGTGGAGAGTTTAGGGGGTTGTTGTAGGGTGATAGGTGGAGCGAATTTTACCAACTCGTAATGAGAAGAAATATTGGCAAGTGTTCAAAATTGAGCAGTGATATCGCGGCATTTCGCTAGTGAAATGGTTACTACACATAACCTATATGGAATGAACGCCGTATATTGAATTGATCATGTCTTTTGACTTGAAGCTTTCAACGCTATATTTTCTGTCATATTTTCATTTATTTATTTATTGAATCAAGTAAAATCTACATTTTGTCATCGAATATCAATTACATGTATATATATTTCATATTGTATCTCTTTCACATAGGTTAGTGACCTGTGTGTGAAAGAGATGAAGTATTTCAATATGATAAGCAACATTCTTAAAACAATATTCAAAAGGCACTAATTTTTAATCGACTAGTGTATAAACGTATTGAACAACTATGCACCATAGGATGTTTCAAAATGAAATCAGCTGTAGATTTCAGGAGGTAATTTGAAAACATGAAGTTTTGTTCCAATTTACCCCTCACTTCCAAGTATTCCCATTCTCCGTTATTGGAATTCAGCTCAGTTCTTGGTATCTGGTGAATAGTATTAGGATCACTAGTACTTAGTACTTAGTCTTGCATATATTTGAAAAAGTTGGGCCATTGGGCATAAGTAATGTATAACCGAAGGTAGGTTCAATCAATTTAATAGGTAGATAATAATATGTACAAAGCACTTCAATATAACTTATATAGTTAGTATAGTTCTATATTTATATATAATAGTTGTAGCTATTTGATAATCAAATTTATAAAATATAATGTATGTAAATATAACAAATGAATATATAAATAATATATTGATCACATAGAGCACAAATGTGTTAGGTGGACTTTGTCAAGAAATTGAGTCACATGTTGTAATCTGATAGGTTTGAATATACCCAGTGCGCACATTTGGTAATCACCTAAAAACAATAATTATTCACTGTTCAAATATAATAATTATGTAAAGTAGTCATTTATTGAGATTAATTAGTGTGTTAATCAAACGGCGAACACATCTGGACATTATTGAGACTGAAGAAATGCTAAATGTGTAATCATCATCACACATTTGTATGGAGATTTTTTGTGCAATACTTTTTTCTCTGCCTAAAAATGCTAGGAGAGACTATCAAAAAGTCATCCTTACTATGCTACAATATTCTGGAGTAAGAATGAATTTCAGTTTTCGAGATAGAATTTTTTCAGTATTTTATTATGTTGTGAGAAACATATTTTGAGTAAATTCTCATGCATATATGAACCAATTCGAAAAATTAAACCCGTTATTATTCTGTCTGTTAATCCAAGAGGTGATATATTTATTATTTCATGAAATTTACAGAAAAAAAATGTGTTAAGTGCGTTTTACTAGTTCTGAAATGTGCTAAGTGCAATAATTCATGTTATCAGGGTTGGCAAATATCCTGATCAGGTTATCTATACAACTATCGAAATATCATAATATAGGATATATATCCAATATATATCTGATATGTTTCAGAAATTTTTGATTCTGTTCGTAGGCTAAAATGAAAAAAAATATATTAAATTTTGGTAAAAATTGAAATCAAACTTCAGTTTAATTTAAAATAACAAGAAATAAGACAAAAAAAATATGTCTCCTAAAATATGTTTGGAAAAGGGGTAGGAGTAAGGTTTTTTCATGAAAAGTACCAAAAGTTTACTGTCAAAGATAATAGGGCAATTTGAAATAGATAATGACAGTGTATGCAGCGTGTTCTAATGTTAAATAACGAATATGAAAATATGATTTTTATGATTTTGTGCAAATAACTTATTTTTTGCAAAAGTTATCTTTCAAAAGCGAACAAAAAAAAACTATTTCAACGAAACAAAGCATTTTTGGGCACAATTTTATATGAACTTTTTCCTTGAGATTGTCTCAGGAATACGTCCCTAGAATATTTCAACGTATTTATGTTACACCCTGTATAATAATTGCTTTATTTTTGTCTTTCTCTTCTCTCTTTCCGTCGAAGCCACATTGTAGAACTAACAAAACTTGAAAACAAAAAATTTTTAGTAAAGCCTTTACATTACTAGGGGTGCGATATATCGGCCAACCCTGTGTGTTTTAGTTCTATTTCAATAATTGTAGTATTTTCACAATGAAATTTATATTGCCACGAACATTTTAGTGTTTTGCATGTGTTTCAGTTTTTCATCAAATGCCAGATGACTGCAAACATACTTTCAAGAAGTTATCTCAACTAAATTTCTGTTCTACAGGGTGTTGCGAAATTCGATCGACAACGCTTGACAGGTGATAGCCCTCGTGATTTCATAATCACTGAGATAGGGACATACGGTCTCCAAGTGTTCAGTTCTCGAGATACAGGGCGTTGAAGTTGAGAAATTGAAATAGTTTTTTCGCAATATCTCAAGAAAAATTGAATATAATGCATTCAAATTCGGTATATGGTTTCATCTTCCAATGGTTAATTTTTTGACCAGGAAGACATTCCGAGAATTTCATCTAGAGGTGCGCTACAGAGAGTTGTGATAACTTTTCCTCCCATATTTTCTACGCTTCTGATGAAATTTCAATTATTCCCAATTTCTCGAATTGATTGTTCAATTATGTTGAAAAAATGCATCACCTTCAACTAAGCTACAATGAACAGTTATCGAGATATTTGACCCAAAATAGAAGTTTGCGTAGTAATTTTTCATCTTCCTCAGTAGTGGAAAATTAAAAAATATTTTTTTTCTCTTTATGCGTGGAATAACTATTTCTGTTCAGATATAGAATGAAATCTGAATAGTATCTAATCTACTCAACACCAGAAAAATATTTTTCCAATTTTCTACTACTGAAAATGATGAAATATTACTATGCAATCTTCAATTTTGGGTCGAATATCTCCAAAACTGTTCATTTCAGCTCAGGTGGAGGTGATGAGTTCTCTGAAAAAAATTGAACACTGAATTCGAGGAATTGGAAATAATCGAAATTCAATCAGTGGCGTAGAAAATATGGGAGGAAAAGTTGCCACAACCCTCTGTAGGGCACCACTGGATAAAATGTCCGGAATGGCTTCCTGGTCAAAAAATGACCCATTCAGAGATGAAACCATATACCGAAATTGAATGCATTATATTCAATTATTCTTGAAATATTGCGAAACAACTATTTTTATTCCTTAACTTTAACGCCCTGTATCTCGAGAATTGAACACTTGAAGACCGTATATCCCTATCTCAGTGGTTATGAAATCACGAGGGCTATCACCTGTGAAGCGTTGTCGGTCGAATTTCGCAACACCCTGTATATAAAAAGGCATTGAAAGTATTGTATCTTCCATATGATACTTCAAGGAATCAACTGTATAAGGGAACACACATTTTCTTTGGAAGAGCACTTTTTAATCAATACTATCAAAATGTCCTATTATATCATCAACAAAAAGCTTAAATCAAATTTTATATTAATTAGGAATTCCCAAATTCATGGTCATCACACTAGACAATATAACTTGTTTCATCTTGAAGCTGCAAATTCTGAACTTGGACAAAAAAAGTTCACACATGAGGTGATTTAGAAATTCAATAAATTACCAGATGATATCAAAAACAGCCCAAATATTATACAATTCAAAAATAAAGTGAAGAAATATATTTACATGCAAAGGAATGATCAAAGCTGAACGACTGTTTTTTTTTCCTTCTTGTTCACTATAATATAATTGTTATTTTGAGATATCTTAATGATACATAAGTTTTGTTCACTATTTGTAATTTCAATTATACAACAGTCGATAATACTTCGTGAACGATCTCATACCAGGAATTACTGTCTGATCATTCATGTCATTCCTACTAGAAAATCAATTATACTTTATTTATATTATTTGTATAAAATGTATCAATGAACAAAATTATGTAATGCAATAACTGAAATGAATAAATAGTTATTTATTATACAAGGGACAAAAGTAGTAGATTTCAGCTCCAGGTTGTGAGATAAAATCTAATATTTTTCCCGTGTATAATACACAATTTCTTTCTGTGACAGAAGAAACGACGAATCAATATTGAGAAGATATTACATTATTATGAAATCTGAAAAATATCGACGTGAAATTTCAAGTTTTTACAGTAGGGACATCTGCGTTGTAGGCATCTTCATCATTCTTTTGAAGTAATCAAATATCTGATGTCACTTCTTTCAGTCTAACTCTGTGATTTGATTTCAACAAATTGCGAATTCAGTGGTTGTTTAGTAATATACGTAACCGCAAAGTTGAATGGAAGATAAAAGTTCTTTCTCAGAGACGGTATTTTTGACTCAATTTTCGGATAGCACAACAAAAGCCCACGGGAAAAAAGTAATTTATGAAAAGTGACATTTCATAACCTGCCAACAGAGATGAAATGCCAAACTTTTTTCCCGTCATAGAAATAAATAGATAAATCAATTGATCATAAATTAACCCAGACACATTTGCGCTCCAAATCATCAATGATAAAAATTCAAACACAAAAAAGCGCAATAATTCAATGTTGTCGATTTACCTTTACCTTTCGCTTGGGCGCCGGCGGCACCGCCACTCTCGTCTTCTCGCCGTTCTCCAGCCCGAGTATGCTGAGCGTCTTCTCCACCGTACCCACCAGATCGGCGTGCGCGCCGAACATCTGCGAGTCGCGCGACAGTCGCGGGTCGAAGCGCGACAGCTCGACGGGCCGCATCGGCGAGCCGGCAAACTCCTGCCTCATCTTGGCAGCGCGCTCCTTCAGCACGGCGTCCGATTCGAGCGATTCGGGCGGACTGTCGCCCTCTGTGCCGGCGTTGTACACTATTTCGACGCAGCCCTCCATGTTCAGGCTGTCGTTCATGGGGTTCTACGGAACGGATAAGGAAAGTTCATACACAACGTCTCCTCGATCGACTATATTTTTCTACTAACCAAACTAACTATGTTAGCATCTTTTATATAAAAACAAAAATCCTCTATTTTTTGAAACTGTGATAAATAATTTCCAGACAGAATAGGCTCTGGTATGAGGAAGTACATAATTATATACCTATAGGTAAACATATCATCATTCAAAATATAACAACAACTGTAAATTGGCAAACAAAGAATGATATTTGTTTAAAAAAAGGCATGATTAATTTTAAATACTGTCTGTAGGTTAATCGAGGAGGTGGTATATTCATTTTACTTGATTCTTTGGGATTTTCTCTCCTCGTTTGATGTAGTGGGACAAATCAGATGATGATTTGCCCCAAAATGTCACTGAGTTCAAAAAATTTTTCTATCAGGGAGTCCAAAAGAAAAATCCAGTAGCTTGTCAGTGACAATTTGTTTAAAAAAATGTTTGAAGGAAAGAAATATAGATATATTGAAAAAATATCGAATTTTTACTTATCTTTGGACGTTTCGGGACCGAATCTGCTCCCGTTCTCAACTATAAGCAGCAAAACTTTCGAAGAAAAATATTTTGCATTTATATATCAGTTTTTTACTTCATTTTTGAATGTACCTATATTTCTGCAATTTTTTATATTGCCAAGTCATATTGTCTAGTTTCATGATTATGAATTTCAGAATTCCGAATCAAAATTATATTCGACTTCAATTTTTTATTTATGATATTATATGATATTTTAACAGTTCCAATTCTACATATTTCATCTAAAGAATACGTATTTGTTATTTCATACAATTGATTGGTCGGTATATCAAACGATTTTCTAAACAGGGTGGGCCACCAGTAACGCCTCGGTCTCTAGAAGGCTAACCACTTATCTTCTTGGAATTCTTCCTCTCTAGGAAGTTGCATGTCAACATAGGCTACCATTTAAAATTATTTCGAAACATACAGGGTGTCCCCTAAAACCATAAAACACAGAAGTTAAACTTTTTTCTATCGAACACCCTATATATTATTTCATTTTGAGATTCTCCCTGATGAGCTGATTTCAACAATCCATCATACTTGGGGTCTAGCAGTTATAATTACTGAAATATAGGGTATGAAAAATCGAGATTTTCCAAGTACAAGAATTTTTTGTGTCGAAACTATTCATAATTGGTCAAAACGGCTTGTCCCTATCTCAACTTTTGATTAACTATCTACTGATATTTAATTGGGACATATACCGGGTGATCAAGATTCTGAATTCTGCACCACCCTGTATTTGTTTCAATTAAATGTCAGTTGATAGTTGATCAAAAGTTGAGATAGGGACATGTGTGCCGTTTTGACCAATTATGAATGGTTTGGACACAAAAAATTCTTGAACTTGGAAATTCTCGATTTCTCACACCCTATATCTAAGTAATTATAACTGCTAGACCCCAAGTATGATGGGTTGTTGAAATCAGCTGACCAGGGAGAATCTCAAAATGAAATAATATATAGGGTGTTCGATTGAAAAAAGTTCAACTTCAGTGTTTTGTGATTTTTGGGGACATCCTGTATGTTTCAAAATAGTTTCAAATGGTAGCCTATGTTGACATGCAACTTCCTAGAGAGGAAGAATTCCAAGAAGATAAGTGGTTAGCCTTCTAGAGACCGAGGCGTTACTGGTGGCCCACCCTGTATAATGTTGATATTTTATTGAAATTATTTTTTGAACAAGATCCCCAAACATTTATTAAATAGTTGATAAGACTCAGTATATGAAAGTAGAGAATCATGTTTGCAATTTTAATATCAAGTTTGGGTCATCTTCTCAATGCACCAATAATTGGACATATTTTTTTTGTCAGAACATCGAAATGTTTGTCCCACTTCAACCTGTCATCAAACCAAATACCAAGATATTTTATCTGATCAGTTTGTTTCAAGAGTTCATTTTTTATTTTAAGGTAGAGGTAAATTTGTTGTTTATTTTTTTGGTGAAAAATCATATATTCTGTTTTGTTATTATTTATCGATAAAAGGAGCCATTTTTCAAATATTTTCGAGTCTTCATTTATCATATTTTCTAAATTTGAAGGATTCTTGCTTTCATATAAAAGTACTGTATCATCTGTGTACAGGGTATCCCAATTTGGGCACTTTTGCGGGGTATCTCCCTTATCAGTAAAGATAGAGCATTGCGGTTTTCGCGACAGTGTGCTACTTTTTTATGAAATTAATAATGGCGCAAGCAGAATTGTGGTAGCTCTTCCGGTTGTCTAGATACAGGGTGGAATTGAAAAATATCACCCCCCGTGTCTCAGTTATCTTTGAACTTATCGAAGAAGTTAAAACTTGTTTTTATAGAGTTTTTCTCGTAGAATCCAGTGGCGTAGTTATTTTTTTGCTAGCACCTTTTGTTTTTTAGTTATGGAGCAAACATATGTATTTTTAAATGGAAAATAATTGTATACAATTAAATATTTTTGGAAAGCCCACTTCATGCTCAATGTATATATGAAATAATATACAGGGTGTTCCATTTAAAAAAACATATGTTTGCTCCATAACTAAAAAACAAAAGGTGCTAGCAAAAAAATAACTACGCCACTGGATTCTACGAGAAAAACTCTATAAAAACAAGTTTTAACTTCTTCGATAAGTTCAAAGATAACTGAGACACGGAGGGTGCCTGAAAAGTGATATTTTTCAATTCCACCCTGTATCTCGACAACCGGAAGAGCTATCACAATTCTGCTTGCGCCACTATTAATTTCATAAAAAAGTAGCACACTGTCGCGAAAACCGCAATGCTCTATCTTTACTGATAAGGGAGATACCCCGCAAAAGTGCCCAAATTGGGATACCCTGTACATGGTATATTTACTCAGGGCCTACTCTATCTTACCGGGCCGTAGTCTATCCCCTCTCTCTCGACGCTGACGTCACACTAGTAGGTTGAGATTCCACATCAGTCCGTACTGATGCGTTGGTAATTGATAGGCTATAGCTCATTTACTATAAATTTTAGAAGCACACTCAATCGAGACGAAATGATCCCCAACAAATTCCTCAACTTTTTGTGAAAAAATGAATCCAATAGGATGAATCAATAACGAGTTATGGCGTTGTAACGAAATTCCATTTTATTGAAAATCAGGACGTTGTACTACAGAATACTATTTTTTGCAAATTTGGAATTGGAATAAGATGAAACTAACTCAATATATCAAACTGCGATAATGAATCAATTGAATAGTGAAAAAATTGTAGAGTTACCTACCGTCCGAAAGAAATTAAATATGAAGAGCGCGTAAAAAATGGGCCATTATACCTACCTACCCAAATTTCGCTGTATTACGATTTCGCGGTAATTCCTTGGACTGGTAAATGGCGATATACTTTTTATTACTCATTTTATTTCTAAATGGCGTATGGTTCAGACCAACTAATATTGGTGTCTGAAAAATTCAAAGCAATATTTCTACAATGTAAGTCACAACATAAAGTTTTGGAGAATTTAGCAGAAATTAAAATCAATTCCCTTCTCAATTATTCCGAGAATCAATATGTTGCAGTTCTGCAGTGTGGGTCTTTTGATTTAATCAGCAGAACATTTTCTAAAACCATTTCAAATATTCTGTTGAACAATTATTGCAAAATAAAAAAAAAAATTAAAAAAGAAAAATCACTAAACTTTCAAGATGAGATATAGTTCAGATTTCAATATTTAGTTTGTGATTAAGATGATGTATATATATTTTTTGTTATTAGTGTATTTCATTTTGTGATATCTATCAATTTGTTTTATCTTGTTATGTTGATCATTTATACAGTTTATTTTGTTTGGTTTTGTTTGTGTATAAGGATTCAACGTTTTTTGCTTATTCATTCATATATCGTTTGTCTGGGTATTTTGTTATTTGTCGTTATATTCATTTTTATATCTCTCATTGTTGAGATACATATTTTTTCAATTATTTTTGTTTGTGTTCATATGAACTCCACATATTTTGTTCTTTTTAATTTTGATACTTTGCAAATATATTCAAATCAAATTTTTTTCATGAATTTAACGTTATCATTCAAATATATACTCTTCAGCAGAAAATAATTGATACCGAATAGGCGTTTTTGTGTAATAACACACTCGAGTGATAGGATTTCTAACGTCATCAAAGTGCGTCCTGATCATCTTCAGAGATAAACGCTGCTAAAACCCTTCGAGATAAAGTGGATGTATATTATACCGATTTGTAGGCAATCAAATTTCCTACAAAAAAGTCAGTGACAGCATAATATATCCATAGTTGATAGGATTAGCATGGGAGGCGTCTGAACATTTTTAACTATTCTGTAATGAACACCTGAATCATCGTTCTACTTGAATTGAAATATCAGTTTGTTGTTGGCCCTTGGGAATTTCAAGAAAAATCTCAGTCAATCTAGATACTATGCGAAATCTTCTCATGGTTGAATGATTTCTGTAAATTGAATATTGGAATTTTGGTAGCTGTTTGAAAAAGGGCAATTCTGAATGGCATCAATTGATTTTGATATGCCATATTTCTGAAATTAATGATTGTAAATCAGTGAAATTTGATTCATCTTCTGGAAAATTCTTTTCTGTACATATTTGACCTCTTGATATTTTTCGCTAACTGTGACCGTTTTCCCGAGGTAAATCAAAGAAACGGGGGAGACAATTTCCACTGCCTTGATTTTGTCCCTACTAGTGTGACGTCACGAAAGCGATGCTCCGGCCCGGTGAGATAGAGTAGGCCCTGATTTACTCGCTAGACCAATTTCACTGATATTTTGAACATAAAGTAAATATAGTATAGGTAAAACAGAGCCTTGTGGGATACCCTTATAGATTAATAGTTTATTTGACACAGAGTTGGTTGATTTCGTATTGATTGTCCTATTTTCAAACTATGAATTCAAAATATTGATCTGGAATTATTTGAAAAATGGCTCCACTCTAACCTTTTATCAATAAATACCAGAAAAACTGAATACATGATTTTTCAACAAAAAAATAAACAGAAAATTCAGCTCCATCTTCAAATAAAGAATGAATTCTTGAAACCAACTGAACAGATAAAGTATTTAGGTATTTGATTTGATGAAAAATTGAAGTGGGACAAACATATTGAGGTTCTGACAAAGAAAATATCTCCTATTATTGGTGCATTGAGAAGATGTCCCAAACTCAATATGAAAATTGCAAATATAGTACTCTATTCACATATACTAAGTCGAATTAACTATTCAATAAATGTTTGGGAATCTTGTTCTAAGAATAATTTTAATAAAATATCAACATTATATTAAAGGAAATCATTAAAAGTACTGTATCGTCTTCCATAAGATACACCAACAACTGAAATGTATGCTTTAACAAAAACATATTCTTTAGAAGAACTGTACAGATTATACTCTGAGAATTGCATATGAAATCATAAATAAAAAATTGAAATCTAATATTATTTTGACAAAAATGTTGAAATTCATAACTTATTTCACCTTAATGCTGCTAGTTCTACACTCGGACAAAAAAGATTCACTCATGCAGCCATATCTGAGTAAACTACCAAATGAAATTAAAAACTGCGGAAATATAGGTACATTTGAGAAGAAAATAAAAAAAACTGATCATTTCTGAGAGATATGTTTAAAATTTATCAGTAAGTTATGTCCTTGACTAGAATGATTTTCTTTGTTCATTGATTGTTTTGTTTTATTGTGATATCCTGATTATGATTTATTATTCATGTTCACTTCTACTCATGTTTGTGTAGTAGTTCATAGATATTTATTACTTATTATTTTATAATCATGTTCTTCCTCATACCAGAACTTGTTCTGACTGGAAGATATGTTTGGTAAATAAATAAAAAATAAATACAATTTACTGATCCTGCGATTGAACAATTAAATTCATCCTGGAGTCTCGTTTGCTCTTCTTCTTCCTATCCGACGCCAAAAATTCGCTTTTCTGTTATTTTTGTACATGAAAGATGCCAAATTTGAAATCTCAATGGAATCAGACTTCAAACTAATTTGTCAGATATTCCTGATTATCGTGGTTAGGTTACACAATACGTGGATTAATTGAAATTATCCAATCACCAAGTACTGAAACAACCATGATAACTAACTCTTTAAAATGTATTGGTAGCTGTAAGCTACGGAACTATCAGCTAAAGCTCTAGTGGATGAACACTTTTTGATTTGACAAACACTATGACTGAAAGTCACATTTGGTTGTTTGTTACCTAGCAGAGTTCTTACTGACGATTGATAAACCGGTCCTTATTGTAGCTTCATGAACCTAACTGGCCTCTCTATAAAGATGGGAAATTCAATACATTTTCAGTTATCCATATATTTTCAGAATATATTATTTGTAGTCTTGCTGAGTTTTCACGAAAGGACACCTCACCTTCATCTTATGCGCTGACAGTTCATAAAATACCTAAGTAGCGTAATCTGCATAAAAAATGCATTTCTGTTTCATTTCCATTAAATCTGTTATACAGTATACGAAATAATTATATAAAATACTTTGTGTACAATCTTACGTTGACGAAAAGCCACATTGCATTGATGATGAATGTTTTAGAACTGATATTGCTTCTAATTTCAGACACAAATCAATCAATCAAATACCACTTCCCATCCCTCTGTTATTCATATTGGTATTACAAAATGAATGAATACATAAAATATAACAACCCGCCCCTTAATCATTTTTTAAAATATATTTATAACGAACATATCTTCATATCATAGACAGTGAGTGTTCTTCAATTATTTCCTTTTTTGCAGCCTCATAAACTTATTGTTCTAAAAAAAAAAAATTGTTCTAAAATTGTTCTATCCGTCATTCGGTTGCCCCCTTACGAGCAACCCTCAGAAGTCTTCGAAAGACTTGTGCGAGCAAGGAATGACGGGGGCCTTACCTTTTAACGTGTGATCCCAAACACTTTCTTAGGCCATCAGAAAAAGTCTGCGTTCGTGGGTCTCGAACCCACGATCGATAACTCGACGTGCATCGATATTAAAGCATCGAAGCACTGAGGTACGCCGGCCTCAAGATCATGGTGCACACTTCTTGGTTTCGCCCATTTATCGAATTTCATCTTTTTTCATGTCCATGTGAGTGAGAGGGTGAGTAATCTATGTTTCTATATCCTAAGTCATTATTGGTTTTTCTAGAATTATGAATCTTATATTCGGTTGTTGAAGAGCTTATATATGCCCGACATGTACCTGCTTGATGGATCTCGGATCAGTCAATTGAACTTTGGGATTTTCATATTTGAACTATATCACTTCACTTACCATGGACTTCTTCCAAAGATTATAAATATATGGAGTTATTATCGGAAAAAAGTATGATGACTTACGGTTGGCGGTACGGTACTTGTTGGAGTATTGGGTGGCGAAGTATCTGTCGACAAAGATTCTCTCGGAAGTCGTCGTTTTTTGGGTGGTGCTACCATGTCACTGAGGGGTGGTGAATCTGAAAGAAAAATAATTGGATAGTGATAAACTCAACAACTCTATATCGATTTTGAATCTTATCCACATATTTACAAATATTCTCTGTAGTAATAGTAATATCACGAATGCATTACATTACATGTAAAATAGTTTGACAGACCTTTGAAAACTTGTTGCCAGGCAATAGACACGAGAGCCTAAACGGCTTGACTAAAACAATCTCAGATCAACAAGAAACTCTCGATAGGCCGGACGCGAACAAAATCATTGAATTAAGACATCCAAGGTGAATCGAAGGCAACTTGCCAAAATGCAGATATTTTATCGAATAATCATTCTTCTGCTATTTTTCTCTTTTCATTGAATTTGGACAATCAGGTTAATTGATTTGAGCATTTAAAATTAAAAAAATATTACTCATGATATAAGAAACAAAAACAAAACATTGAAATATAAATCTAATAAAACAATTGGACAAAGAAATTGAACATACAAAAAAAACGTATTCATCCTTGTTCGCCCTGTAATAAGTGTATCAAATTTGTAGAGTGAAATATACCCACCTATTTTGTGGAGTAACAAGACTTAACTTGACGTCAGAATCTCCAGTATTTTTGAACGACAGTCAAAGAGAAGAATATATACAATTTGAACACCAATTAGAAAACTTTACTCGACAGAGTACATATTTGAACGCAACCCAGGAGGATTCAACTGACTCTCAAGTCCGACCACAATGCCCTCGACCACAACGGTCTTCAATCAGATACAGATAGGCATTCCGAGAACAAATTATTGCAAGCCTTTATTCATAAGGTTGCAGATATCCACGTTATATATGAATCATGTATCTATGTATTTGTAAACAGGCAACTATTTGCTCACAACAGTGATGTATACATGATGAGAATGCTCGCTCTAGGAACGAATTATATATACCACAAAGCATATCAAATATTTTGAGTAATGCACCAAATATTCTAGGTCCTAGAATATTCAATAACTTACCCGAATATTTGAAAAACGCAAAAAAGTATAGTCTTTCAAAAGATGCTTGAAATCATTTTTCATAGAAAAGTTTTTCTACTTGCTTAACGAATAATTTCATAATTGACCATCGAACTACCAAATGAAAAATGTATATACACTCACCAGCAAAATAAACCGGCCACCAAAAAATTTGCCCAAATTGTTCACACTATAACTTTTTAAATCAAATCGTAGATTCATGTTCCGGAATGTTAGCCTAAATATTAGTTTTCCTGAAAAGCTGATGACTTGATAATTATACAGGGTAAAACCAAAGTTACTCTTTCCCCCTATACTTCTCAACGCCCTGTGGCAAAATTGCGTGATTGAACATGGCCTCATTATGCTTCGGATTGAAGTGTGATCCCTTCTTAACACAAAAGTTTTTGATTCATGTCAATATCCTATTTTTAAAAGAAGAGTGTTTTAAGGAAGTATGGTGTTTTTCAACTTTTATTACCAATAATCAGAACTTACATGAACTTATTGATTAACAACTTCAAGGATTGATATCACATATTTCTACCTTACTTTCTTAACACTTACCGGAAAATCAATCACAAAAAACAAACAAGAAGCAGACCTGTAGTAAATAATGAGTATGCTCTCCCCGATATTGAATTACAGCATTCAACTGCAGTGGCATCGAATTGATCAAATTACTCGAGTAGCCTTGAAGAATTGCCTAAAATCCTCCTAGAAGAGCGAATTGTAGCTCTTGAAGAGAATCTGACAAGGCTGGGCGAAGGCGAATGAGCCTCTATAGGTCACCCCTAAGATAGGTAGATAGGTTCTGAATTATTGTTATTGAAAATTAGAAGAAGGAACAAAATAGGATCGCACTTCAATTTAAAACATGATGAAGCAGAAGGTTGGAGAATGGTTCTGAATTATTGTAAATAAAAATTTTTAAAATCCATACTCTCTTGAAACACTTGTATCTTCCTTTGAAAAGTGGTTATCGATGTGAATAAAAAGCCATCATGTAGAGAAACGATCACTCTTCAATCTAAAACATAATGAAGCTAAGTTAAAGCTCTCACCTTTCCCACAGGGCGTTAAGAAGTTAAGGGTGAGAAAGTAACATTCGTTTTCCCTGTATAATGATCGAGTCATCGAATTTTCTCAGGAACTAATATTCAGGCTAACATTTGAAAACATGAATCTACGATTTGGTCGGAATTTCACCAAAATCGGTCCAGAATTGAAAAAGTTACAGAGCAAACAATTTGGCTAAATTATTTGGTGGCCGGTTTTTTTTGCGGTGAGTATATTATTATGTATAATGTTTTCCACCTTTATAGAGGGTGTTGCGAAATTCGACCGACAACGCTTGACAGGTGATAGCCCTCGTGATTTTGTTATCACTGAGATAGGGACATTCAAGAGTTCAGTTCTCGAGATACAGGACGTTAAAGTTAAGAAATAAAAACAGTTGTTTCGCAAGAAAACTTGAATATAATGCATTCAACTTCAGTATATGGTTTCAACCTTAAATGAGCAATTCTTTGACCAGGAAGCCATTCCGGACATTTTATCCAGTGGTGCCCTACAGGTGTGGCAACTTTTCCTCCCATATTTTCTACGCCACTGATTGAATTTCAATTATTTCCAATTCCTCGAATTCATTGTTCAATTTTGTTCAAAAAATGCATCACCTTCAACTGAGCTGAAATGAACAGTTTTCGAGATATTCGACCCAAAATAGAAGATTGCATAATAATATTTCATCATTTTCAGTAGTTGAAAATTGCAAAAATATTTTTCTGGTGTTGAGTAGATTAGATACTATTCAGATCTCATTCTGTAGCTGAACAGAAATAGTTATTCCACGCATAAAGAAAAAACAAAAATTTTTGTAATCTTCTACTATTGAAGAAGATGAAAAATTACTATGCAAACTTCTATTTTGGGTCAAATATCTCGATAACTGTTCATTTCAGCTCAGTTGAAGATGATTCAACATAATTGAACAATCAATTCGAGAAATTGGAAATAATCAAAATTTCATCAGTGGCGTAGAAAATATGGGAGGAAAAGTTATCACAACCCCCTGTAGCGCACCTCTGGGTAAAATTCTCGGAATGTCTTTCTGGTCAAAAAATTATCCATTTAAAGATTTATTGTTTATCGAAAAACTAGCTTCCAGTCAGAAATAAAATTCTGGTATGAGGAAGTTGATTACAAACAACAATAATAAAAGAATATAAGGTGACAACAAAAAAATCTAAAAAATCTAAAAATGCTAAATCGATCAAGTCATAAAAATAGCCACAGGGACTAATCAATAGATGGCAAAGTATAAATTTTATCTATTTCATAATGAAATCATGTGTTTTTTTAATTCAATTTCAAACTTCGATATATGTCTGCAATTTTTTATATTATGTGGTAATTTATTAAATTCAGCTAGAGCAGCGTGAGTGAATTTTTTTTGGCCAATTATAGAAGTAGCAGAATAAAGATGAAATAAGTTTAATTGTCTCATGTGATGATCATGAATTCCCGAGTTTCTTATCAAAACAAAATTGGATTTCAGATTATTGTTTATTATGTTATATGAAACTGTAAGAGAATCTATTTTATATAATTCATCCAAAGAACATTTTTCTGTTATCGCATACAGATCATTTGTTGGGATATCAAAGATGAAACCATATACCGAATTTGAATGCATTATAATCAATGTTTCTTGTGGTATTGCGAAAAACCTATTTACATTTCTCAACTTCAACGCCCTGTATCTCGAGGACTGAACACTTGAAGACCGTATGCCCCTATCTCAGTGATTAAGAAATCACGAGGGCTATCACCTGTCAAGCGTTGTCGGTCGAATTTCGCATCACCCTGTATAATGTTTGTCTATAATATTAGTCATTCCAGAATTACGTCATTTGACAGGTTGCTGAGGGGCAAACATAGTATTTTGTCAAGATTTGTCATATAAAACCAGAATAAGTGGGATCGTATTCCTTGGAATCCGAGTTGGACCCAGAAAGAATTCCATAATTTTGTTTGGTGAAACTGTTATTATATTGTGGATGTGGCAGGGATGGCCAGGGCTATGCTCATCAAAGGTAACCTAACAGATAGTTTGTGTGCCCCTCAAGAAACCATGTCAAAATCACGTGTTCTAGAATGATCAATTATGTAATCTGTCATTTATCTAGTTTATAGATTTATATTTTTGTAACAACTCTTCAACCTGACTATTCCTATAATTTTGTAAAGTCTACAGGAAAATAAAGATATTTATTTATTCACCATTACAAACAAACTCACCCGGCCTTTCGCACGAATGATCCTCGCTGATTGCCTGCCGCAACCACCGCTTCTTTGCGCTGCCCCTCGGCTGGACGTCGGCGCCGCAGGAGGCGGGCGTCTGCGTCAGGCCGGCGCTCTTTGTGGGCGTGCAGGCGCCGTCCTCCGTGCCGCCCACCACGGGGCTCACGAAGGACGGCGAGGTCGAGCTGGCGGCCTGGACAGGCTCGGGGACCTTGCGGAAACAATATGATTTCATTTTTTTTTATAATATGTACAGGGTGAGTCGATAGGTAGGTAGAACATTGCAGAATAAGTTGGGTTTGCTCAGTAAAAAAATGTCGTAACGCCATCCGATTTCAAGATACAAGGTGTTGAAAAAAATATTTTTGTACACATTTGTCATGATTATGTTGAAACTACTGGCAACATTGTAATGAAATTTTGCATGGATGTGTTTTGAAATCTGACACATCGCATGAATTTGTTTTTATATCTGACACTCATAGAGAGATGTAAAAACTTCACAAACGATAAGATTTCCACAAAATTTTTAAACACACGACATGTTTCGCTAACACAGTAGCTTCGTCAGGTGAAGTTTTTACATTTGTCATGGATTTCCATCAAGTAACGGCCGTGTCAATTCAAAAAAAACTCATAGAGAGCTTTAGTTACACGGTTCGTACCGAGCACTTTCGAACATAACTTTTTTGAGGTTAGATTTTTCAGTACAAATTTAGTATGAACTTGAACACCATTCAATTTTACACCATAATGATGCTCTTGGTAAAACTTGATACTGTGTACTGTTTTCGGGATATTTCGATTTGAAAATGCTGATGCTAGTTGAAATTGCGTATTATAAAATACTGTTACCTATTTATTGATAACCAAAACCAATGAGATTATCCTTATGTGGGAGTCACCAATTGAACAGAGATGATAAAAAAATTAAATAAATTTAACTAAAACATTTAATATTCAATTAGTGTGTGTTCCAAATGCATGATGGAGCTCCCCCACATTTTGGTAGAAGATGTCGTGATTGGTTGAGCAACCATTATCCGAATCGATGGATTGGTAGAGGTGCAGGAGCTCCGATTTATTGACCTCCACGTTTATGTGATTTCAATCCATTGGACTACACAGTTTGGTCCTATATTAAGGAAAAAGTCTATGCTACAGTGGTAAATTCACGTCAAGAGCTGCAAGAAAGAATTGAACATCACTTCGATGACCTCATTGCTGATCCTCAACTGTTGAGAATACTGATGCATTCTTTAGAAAAAAGGATCTAATTGTGTATTCGTGAAAACAGTGGACATTTTGAGCACCTACTCTAACTAGATGACGTTTTTAGTCAAATTTAATTCAATATTTTCTGATGTGATTTTGTTTAATCGATAACTTCAGCAGTAAAATAATGTTAATGTGTTTGGTCCTTAATAAATAGATAATTGTTTTTCATAATACTTGAGTTTCGCCAAGAGCATCATTTTGGTGTACTGGTACTGGTGGGGGACGTTTCCACGTCAGCAATCAAGTCCCCAATGGGACCTTTTTGGAAACCCCCAAGTGTTTTCAATGACTGATGTGGTTCGCTCAAGAGAGCTGGCTAACATCCTTTTCAGGCACCGCCCATCAGCTCTCTTTTGAGTTTTTCAGTTGTGTTTTGTAGGCTAGTAATGTGCTCACTACCATATGCGCAGTGGCAGGCCTGCTAACTATCATCGTTAACCCCCGAGACCGAGGTCTACTTAAGCAGCTGGCCCGCTCTCACGCTCAGCTGGTAGTTTTCCACACCCACCTACATACACCGTCCTACTTCTTCTCTGATGCTCACAACCACATCATCATATCTTTCTGCGTGTTCTGTGTAGGCTTCGTTACTAACTCCATGCGCCACTTTAGGAGCAGCACTGTTAATTGGAACGCAACAGCGAATCGTGCAGGACTATCCCCAGCCGATGCTCCGAAACTTTACAATATTCAAGTAGTAAATAAAATATTGAAAAAAGTTCCTTGCCCGTGCTGGAAATCAAACCCACGACCTTGCGGTCATGAGACGGACGCTCTTCCGCTGCGCCAATCCCAGCATCATTTTGGTGTAAAATTGAATGGTGTTCAAGTTCACATCGAATTTGGACTGAAAAATCTAACCTCAAAAAAGATATATTCAAAAGTACTCGCTGCGAACCGTGTAACTAGCGCCCTCTATGAGTGTCAGATATAAAAACAAATTCATGCAGTGTGTCAGCTTTCAGAACACATCCATACAAAATTTCATCACAACATTGCCAGTAGTTTCGACATAATTGTAAAAAATGTGTAAAAAAAATATTTTTCCAACACCTTGTATCTTGAAAATGGACGCCATTACGACATTTTTTCACTGAGCAAATTCAACTCATTTTGCAATGTTCTACCTATCCTAGCAAGGGGGTTAGGTTTTTTTGATGAGGTGTGTTTCTCCACATATCTGGATTCATTTCTCAAACTGTAATTTATTTTCGCTTCGCTTCGCGTCGTTCGTGTCAACGGCAGTCACGTGCGGGAAAGAATCACTTTCCGCACTTGTTAGGAAAATTACTATTATCCCACGTTTTTTTTCATTACCTTCTGATTCCTCAAATTTCCTATTGATATATCCTATTTCTTTTCTCTTCACCATGGCATTAACCTTATTTCTATCAATTTTATATTCAGTTAAAAGTTGAATATTATTTCGTTTTTTTTTTATTTTCATATTTTGTATTACTAACTTCAATTTCACGAATTATGTTGACCCCGACCAACACTCACCTTATTCAACCACTCGTTCATCAACCCTTTCTTCGTCTTGGGAAACTTGAACCCCTGCTGCTCGAGCGGCTCGACGGCCGCCTGGACCAGCAGGCAGGCCGACGACAGCCGCGTCTCGGGCGACGAGTGCGCCGAATTCGAGTTCGAGTCGGGCGACTTCGGCTCCTTCGCCGCCACCGTCGGCTCGCCGTTCGACAGGGCGAGCAGCAGGCCGACTGCTCTGGTGTCGCCACCGCCGCCACCGCGATCGGCGGCGTCTCGCGGGGACGCCGCCTTGGTGGTGGGGTACGCGGCGTGGGGGTGATCGTTGGGGGACAGCAGCATGTTCTCGTCGCCGGAGGTCATGTACGAGTCGGTCGAGTTCAGTCTGGAAGGAATCAAGTTTGACGTGAGGAAACTGTCACGAGAAAACCATAAATGAATCACATAACCACAGATTCATGATTTTGGGTGAGTTCATCAATCAATCAATCAAAAACGTACTTTATTGTCCAAGAATAAATCCTTATTGACAAAGCTTCAAAAATTATACATAGGAATGAGTTGCAAAGTAGCTCAAATTTATAATATAATATATAAATTAGATAAATAAAACATGAGCAGGTACATAAAACGAGTAAAAAATGTAAAATTACAAATATTATAGATACACATACATACATATATTTATATACATGGTCATTCAGATCAATACTTAACAAAAAGTGTATCATTATGATTGTTATTGTATATCAAAATCACTGTCATTATAAAATTCTTGCAGACAATAGTATGATTTAGTAGAAAGTATGTTTTTAATTGTTTTTCGAAACTTTGGTAAGTCTGACATTTGTTTCAAGGTAGTTGGCAAATCATTGTACATTTTTTTAACTCTCATACATAACCGAGTTTTTTAGTAATTCCAATTTCGGTATTGATAAGGATATATTATTTTTTTGTTGAGTATTGTAACGAAGTTACTTAATTTTTGAGTGTTCTGATAGGACACACTGTATATATCAGTTTTGAGAACTAATCGCGCTAACCAACAAAGTATCGACACCGTTCTTTTTCGTAAGGGAGTTTCATAATACACCGGAAGTATTGTTGACATCATCTTGAATGTACGGGGTTGTATTTTGATAGGTATAATTATTGATGTAACAACTTTATATTCAAGTTCTGGAATAATTCCAAAATTATACTTCTTATCTCTTTATTTATTAATTCTATTATTCACATGTTTTTATATTATCCATGGATATCATCATCCCTAATACAGGGTGACAGACATATACTGAGGAATATTAAATTCTAGATCTAATATTCCCACAATTGATAATAATTAATTAGGCAAGACGTCATTGCGATCTCTATAAGCAAGTCTAGATGTTCATCGATGAGCGCTACGATGCCCCTCTGTGTCGCGCGCCGAGAATAGTGGGGCAAACATAGATAAATCCGCGATCGCGCCCAGAAACGACAGTGTTCACTGAGACCGCAGCTGGACGCTACCGACCTGAAAGCCGATACCGCGAGGGAAGAACTTCTTGATACCGCAAGCAGTTAGGTGAACCGAAACTATATTGCATTTACTAGCAGTGTTTTGCTGCACTCCGGTAGTTGATGACTGCATTCCTGCAATCAGCGAATAATACTCGGGTTGCAGGACGGCACGCAGGGGACTGCATTGCGTTCAGCGAATTATATTCGGGACGTAAGGTTGCCTATTGCTTATCGTCTCCTATCGGAGCCGATTTACTGTGAAGGTACTTGGTGCTTCTGTCCTGCATTCAGCGAATAATATTCGGTTTGGAGGACATGGTACTGGAGGGGTGCTTTGCGATTCAGCGAATTATATTCGGGTTTTGTGAAGGTACCTTTACCTGCTGACAGTACAAGATATGTTTTGTATTGCACTTATCGCTTGATGCTAGATCGGCTTCAATTAATAATCATAAGGCTTGGCTTTTTGCTGCAAATTAGATAGAATATATTTATGAGCTTTGCATGAATTTGTGAATTAACATTTTGAGAATCCAGGAAGATCATAGTATCGCGAAACGGAGTTAATTTGCAAGCTTTCCAGGGGGGGTGTTGCAATTAGTATGCTTTGTATATATAGGTGGTAGTTTGCATATATTTCAACGATTGGGAAGTAATCTGCAATAATAAGTATCCCTTGGCTCGACAGCCTCTTGTGAATATTTGGAAAATAAAATAATAGATGTATTATAAATATTGTTTGTTTTATTTGTAGATTAGGATAACCAAGAGCAACTAATGATCCGGAGACAAAATAAAATAACCTACATTCAGTCACTTTGACAGATAGTAACTTATGACCCCTGGATTATACTTTCTCCACTGATAAGTTGCCCGGTGCAAAGTGGACCTATCACTATAATATAGGTGGCGCCCGAGTTATTGATAATCAACGAACCCGCTTTATAGTGCCAAGATGACATCTCAGAGTAGATAACGTTACAGTATTATATGCATTTGAATGTGCGTTTGTTGTCTTAGTAATGCATTTTGTTTATAATTTCGATTTCAAAATGAATGCGTTTATTGAATTCTATAATATACAGGGTGATTCATTAAGAATGGGAAATTTCTGAACTACAGATAGTAAACACAAAAATAATTGTGTTGGTTGGAACACATTTTGGTCACGTGGTGTTCAATCATTGTTGAAGACCCAGTACCTACGGAATTTTTAATGTGATGCAATGCATTTATTTTCCTATTCCCTGATATAAACATATTAGTAAATCGTTTCTTGGGAATAATAAAGATGTTAAGTTAATCGACTTAACACGACCCTAACCTGTTTCGTCTGGCGGACTGGCTGACCGTCCTCGACCGCCCCTTCCTCCGCCGCCGCTGCTTCACCTTCGGCTCCTGCCTATCCTCCTCTTTGGGCCCCGGCGCCGGACCCGGCCCTGGCTCCGACTCGCGCCGGTGCGCTTGCTTCGCCTGGTGCTCCTGCTTCCGCGACTCGGCCTTCTCCATTTGCTCGATCGCTCGCAGGATCGCCTCGAGCTTCCTCTCCTCCCTGCTCAGCTTCTTGCACTTCTCCTTCTTCGTCTCCTGCGGAAAGATAGAGGAGATGATGAGAATCGATAATTTGGATTGTTGGTAAACGTGCAGCGACAGTGACAGCGATAATTAGCAAAAACACAAATGTGTGAATTCAATTCAGTCTGCGACTCGACACCTTTCATCTGCTCAGCATCTCCTTCTTCAACTATATTTTTTTCTTCTTCTTTAACTCAATGTATTCTCTTTATTGTATGAATTGATTATTTGTTTTCAGTTCAAGTATTTATATTATGGAAAAACAATTTTATACGTGAAATATACTTCATCTCTTTCACACACAGGTCACTAACCTATGTGAAGGAGATACAATATGAAATATATATACATGTAATTAATATTCAATGACGAAATGTAAAATGTTACTCAATTTAATAATCGAATAAATAAATAAATAAATGATAGATGTCATTATGTAACCCCCGAATAAAATAATTGGACTTGTTTCATGTGAATGGCGGATAAAAATCAATTCATCATAAAACATTTTCAATACAACGGAATTAATGATATATGAACGATATACGGCTGAGTGTGCACACATGAGAAACAAAAAACAGGTTGTGGGCTGCTTCCCGTCTAGTAGTAGATATCACATTACAGATATTTATTCTGAAATTGCAATTTCATGTTGCAAATGCCTCCAGGTAGTTTCACTAGTAAAAAATGATGCTTTTGATAAACCCCAGATATTGCACTTAAATGCCTTCTTCATTAATTAACTGAATATTTTTGGAATATTTGAATAAAGTCCTTGCCAAAAAAATCTGAATACTTTGTGTATATCCTTTGACCACATTCTCTACTCACTTTTCCCGTGTCACTGGACTTCTCGTCATCCTTGTCAGACTTATACTGCGAAGACCGGCGCCCGGTCACCGGGTTCGACCGAGGGCTCTTCGTCTCCTCATACTCATCGTCCTCCTCTTCCTCCTCCTCCTCTTCCTCCTCTTTGTCCGGCTTCTCCTTGACCTCCGGCGCCGGCTCGGCCACCTCCACCTTCACTTCCAGCGGCTCCTCCTTGATGTCGATCTCCACTTTCACCTCCACCAACTTGAAAACCGAGACAATCAAAACCATTGCGAATTACATCCTACCATAAACATGTACTCATGTTTCTTGAGGGTGATAAAGACAATCAATGGATCAACTAACATCATGAATAAATCGCTAGCAACAGGCATTTTTCCAGATTTGTCTCCAAAGATTTTCAATATAATACCTGTTAACGTAGCGAAACTGCCTTCGTTGAATTCATTTAATGAGCAAAAAAAAATACATTGGAATGAGCCTTTCAAGTCACTTCTAGAAAAATATATATCGAAATATATGGCTCTCGAATACCTTAAAATATACTTTTGAGATTTTTTTCCAATTCATCGTACAAAAAAAAATTGAAAGCGCCAAAATGAATGAGCGAGTTCAAACTAACACACATGGCTGCGGAACTGGATTGGTAATGCCCTCACCTTTTCGCGGGAGCCAATGAAATGCACAATGGACTTGAAAATGATGCCAATTTGGACATAAAGCTGATTATTCGGATATTTATTTCTCGATTTTTTCATTTCAGCAAATAACTATCAACAAACACAGGAGAAAAGACAACAAGGGTACTGTGCAGTATAAATTTCGAAAACACAAAATTGAAAAAATTGATTTCCAAACCAACTTTCCTGTTTTTAATTTTTGAAAACAAGGCATGCTTTTGGCTGCTATGACAGTTGACAAGTTAACGGGCCAATCAAATTGCAAAGGACGTGAACCACAGAACGTAAACACTGGCAACTACAGTTATGAATGATCTAAGGCGCAAATGACATATATGCTGATGTTACCTGAGTAAACATGATAACAAAAATGTATTGTTGGTTGCATACGAATATGGTCTCGTGGTGTTTAATCATCGCCATAGTGGAAGGAGAAGATGGCGTGCTCAACAGAAAGCTCAAACTCGTCTTGTTCTGCGCATGACGTCAGCTGAGATATAACTGTCATTGTTATTATTTGTTTTCGTGATTGATGTCTCGAACTTCAGATATTATATAAGCACTAAAATTGAATGAAATAATTCCGAAATCCCCACTTGTTTCGTTTCTGTTTATGGAAATTCCAACTAACATACAAAAGGCACAGATATTGAAGTTTTCTGCTTTTCCAAGAATGGAGACCTAATGAAACGATGGGAGCATGCTGCCGACAGAATATAAATTCAAATAATGGTACCTACCTTATATTCCTTATATATTCTCATTCCAAAGTATTCACCTATCATATTATCATCATATTCATAATACTGCACGTATTTCTTCAAAACATTTTCATGCAAAATGTTCCCAAACAATTGCGAAAGTATGGTTCTTGACTTACACACCTCCAAAAAATCACAAATATTTGAAAGATGCCATTCCTACAGAATATCTTCCGTCGAATATCAAGTCAGAAATAATTGAAAATGAATTCAAAACTCTTAATTTCTCACAAAACATAAATTGCAGCAAAGATTTGAATAACAAAACGGCAAAAATTGATACTCCTGTTCTGTTGTCGATGTCGGAGCAGAAGCAACGTCAACGTCGTTAACTGCTGAATCTTAATCTGTCAGAATCGACACAGTAGTGGATCATTCAGATGGGATTGGCAATGCATGATAATTCGTATGTATTTGCTATTTGCTATTTGCGATTGCAAATTACCTCAAGATCACAATTTCCAGAATCAATGAAATAGTAAAATCGAAGGAATGAGTACCTGTTTATATAAATTGAATTATTATTATAGCTGAAATTGGTATCCCAGATGACGTCACATAATATGCGCGTAAGCACACCATCTTCTCCTTCCACTATGATCATCGCTAAAGACCCGGTATATGGACTAAAATAATTTTCTTTCATTGTATTCATACTACTTAGTAACATTTCCTCACACACAAGCTGGCTTTAGAAGCAATGTCTTGAGGATCAGCTTTTTTAATTATTGTCCTATTTCGGTGAAATATCGACCAAATCGTATATACATGTTTCGAAATCTTAACCTGGATATAAGATCCTAAGAAAAGCTGATGGCTTGATCATCAGACAGGAAAAAACAAAAGTGACTCTTTCACCCTTAACTTCTTCACGCCCTGTGGTAAAAGTGAGTGGTTAAGCTGAGCTTCATTATGTTTTGAGTTGAAGTGTGATCCATTCTTAACACCATGGTCTTCGATTCTCATCGATAACCACTTTTTAAGAAAAGATACGAGGTGTTTTGAGAAAGTATGTTTTTTTTTTAAATTTTAATCAACAATAATTCAGAACCATTCTCCAACCTTCTGCATTATCATGCTTTGAATTGAAGTGTGCCTTTTTCGTCCCTTCTTAACACAATGGTTCAAGATTCAAGTCAATATCTTCTTTTTAAGAGAAGATTCAAGTCTTTTAAGAAAGTATGGTTTTTTTAAATTAATATCAACAATAATTTAGAACTTATAGAGCATCTTGGGGATGAACTCTAGAGGCTCATTCGCCTTAGTTCGGCCATGTCAGAGACTCTTTAAGAGCTACGATTTGCCCTTCAAGGAGATATTTAGGCAATTCTTCAAGACTACATTAGAAATTTGATCAACCCGATGCCACGGCGGTTGAATGCCTCGTCGAATGACTCGTTATTGAATATATACAGTTCTGCTGTTTGTAATCAAGATTTTTTCTGTAAGTGCTAAGAAAATGAGGTAGAAATATGTGATATTAATCCTTCAAGTTGTTAATCAATAAGTTTATCTAGGTTCTGATTATTGTTGATATGTGTTAATGAAATTTGAAAAATGACATACTTTCCTAAAACACTCGTATCTTCTCTTAAAAATAAGATATTGACGTGATTCAAAAACTATTGTGTTGAGAAAGGATCACACTTCAATCCGAAGCATTAAGGCGTTAGGGCGTTAAGAATTAAAGGGTGAAATAGTGACTTTGATTTTTCTCTGTATAAAGATCAAGTTATCAGCTTTTCACTTAAACTAATATTCATGCTAACATTCCGGAACATAAATCTACGATGTGATGGAAATTTCACAAGAATCGGGCAAGGATTAAAAAAGTTACAGGGTGAACAATTCTGGCAATTGCTTTGGTGGCCGTTTTTTTTTTAGCCGGTGACTGTATGTATTTCTTCGATGAATATACTACGTCTATCGCTATCTACCTTAGTCTCTGCCGGCTCGACGGGCTCCATCTTGACGACGGTCTCCAGTTTTTCCAGTTTCTCCAGTTTGATTTTGCCGGGCGAGTGCATGACTGGGGAGGGAAGGGCGGGCACCGGTAGGTTGGGCAGGGTTGGCGAGAGCAGCTCCTCAACGGCGGGTTTGGGCGGTTCTGGCTCGGGCAGGCTGGAGGAGATCGTTCGCCTACCTCGTCTCTTTCGGCCGGTCCTGGTGAATGGATCATCGATGAATTAGGAAACGTTTTCGGAAAAGTCAGTGTTATTAATTTCGATTCAATAGGTAATATACAGGGTGTTTAAAAAAAACCTGACCCCCTTACTAGGGTAGGTAGAACACTGCAAAATAAGTTGGGTTTACTCAGTAAAAAAATTTCGATACAGCATTCGTCATCAAGATACAAGGTGTTGAAAAAATGATTTTTTCACACATTTTTCAAGATTATGTCGAAACTACTAGCAACATTATGATGAAATTTGTATGGATGTTTCTTGGAATCTGACACATCGCATGCGTTTGTTTTTATATCTGACTCTCATAGAAGGCGCTAGTTACACGGTTCGTACCGAGCAGTTTTGTACATAACTTTTTTGAGGTTAGATGTTTCAATCCAAATTTGATGTGAACTTGAACATCATTCAATTTCACACCAAAAAGGTACACTTGGTAAAACTCGATACTGTGCTCCGTTTTCGGAATATTTCGATTTGAAAATGATGAAGTGATAACTGTTGCTGGTATAAATATGTAATAGAGCGATTATTATGAAAAATCATCACCTATTTATTGAAAACCGAAAACAACAATACATTTCTGATGCTAAACTTATTGATTTAACAATGAATCACAAGAATAACATCGAAACAGATTTGACTAAGAACATGGATTACACAGTTTTGTTGTATCTTGAGCAGAAAGTCTAAGCTACATAGGTAAATTCACGTCAAGAGTTGTAAGACATAATTGAACATCACTTAAATGACCTAACAGCTGATCCTCAACTGTTTAGAAGAATAATAAATTCTTAAGAAAAGCATATAGGATCCTGTATTCGTCGAAACGTAGGACATTTTGAACACTTACTCTAACTGATTCAATATTTCATGTTTCTAGTCAAATATCTCTTAATTTTCTACTTATGACTCTTTGTTCCATCAATAACTTCAGCACAAGAATAATTTTATTGCTTTTGTATCTGAATAAATAGGTAATTGAACTTAATAAAATTCATTTTATACCAGCATCAATACTACTCCATTTTCAAATCGAAATATTCCGAAAACGGAACATAGTATGAAGTTTCACCAAGAGTTTCTTTTTGGTGTAAAATTGAATGAGGTTCAAGTTCATATCATATTTGGATTGATAAATCTAACCTCAAAAATGTTATGTTCTAAAGTACTCGGTACGAACCGTGTAACTAGCGCCCTCTATGAGAGTCAGATATAAAAACAAATTCATACGATGTGTCAGATTTCAAGAAACATCCGTACAAAATTTCATCACAATGTTGCCAGTAGTTTCGACATATTCGTGAAAAATGTGTAAAAAAATCATTTTTTCAACACAACTTATTTTGCAGTGTTCTACCTACCCTAGCAAGGGGGTCAGGTTTTTTTGAAACACCCTGTATATTATTTTACAGACGATGCCGTTAGCTTATATTCTGCAGAAGATTGGGGCAAATTGAAGATAGTTATCAATATCCCAAATATCAAACAGTGATTTGACAATAATTTATTAAAAATCAAATACAGATAATTCATTTTATATAAAACTCTCATACAAATAATCACAAAAGATAAATATCATTCAGCTATGCATGCACACCAAATGTGATATAAAAACTACTGAGGGGTGTCATAAGTTAGGTATCAATTGAGATAATGTGCGGCTCAGTGCTATTCAAAGGCAAGCGTGCCTGAGTGCCACTGGTGCAATAAAAACCACTCCAACAGCCGCTTTAGAGGTCCTCTTGAACCTACCACCACTACAAATATATATTCAAGGCGAAGCCAGAGCAGTCGTGAGTAGATTGTCAAGGGGTCAAGCACCCATAAGCAACGGGATGCCAACGGATGGCATAATTCCAAAATATAGCTTTGAAAAAACTTTTAAAATAAGTATAACGGACAGAGAGGCATGGAAGGAAGGACATCCTATCAATGCAGACATTGCTGTCTATACGGACGGCTCCAAAACTAATGAAGGATCAGGAGCTGGTATTTATGGGGCCAAGCCAAAGAGAAGAATCTCACTGAGCTTAGGCAAATACGCGACGGTGTTTCAGGCAGAAATTATTGCAATACATCATTGCGTGAAAGAATTGATAAGGCAAGAGTTCAAAGGCAAAACCATTGCAATCTATTCAGATAGCCAGGCGGCAATCAAAGCAGTCAACTCTATGCAAGTTAACTCAAAACTAGTATGGGACTGCTTAGAAACCCTAAATGCACTGGGCAGTCAGAACAGATTGACTCTAGCATGGGTACCAACACATACAGGGTACGAGGGCAATGAAGAGGCAGACTCACTTGCCCGAGCAGGAGCAAACAAAGCTCTTAATGGCCCAGAACCCTTCTGTGGTATTGCGAAAGCTATACAAAAGACTTGTATCAAATCATGGATGCAAACCAAATCTCAAGAATGGTGGAACAACTCGCCAGGAATGAGACAGGCTAAAGAGTTTATTAAAAAACCATCGCCAACATTCACAGAATATCTACTAAGCCAGAAACGAAGTTCAACTAGAATACTAGTGGGACTTCTCACAGGGCATTGTAGGCTCAACAAACACATGAGTACGATAGGTCTGACTGAAGAACTGCTGTGCAGGTTCTGTCGAGAAGAGGAAGAAACAGCAGTACACATACTTTGCCACTGTGAGGGCTTGTCAAGACTAAGGTTCCTCACGCTGGGTGAGGAAAAACCAGGAGCCCAGAGATACACAGGAGATCTGAAAGCTAGCCTATGGAGTCTCATAGAGAAGGCGGGGCTAGCCGAAGAACTCTACATCGATTTTCAGGGCAGACACAATAGATCTGAAAAGGTCGCAGTGTGGAGGCAGATAGCCTGAAGGCCCCATTCCAAATCTAAATCTAATGTGCATGTTTCAGTGAAACATTTTATTTCGTTATTTCGAAGTACTAATCCTAACTAGTTCCTTGTCGCAAGCCGTTTTCTCCTCAGAGCTCCGACTTTTTTAAATAACTATTGAAATTCACGATATTTCATAACATGAAAGAAATAGTTTTTATTCTGAATTGTATGGTCTTTGTAAAGAGATGAAATTCACAAATACTGAGGTATTACTTTTATTTACAATGAAACATCACATTTAAAACCACTCAGGAACTTAAAAACGATTGTATTTGTCATGAAAAACAGCAACGATAAATTCTTCACATGAGAATGTTTTTATTTTAGATCTTTCATTTGCTATGGTACTTCATTTCGAATTTTCATTCTTATGTTATGAAATAGGGAAGGGGTCAAGTGATACCTCATACCTAATTTGAAACGCTTTCAAATTTTTTATACACCATAATTTCATAAATATTCATCCAAATCAACAAAGATTAATAAACTGTTTCTATTGGTAAACGTATGTTAGCGTGAAATAGTGGGAAATAGGAAATAGGTGGGGGCTAGGGGCACTTTACCTCCCAACTTTTTTGTTGAGCATTTTTTTGAAATCTCAACATTATTACTCATTAATAGTAATCTTGTTTAGTTTTGATACCATTCACCACTTTCCAGGTAAATCGATTTCAAAATAGTGCTTTTTCCTCAATAGGGTACAGAATTTTTCCAAGAATTATGATTTATGGAATATAACCCTTCTTTCGACATCTACTTTTGATGTTTGATAAATTGAAAAATTAAATTGAGAAATAATATGATAAGTACCCTACAAAGGAAAAGAACTATTTCTATTACTATGCAACACACTTTTAAAATCGATTTATCTCGAAAATGGTGATTGCAATTGAAACTAAACAGCAATAGTATGATTCATTTTATAACTGAAAGGTGAAATGGCATATAATAACCTTCATTATTTCCAAAGGTATATTTCTGAACTCTCAGAGTTGCTTTGATAGTTGTAGATGAAGTATAGTAATCTACACGCACATAATGACTATTACCCACTCAGATGACGCTCGTTGAATAATATACTTACTATTATTGTTCACAACTATTTCATTACAACACAAATTTTTCAACCACATTTCAAAGAGTAGGACATCTTGCTAGGGCTCAGAGCTCTGTGCTGGTTCCTCCGCGTGACGCAGAGGTGGCTGGTGTTGGCCAGGGAATGTGGGTGTTTTTGTGAAGTGTTAGTCTCAGAGGCCTATCTACTGGGGCCGGGCCCCTTATATAGATGATCTCACTGAGGTTACACAAGAGGGTGGGGGAGCTGATCAGTCGCTATCAGTGGTGGGTGGTTTGTAGGGGGGATGGAGGAAAATGAAATATTAAAAACAAAAACCTCCTGTGATATTGAACAGCTAGTGCCTTACCTGAGAAGCTAGTGCCATGCCCTATTATAATAATCAATATTATCATTATTATTACTCACATCTCCGAGCTGTCACCGTTCTTCTTCACCGTCGATTTGTTGACAAAGCACTCGTCAGGATGGCCGCACGCGCACGCGATGCTCGTCGTCCCGATTGCGGCCAAGTCGTGCGTCTCGTGCTTGATCGTCAGCTCGCCGTTCTTCTCGACGCCGGTCAGCGTGACGAGGTAGATGTGCAGCGCCCCCTTCTCGATGCAGTGGCGCAGCTCGGCGTTGGGGCGGCACGAGCGGCGCACGAAGCGCGCGCTGTTGCCGTACGTGCGCGTATCGACGCACACCTCGGTGTTGTCCTTGGCGAGGCGGTAGAAGAAGAGGAACGGGCCGGGCCGCTGCGAGTGCTGGCGGGTGGTCAGCGAGCCGCCTACAAGAAAGGGGGTTTTGTTATTTGTTTTACAGCAATGAGGAAGTTTATTTCAGATGAATTTACATCAAATCAGTTTCATACTGATCAAGATTATGCTTCTGCAATCTTTAATGACAATTGAAATTATTCAAATAATTTCTATTTTCGAACTAGAGCAATTAGGAAATATTTTGGCGGAAAATGATGATGTGAAAAGTGAATCCAGGGTGAACATTGCTTTAACCCAGATATGCCTAATGTCCCATTTATGTAGTACACCTATTCTGGGTCTATTTTTCTCAACACTAGTGCAATATTTCTATATATAGCAAGACTACGCATTTATTCATCACATACAATGAATATGGACATGTCAAAAATATTCACAGACTTGTTTGATTTGTGCCCACAGGTTGAAGTAGGTTTTTTCAGCATATTGATGATTAGAATGCACGCTCTTATTGGTGAATTATTTTTTCATTTTCATAGTTATGTTCAAATCCAATTTGTGGTATTAATGATCAGGTAAATAGCATATGTTTCGTATGCCGTATCATTATTTTGAGCATTTATGATATTTGATTTTTATATCTCGGGTTTATTGCTGCCGTCCTACATATAGGTCATTAGGCAGCTATATGACCTTTTCTCATTTGATAGATTTTTTCCTTCTATGAAGTAATCGCTATATTAAAGGAATCTGATGAAGAAAAGATGAATGAAGAAAAGATGAATGCAATTCAGGATAAAACAATTTTTCCTCCAATCAACACAACTACTGAGTTGACAGATGACGATGAGGGCGAAAAAAAAAAGGTGCCAGGATGTCAGGATCTGAACTTAGTGCTCCAATTGAGTTCTTGAGTTGGATTTTTGTCACTATGAAGGTCCGGTTGGTGTTTTTGGAAGTTTCAGAGAGTGATGTGGCATTATTTGAGATAAAAAATGATAAGAGGAAGAGAAGAGGAAATCCAAGAAAGTAGATGAAAGAGAAAATGATAAGTGCTCCAATTGAGTTCTTGAGTTGGATTTTTGTCACTATGAAGGTCCGGTTGGTGTTTTTGGAAGTTTCAGAGAGTGATGTGGCATTATTTGAGATAAAAAAGGATAAGAGGAAGAGAAGAGGAAATCCAAGAAAGTAGATGAAAGAGAAAATGATAAAAGATTGGATATAAAAAGATCTGCCTATAAAACTATAAAATGCTCTCGATAATGAAAAACGAATAAAAAGTCTGTTGGCACACTGGAATTATTCCCAAAATTTTTCGACAAATCTATTCTGGAACATACACTGCGAGAAAAGAGAAAATATAGCAAGTATATTCAGCAAAAAAATAAAAAAGGCAATATCTGAGATTAAAAGCATCGGAGACTTGATTCTCAGTTGATATATTCGAATTTTATGCAGAAGAATATTATATTGGAGAAGAGAAATAGATTTTTTATCATGTTCTGGTTCCCACGAAAAGGAATATCCTGTAATGTTCAGAGAACATCGTGAGAACCAAGGAAAATAAGGTAGGAATTGTTGTGCTTCTTAAATTTCTGGAGGTTATATGCCTCGGGGAACACAGTAACGGAGACAATCTACAAAGACAGAAAGATAAGAGAATGATAGAATATCACTGACTTGATGATTTAGTGATTCCACATGTCAAACAAACTCGATGTGCCCTGTCCTTTCAAGAAATTTGGATGTTGGACTTCACACCAAGTGTTTCATCATGTATTATCAAAAAACATAACCAGTTTCAATTTCTATCTCTATGTGCCTAATGTCCTAAATGTAGGACGTCCAGATTTTTGAATCTCTCAATGAACAAAAATTATAGAATACATACACTCCATTTATTTTGACCACAGTCAGGTGAAATATGGAGCATTCAAAGTTCTGATTTCCTCAAAAAAGATTTAGGCATATCTGGGTTAATAACATTGGCTGTGAGATACGAATCTCCGAATAAGCACAAATTGAAATCGCAGAAAAAAAATCAACGGTTCACTTTCTTAGAAAGCTTACTCATGATGATTAAGAGTATATCCTGAAAAATGAATGAATTGAAAAAAAAAAGAAAATGAAAATATTACAATAGGCCTGCTTCAGTGATAAATTTCATTTCATTATTTCAAAGTCCTAACTCTAACTGCTCACAGTTCACTGTCGTAAACCGTTTTTTTTTCCCCAGAGCTCTGTTAATTTGTTGAAGAATTATTGAAATTCACGATATTTTGTAACATTAAAACACGGAAAAACGCGTGACGTAATCATCCATTATCTCCTACACCAACAAATCAACTATGTTTATGACATGACAGAAACACTTTCAATAAACGAACGAACCGTTTAAGATTGGAATTATAAGATTTTCATATATCATATGTAAAAGTTTGAATCTGATTTAGTTTTTTAAGAGAAACTATGAAATTAATTATCACAACTAGACATCATATATTTCCCCTCGATGTTGCCAACTTTATATAAGGACAAACAAGATCCACCGTTGTTCTATTCAAATATAATAAATTCATTGATTATGAAAAATAGCAGAAATATAATCAAATAGAAAAAAAACTTGAGAAACTGGTATAAAATAGATTAATTGATTTAATTTATATTTAGAAATTCCTAAATTTGATTTGATATTCAATAAATTCACATATAATAATGTTCAAGGATTATTATTCTTCAATTTTTTTACTACTGTAGTACTATTATTGTCAACTAACTACTTCCTTATACCAGAACTTGTTTTTGACTGAAAGTTATATGTTCAATGAAGAACTAAATAATAACCTATTGCACAAGACCTCTCACCTGAATTCCTGTGCTGCGCCGACAGCATGTACTTCCCTCTGAGCTCGACCACGGGCGTGTTCGAGTCCAAGTTCGCCGTGCTAACCAGATACTTCAACTCGGTGAGCGGCTGCGTATGCACGCGGCACTTCTGCACCGAAGCGTCGAAGTGCATGTCGCCGCCCGAATGGGCGCCGTTCACTCGCACGCTCGATATGCGCGCCCGCAACTCGGGCGAATAGTGATTGGTCACGGCCTCCTCGTACTTCTCGATCCACTGGCGCAGCTGGGGCAGGTGGGCCGCCCACCCTTCGGCCGCCGCGGCGGAAGCGGCAGCGGCGGCGTGTTGGTCGTCTTCGCTGGCTGGTTTCGCGGCAGTGGGTTTCTGTTTTTTCCGCACCGTCTTGCGCTCTTTGCGCTTCTGCCGCCTCTGGACCACCTCTTTGGCCACTTCGCGTCTTTGGCGGGCCGCCTGCTTTTGGCCGTTGTCGTTCTTCCTTCTGTTCGCCATGGTTCTGCCTTTAGCGACGACGTTGTTATTGTGTGCTGGAAGAACGTTTAATGATAACTTTTATGCAATCATTGACGGTAACGTAATTTTTCCGCACGATTTTTCGTTTTGAAAGCTGTACTTTTGCGAATAATTTTACTTGTCTGCACGATTAATCGATAGAATAAATGGAACACAGTAACAGAAGAAATGGATATGGTTAGATCACCGAAGTCAAGCTACAACGAGCGCGGTTGGTACTTGGATGGGTGACCGCTTGAACAGTATACAGGTGAAAATCAACGGAAAATATGTGATTTTACCATAATTTGAAATGTCAATGCATGGATATAAACCAAGAAGAGGAACATTTCATTGGAAATTGTACGTCTTCAAGACGTCTAAAAGACGTCTCTGAGATCTGAAATGTACGTCTTAAAGGCGTACTTACGTAGTGGCATATACGTCTTAGAGTCGTCTAATGTACTTTGGATGAATGGGTTATAGGTAACCAAATTGAAATAAATTAGGTTAACTGACCATTTATATATTGAGAAAACATTTTAAATGCCATAACAATCACAGAACTCTATAGACTAAGGCTATCAAGATAAATCGATAAAATCGTGCGGGAAAGAAACTTTATTGCATAGTTGAAAATGAGGATATTAACTAAAGGATCTATGTAACTATTCTGTCTTATGAGTCATTTTGTAGCATTTTTATAAAATCTTGTTTATTAAAAACCTTTTCATGAATAATATGGACAAAAACACAGTAGGAAAAACATTGTACCAAACTCTTGCGGTAAAGTACTACTTTCCGCACTTGTTAGGTACATAACCATTTCATTTTACACTAAGCGCTGCATTTGACATATTGTATATCATTATTCAGTTAAGCTGTATTGACTGCATTTATGATTCTGTCAGGTTCAATTCAACTTTTAATGGAATTCTTATAAAATGTCTGTGAACATTTCACACCAAACATTTTTGATCAATTTAAAGCCTATATTTCGTATCGTTACCATAGCAACTAAACAAAGGGAGCATGAAATTACACTGGAAAATTTTTGACGTTAATAGGTTGAATGACATTCACATTCAACTTCAGATTATTTCGAGTTCATTCTATAAGTCAATTAATAAAAATCATTTATCAACAGTTTACCATATAATAATATTATGTATGTACACTTGCAAATTCGAAATTTACAAAAACACATGTTGTTACTATATGTTAGTTCTCGCATTTCATCACAAACAACCATCAACATGTAAATTTTCTTACCGAATACCACTTTAGCTTCAATTAATATCCGGGAATGTTTTCGAGAACACGAATATTTTGAAAATTCTCCCGAGTAGAAATGATTGAAGCACTCGTGATATTATAAGTGAAAATACAAATGTGTGATCAACTTCTGAAAGAAACAAAAACTCATCATACCATAAGTTTCCAAGCAATATTCACAAAAGAACAAACTGGATAAAACGTATTGGGAAGTCGGCCAAGGGTTTTGAATGAAATCATGCTGTATGCACAGAAAATAGACAGCAGTATTCATTTCAGTCTAGGGATCCAGCAAGTTATATCCCTGGAGAACAAAAACTGGGATCTACAGATTTTCATGGCCCAAATATAAATACTGTTGCTTTATTTCTCATCACCACCTAATAATTATCCTGTTTTCAAAAAATTAAATTCAAATTACAAAATGAAAATTGAATGTATAATGTGAGTCTAGTAATAATCTATTAGTTTCTGAATCTGCTGTGGGATTCCTCCAGAGAATTTTTATTTAGTGAAGGTGGATTGAACAAGAATATAAAATTATTACACAGGAACACCTTTAATTGTTTTTCCCATGTATAGTCAAAACACACTAAATTTTGGATGTATGACAAATTGATATTGATCATACAGGACATTGAAAGAAATTCTGAATTGAGAAAACCTAATCACGAATCTGTGATTACTTACTTTTTGCAACCAAATATTTTATATTCGATTGATGATTTTAATTCAAAGTATGTACAGGGTATCCCAATTTGGGCACTTTTGCGGGGTATCTCCATTATCAGTAAAGATAGAGCATTGCGGTTTTCGCGACAGTGTGCTACTTTTTTATGAAATTAATAATGGCGCAAGCAGAATTGTGATAGCTCTTCCGGTTGTCGAGATACAGGGTGGAATTGAAAAATATCACTTTCCAGTCTCAGTTATCTTTGAACTTATCGAAGAAGTTGAAACTCGTTTTTATAGAGTTTTTCTCGTAGAATCCAGTGGCGTAGTTATTTTTTTGCTAGCACCTTTTGTTTTTTAGTTATGGAGCAAACATATGTTTTTTTAAATGGAAAATAATTGTATACAATTATATATTTTTGGAAAGCCCACTTCATGCTCAATGTATATATGAAATAATATACAGGGTGTTCCATTTAAAAAAACATATGTTTGCTCCATAACTAAAAAACAAAAGGTACTAGCAAAAAAATAACTACGCCACTGGATTCTACGAGAAAAACTCTATGAAAACAAGTTTTAACTTCTTCGATAAGTTCAAAGATAACTGAGACACGGAGGGTGCCTGAAAAGTGATATTTTTCAATTCCACCCTGTATCTCGACAACCGGAAGAGCTATCACAATTCTGCTTGCGCCATTATCAATTTCATAAAAAAGTAGCACACTGTCGCGAAAACCGCAATGCTCTATCTTTACTGATAAGGGAGATACCCCGCAAAAGTGCCCAAATTGGGATACCCTGTACATGGGCAATACCAAATAATAATTTTATTTTGGTATTTGACGTATACAGGAAAAATGGCATCTCATTTTCAAATTTTGCTCATGTTGCTAATAGAAGAATATTCGTTTTGATATCCCGACTTAGTTTCAACTAGGGTCCCTGGATACAAACTGACGTATTTGTCATCTAACAGGGTACAGACAGATCATAGCTCCTTTCTCTTTTAATCATCTAGTGACTTTGGATTCGTGCATTGGTGTCCCTGACATGACATTGCTGTCACGGCACATTCATAGGCGTTAAAAAAATCTTACAAAATTTTAAATGGTACTTAATATTAATACATTATTCAATTCTGTTTGAAGGATGGTTAAATGTGCTGTGTTGGGCTATATCAATCAGTTGGATGGCAAATAAAAATTTGTCAGCTTTCCAACAAATGCAAATGAACTTGGAACATGGAAAGTGAAGAGACCGATTTGGGAAAATCGGTAAATACATCAGCAAAACATGCGAGGTAAAACTAATATGAAATCACATATTATACGTTCTCATTGTGCCTATAATTATCCACTCCACAAATTTTCGGATGCAATTAATAATATCATTAGATAAATTTTAATAATAATTGTGAATAAGTATGTATGAATATAAATAATTATGCGTATTGAATGAAATGCTTAGTACACTATATATTATGAATTGAATACTTGTCTCATTTCTTAATTTTCCCTTGTGATAATTTGATATAGTTGAATATTTATTGACCTATGTACATTTAGTTATTTTTTATCCTTACTACAAGGTTAACTTCGTAAGGTTTTTCCCAGTTTATGCAAATTACCTATATGTTTATTCCAATGTATATTTTGTAAACGTTTTTGAATAAACTTATATTATTTTTATTATTATTATTATTATTATTATTATTTTAGTAGAAACAGTTTCGATTAAAACGGAGGATTTAAAGAAGAGGCATATGTCCTACCATTTAAAAAATTATACCTACATTCGGGAAATATTAAGTGTTCATGAAAAACTGCAAAAATGATTCCCAACATGAATATATACAGCACACATGACATATGAGCACATTAGTTTAAATACCTACATGAAATCTTTCACCATTTCTCAACCATAAGGCTTAGTCTGAAATCAAAAGTCATTTATTGATAGGTACTGCCTAAGAGTAGAGTCACTGGATGGTATTAGTTTGATAAGAGTTCGGACACAGAAATGACAACGGTTAGGGTTTTTGAATGTTTAGATTTATCAAGTTACACACCTTGCATTGTGACAAGAGCACCATATTCGTCCCGCGCTATTTCATTCAAATTGTTTGAGTTTGACAATACATTTTAAAAACGTTAGAATTTAGATGAAATTTCATAATTATACTTTCGAAGAAAAAAGCAGTTATAGAAATCACTTGCTGTGTAATGAATTGTGCCAATTCTGAAAAAAATGGATATCATTTTCCAAAACAAATATCAACCATTCGCTTATGGAAGGAAGATATGAAACAGCCTCGGTGGAGTCAATTTGAAGACGAGCGAAATTTGTGCTCATTAAAATTCACTTCTTATAACATCATCTGATTAGAATGAAACTATATTTTAGGCCCATTTCCAAACAGAAGATTTCAAAATCTGTTTGAGAGAATCTGCTGTTCCATCAATACAAAAAAATGTACAAAGCAAAAGATTTCAAGAAATTCCATTATTATCATCTCACAAAATACAATACAAAATAATCATGGAAAAGAGGAAATGATCGCAGAATTACATAATGAAATAGAAAATTTGAAAACAAAACTGAGAAAAGCAAGTAAACTACAACGTGATATATTATTATTGAATGGCGTTTTTGGTGCCGACCAAATTCGAAATTGATTGATTGATTGCCTTTATTACCCCAAGAAACATAGTTGTTTATAATAGGGATACATAAACAATGAATAGTTATTTATGTATCAAGGAAATTATTATAAGGGCCTTAATTACGCTGGAGGTTATCGTTTTGGAGATATTTTCTATATCTATGTCGAACAGCACTCTATCAAAACTCCTTCATTCATAGAACGGCTGGCTCTGGAATTCATTGCCTGAGGAAGTATTCCCAACAACATATAATCTCCAGAAGTTCAAAACAAATTCCAATACCTACCTCCTGTCCCTATCCTCCCTAGGAACGCACGATGTTCTTTGAACATTATAGGGATTTTCTTTCGTGCACGATAAAAAAAAATTGAAGTTTTTACAAAACCAAGTATTTAGTAGGTCTCGTCAATAAACTACTCTTTTCCTATGAAATGTTTATCGAAAAATGATTTGTTCTCTGTATTTTAACACCCTGTATCTCCGAAATGAAGCATTTCGGACACAAGCAGAACATAAAAATGAAAAATAAAATAAACTATAAATTGATGTGGGTGTTTGTACCCTATATCCATTGTCCATCTACGGCTATGATTGATTTGACAGAAAATATAACCTCTAAAATCGTATCTGACAATCAGGCACTACTAGGGAAATTGAAAAGACAAAGATCAGAATATATGTCTTATTCTTTTATTCACTTAATCCATTGCATTATAGAAAATAGAAAAGGACAAAAGTTCAGCTGTGTCCGAACTCTTTTCAAACTAATACCATTCAGTGACTCTACCTAAGAGCAGTCCCATTTCGCAAAACGTATCAAACTTTCAGAAAAATTTGCTCACTGCCTCACCAAGATTATGCTGGAGTTGAAAAATCAAAAACTCGGAAATTATCATCATCATTTGGATATAATATGTGGTGTTGAATGAGAAATTACATGTGGAAATTACGTATGATACGCCAATGTCCTGAATATAACCTAAAAAAACAGCAAATGTCAGAAATCTTGTGTTTATCCCCAGAAATGAATAAAGATGTTTCACAAACACTTTAGAGTGAGAGGAGACGAGGATCTGTCCGTACCCTGTTAAGATGACAAATACGTCAATTTACATCAAGGGACCCTAGTTTCAACTTGAGCCACATTCTGCCTAAAATGGTCTATTGACCAATAGTACTGCCCTACATGTTCATCGCCAACAACTTGGATCACTCACCGACATGCTCGCCATCCGATGAATCCGTATCGCTCACAGTCTCCTTCGGCTTGAATATCTCCTTCGCCTTCGCGTCCTTCCTCAGCTTCGGATCGACGAACTGCCTGTCCTTCAGCCACTGCTGCTGGAGCGCGCGCGCCTTCTGCCTATCGATCACCTTCGTCGGATCGCACACCTCGCACAGGTACTCGTCCGGCACCTGCCGGTTCTTCACGACGCACTGCACGTGCTGCCACACCTTGCACCTGTCGCATTCGACCATGTAGCCGTCGTCGTGCACGAACGTGCTGGAAATGGAAAGAAATATAAGTTCGGGTCCACAAAATTGACACTTTTCTTCAGCAATTTTTTTTTCATGTTCTGGTTCCCACGAAAATGGATATCCTGTAATGTTCAGAGAGCATCGTGAGAGCCAAGGAAAATAAGGTAGGAATTGGTGTTCTTCTTAAATTTCTGGAGATTAAATACCTCGGGGAACACCTCCCTTGGCAATGTGTTCCAGAGCCTCGCTGTTCGTTGGATGAACGAGTCTTTGGAAAGAGATGTTCTGCAGGTCTCCAAAGTGACCATGAAGGGGTGCGAAGCCTCAACTCGACGGGTTAATCTCGCGGTGACTGCCAAGGAAAGAACAATTTTTGATACTTCAGAAGAGCATCGTCCATGAAATATCTATGAAATAGAGCCAGATCGCCAACTTTTCTACGGTGTTCCAGAGAAGAGAGTGAGTTTGTGAGCGAGGCATCACCTACGAGACGAATTGCCCTTTTGTGGACAGACAGTTTCAGGGTATGTTTGGGTGCTGCACTCCAAATATGGGAACAGTATTCCAGGTTAGTTCGGATCTGTGCCTTATAGATCATAGGCAGCTGACTGGAAGTGAAATAGCTGCTGGCCCGAAACAGAAAACCAAGTTTTTGGGATGCACTTTTAGCAATCTCACGTGATTTTCCCAAGAAAGGTTATTGCTGATAGTAATACCAAGCATCGAATGGATGTCTTCAAAGGTATGGTTACTCCTGACAAGCTTATGTTGGGCACAGTGAGATCGGCTTTTCTATAGAAAAGGCATGCTTGTGTTTTGTTTGCATTGAAATCTACCGAGTTATTGGATTCCCATTCGAGAATTGTTGCCAAGTCCATATTTATGTTGTCAACATTTCTCCCTCGTTCGTTTCTGATTTGCCTGGCTAGTATTGGAGCCTTGGAAGAGAAGGCGGTATAGAGGGTACTATCATCCGCGAAGCTGTGTACTGGACATGAAGTTGCTTCCAACAAATCGTTGATATGGAGTAGAAAGTGTTGATGCTAGAATTGATCCTTGCGGTACACCAGCATTTATGATAAGAGAGTCAGAGGAAACTCCGTCGACCACAACATGGAGAGACCTGTTTGAGAGAAAACTAGCTAGCAGAGAACATAGATGGGGAGGCAAGCCATAAGATGAAAGCTTGACGAGGAGTCCGTGGTGCCAGACTCGATCGAATGCCTTGGAGATATCAAGTACCACGGCTAAGGTTTCACCATATAAATATTAATAATAATAATAATTTTATTCATAATACATAATACATAAAATAGAATTTCAACAATGTTGAAAATGACATAATTTATGATTATAAATAAATATGACAGTGATTCCGTTAAAGTTCATGAGCTTATGTACGAATAGTCATATACCATCTGGGACAGATATACCTTTATAATCATGAATGCGCGCTGTTTGTGTACACTGAATAATACCTGAATGTTCCAGGTATTTTATGAGCTCGATGTTGATAGCTTTCTCCATGATCTTTGAAATAATAGATAGCAGTGCGAACTGTGAAATTAACTGCTTCCAAGAGAGAAAATACCTCCTCTGGGACTTCACATGCTTTTCAAAGGTTTGGGTGACAATGGTGATATCGTCCAAATAGACGAAACAGTGGTGCTGAACATCTCGACTTTAAACTCTATCTATTGGACATTGAAAAGTTCCGGTTGAGTTTGCTAAACCCATCGGAAGTATCCTAACCTGAAAAAGTCCTCGATTTGGTACTGTGAAAGCCAAGTCATTACTTGGATTCTTCAGCAAGTGGAACTTGAAAATAAACCGACTTTATATCCATGGAAGACAGATATCAAGCATATCGCATATTATCAAGAGTAGCCGCAACATACGGAATAGGGTAGGCACCTTTCCTGTAACCTGATTTAATTTTCGAAAATCAACGCAAACACGGTAACTATTATCTTTATTTTTCACGAGAATAAGAGCGGCCCACGGGCTAGTTGACGGTTCAACGATATTCTCGTCCAACAATTTGCTCAACTCTTGGTCAATATGAGCTTGCATAAATGAAGGAATGGAAAAACTATAGGGAAAAATGTGAAAAAAGTTGAGAGAGAGATAACATTTACTCCATTGTCATGAAAGAGATACATTCTAATAGACAAAGCACAAAGTTAAAATTATGGATAAAAATATATAGCGGGAGATTTTAATAGACATCAAGAGAAATATTATGATACATCTATACTCATATTATATTATAAAGAGTAAAGATGTGATTGTTTATTTGTATGTATTGAATAGGCTCCGCAACTACTGGATCGATTTAGCTTCAATAAATTGAAATTAAATATTTCGAAGTCTAAAGCTATGGTCCTGACAACAGGCTATAGATAAAGGGAATTAAATATCAATTCTTTTTCACTGAACATTAACAACGAAAAATTAGATTTCATAACAGAGTTTAAATACCTTGGTTTCATGTAAGATAACAACCTAACCTTTGGTGTACATTTCAATTAAATGTCGAAAAAAATATCGAAAAAACTTTACTTTTTCACACGAATATTTACTCATCTGTCTACCGCTGCTAAGATCACCATTTATAATACCATAATACAACCACATTTTGATTATTGTAGCACTCGGCTTTATGGACCAGAATAAAATTATGGCATTACAAAAACTGCAGAACCGAGGCATGAGGGTGATTCTTAGATGTAATCGTTCTAGTAGTATCTCTTCCATGCTTGATACACTGAGTTGGTTATCGATAAAAGATAGACTTTACCGAACATCAATGATATTCATTTTTAAGATTATTAATAATATGCTACCAACCTACTTTAAGGAATTTATAATTTATCGAAATAGTACACATGAATATGAAACAAGACATAATCATTACTTCCATTCGCCAAGATGTAACTTATCGAACTCAATGAAAATATTATTGTATAAAGGTTTAAATCAATATCATAAGTTACCACAAGAAGTGGAAAATGTCCCAAATCTCCGTCAGTTTAAATAAAAACTAACTGCCTTTATCAAATCAAATGTCATAAGATAGAATAGATATGTAGATTGATATTATTATTGTATTAGTACCTAAATCAGTGTCTCTACAATTTTGATATTGTGAATATTAGGATGTATACCTTTATTGAAATAAATTCATTCATTCATTCATAATGATATGAATGATAAATGATGTGGCCAATGTTAACAAATAAAAAAACTCAGATTATGATTAGACTTGATCAGACTCGTGTGTTTTATTTATTAGGCGCAATTTTCACATTAACAGATGAGAATTAGAATAAGGAAGAGGCCGAATAAGACAAAAAGAAGTATATTCTAAACTACTCAACACTAATTTCGTCGCACACCAAAATGTCGCCCCTGTTATAATGTGAATAACTTTTTTCAGTTTAGAACAATTTGAATTTGGTTCACACTGTTCGATAGCCCAGTCCTTCAGCTATAATCTCGTACTTCATTGAAACATAAGGGTATTCACATAAAATCTCTACATGGTGTTTTCCGACACTGTGCAAAATTTCGGAATATTCAAAAGGCTCTCAAATGATGAAAACATTTTTTTTTCTTAACTTCGACAACAGAGGCATGATCTCATTACCTCAAGATATTTCGCGAATCAACTTCCTATCTCTCTTATTTACAGAGTGATCTCAAAAAATCAACTTTTTGGTTTTGCAGCCATAACTTTTTTCCACGTCAACCGATTTTGGAAATCTCAGGCTCATTTTGAAGATAAAACTTCAGATGAAGAGATCTGAATATCAGAATTGACTCAAGATGGCTATCAAATTTCTAGAGTTTTCTTGAAAGTGACCCAAATCTGGAACGCCCTTCGAATCTCGGTTGGGAGGAGAATTGAATGAAAATCAACTTGTTCTCGGAAAAACAATTCATTCTAGATGCGTCCATATTTTCCTCGCTCTCAGTAGTCAAGAATTGTGCGTGAGAAAATACAATTGAAGCATGTTCTTGCAAAAACATTAGATCATTTCTCCTCTGTAATGTATGGCCCGCCGTAACCAACGTTACAAGAATCACAATAAGTGACTGACAAACCCGACCAGCTGAGGCTCATCATAGATGGTGTACCAACAAGAGCAACGGATTTTGATTTTTTCAATAAAGTGATTTTTTTAACAGTTGTCACGTACATAACATGCGATTTAAGAATATGGAGAAGTATTCAAGCAAACAACGTTTATTTATTGTAAAAACGCATTTCAAAAATGGTGAAAGTTTCACGAGAACAGTTTGCCAATTACGTAAAGTTTTCAGTCGCAATAATGCGCCGAACGAATCGACAGTAATAACCATACAATTCTTGTCGGAGATAAGTTCTTTGAATGGATCGGACTGTCGTGTTTAGCAGATCCGCGATTTGGAGGGAAGATAACCCTTGTTCCCTCATTTGTGGAATCAGTTCCAACTGGTCGGGCGTTAGATGCGGCATCGAAACTATCAAAATCTGTTTATGATTCGAAAACGACGTCTAACCTGACTTGTCAGTCACTTACTGTGATTCTTGTAACGTCGGTTACGGGTCATGCATTACAGAAGAGAAATGGTTTGATGTTTTTGCAAGAACATGTTTCAATTGTGTTTTCTCACGCACATTCTTGAGTACTGAGAACGAGGAAAATATGGACGCATCCAGAATGAATTGTTTTTCCGAGAACAAGTTGATTTTCATTCAATTCTCCTCCCAACCGAGATTCGGAGGGCGTTCCAGATTTGGGTCACTTTCACGAAAACTCTAGATCTTTGATTGCCATCTTGAGTCAATTCTGATATTCAGATCTCTCCATCTAAAGTTTTATCTTCAAAATGAGCCTAAGATTTCCAAAATCGGTTGACGTGGAAAAAAGTTATGGCTGCAAAATCAAAAAGTTGATTTTTTGAGATCACTCTGTAAATAAGAGAGATAGGAAGTTGATTCGCGAAATATCTCGAGGTAATGAGATCATCTTCATGCCTCTGTTGTCGAAGTTGAGAAAACATTTTTTTTCACCATTTGAGAGCATTTTGAATATTCCGAAATTTCGCACAGTGTCGAAAAACACCATGTAGAGATTTTATGTGAATACCCTTATGTTTCAATGAAGTACGAGATTATAGCTGAAGGACTGGGCTATCGAACAGTGTGAACCAAATTCAAATTGTTCTAAACTGAAAAAAGTTATTCACATTATAACAGGGGCGACATTTTGGTGTGCGACGAAATTAGTGTTGAGTAGTTTATATCAGTCTATATCAAGGGCCAGGTAGCCGTGTGGACAGAGTGTCAATATTCTAATCCGCATTCGCTTGCCGGTCGTGGGTTCGATTCCCATCGACTGCAGAAATTTTTCTGATGGACAAGAAAGTGAATAGGATCACACGTTAAAAGGTAAGGCCCCCGTCATTCCTTGCTCGCACAAGACTCTTGAAGACTTCTGAGGGTTGCTCGTAAGGGGGCAACCGAATGACGGATAGAACAATTTTTTAGTTCTACCAACTTTGACCTCACGTCTCAGTAGCGCGATCTGGTGGACAATCAAGATATGTTAGCTCTCATCACTCAGGTGAAGCCTGCAGAAACACACTTCCGTCCATTCTGTTCAACTCACCAAATACACCGCGTGACGTAGTCCCCGTACCCCTCGAAATTTTCATTGCTAACGGCCTCCGCCTCCGGCGCCGTATCCGTCTCCTCCCCTTCCGTGTCGTGCCGCCTACCCTCCGAGCCGTCCGAGATGTCCGAGGCGGCGTCGTCGTCTGCGCATGCGCGGCGCAAGGCCATCGAGGGGCGGCCGTTGCCCTGGGCGGGCGGCAGGCCGGCCGGGTGGTGGGAGGTCGACGAGAGGTGGGCGGCCGACGACATCGAGACGGGCATCGCAGGCAGCGGCCGCCCTGCGAAATGATCTGCGACAGTTAGGCAGGAAACAGCTGCATGATAAATGAAAGTGAGTCAGAAGAAATCGTTGACACCCTCTGAGATCCGATTAATTTAAAATGTAATTGTTTCGACGTTGCCAAATGTACCGGGTGTACCACTAAGAAAGGACGCCGGCTGTATCTCGGAAACTATTTGCCGCACAGTTTACTGAAAAAAATATTTATGATAAAAGTGGCCAAGAAAATCTCTGGAAATTATTTTCAAGTTTCCAGGACAGCCTCTAGAGGGCGTAATTGCATTGGCCAGTTTAATAGACGGGTTTTTATGTAAATTTGATATATCAAGACATATCAAAAAAACTTTCATATTCTCGAGTTGATTTCCCACCATTTCGATCAAAAAAACTTGTGCTAGCTCTTCAAATTAAAGAGGGAAGGAAGGGTGGATAATACTTTGAAAACACTCTCATTACTACAGTTTGGTGTAACGGAATTCAACGATCTTAGTCTCATTATGAAGGGTTTTTTTAGTTCTTCCAGATGAATCACGAATCAAGTCGATTTAAATCCTGTTGTGGCCGCTAGACGGCATCGTTTGAAGAATCAGACAATTTTCAATTTTTTTCGAGAATTTCACATGGAACCATATATTTATTCTACTCTAATATGAAAGTAGAGCAAACGAGAAGAAGAATGGTGAAAACCGCGAATTGATACCTCTTGATGAACCGGTGAAATACTCGAAATAATATTATGAAAATATTCACCACAGGAATCTAACTTCAATAATCGTAATCAGAAATATACTGTATCTATGAAATTATGATTTCAATAATCCATTAATTTTGGTTTCACAAACTGCTGTTATATCTCACAATAGTGAAGGAGACTCTTAGTAATGCCATAGCTAATTGAAATATAAGTAGTGAGTAGGCTCAGGGATGAGAAAAGGCAAGTTGGCTTTGAATGAAAGAAACGTCAGAATATAATTGAAATTCCATTGAAAGTATTCACTGTTCATTATCAAAATACCGATATCGAATGAGGAGGCATTTGACATGCTAGCAGTTTGAATTTTAATTATATTATTCCGAGTATTTCTCCGGTTCTTCCAGAGGTATCAACTCGCAGTTTTCCCCATTTTTCTTCTCGTTCACTCTACTTCCATATTATAGCAGGAAAAATATATGGTTCAATTTGAAATTCTCGAAAAAGAATTGAAAATCCACAGGATTTGAATCGACTTGATTCGTGATGTATATGGAAGATCTGAAAAAACCCTTCATAATGAGACCAAGATCATTGAATTCCGTTACACCAAAATGTAGTAATAAGAGTTTTTTCAAAGTACTATTCATCCTTCCCTCACTCTTTTATTTAAAGAGCTAGCGCAATTTTTTTTATCGAAATGATTGGAAATCAACTCGAGAACATGAAAAAGTGTCTTTGATATGTCTTGACATATAAAATTTTCATAAAAACCCGTTTTTTAAATTGGCCAATGCAATTATGCCCTCTAGCGACTATCCTGGAAACTTGAAAATAATTTCCAGATATTTTTCTTGGCCACTTTTATCATAAATATTTTTTTCCGAAACCTGTGCGGCAGATAGTTTCCGAGATACAGCCGGCGTCCTTTCTTAGTGGTACACCCGGTACAGTTTCTATTTTTTGATGCGACAACCTTTTTTTTTTCAATTCATTTCATGTTAGTTTTTTATTGCCGATGCAGCATACAAACTGTTGATGGCTAATATTATTATCATTAAACAGTGAGAATGGGCTGAGGTGTGAATCTATAAAAGCTCATTTATACATTAATTATATGCTACACATAAAGTGAAAGATATACAAGGTGGCATTAAAATAAGTGCAAATATTTCAATCCCTGAGATAGCTTGAAGTATACTATCGAATTGCACCAATAAAAAAAAATATATTGATCGAAATAAAATTTGAGGCTAGCCCCCTTTTCCACCCAATGTTCTACTGTAGCAATTCACCTTTATCCGAATTTACGTGCGGAAGGCACAATCACCTGGAGTTAAATCAGTTAAATTGTTTTCAAGAGGCGTACTTGATTTTTTCTCGTTTTTTATTCAATTTTCGAGAAGAAATTTCTCGTTGATTAGAAGATTTAGAAGAAATCTGATATCATGGGAATATTTATTAGACTGCATCATATCGATGTGCTGAATATATGTACTTATTTCAAAAACACCTCGTATATGAAAATAGCTACCAGTTAAACAATCAGATTAATATAGAATAGAAAGACATATGAAATATTGAATAGAAATTGAACATTTCAAAATAAAATGAACAGATATAGTGCGAATATTCTCAGATAAATTATGAACATACAAAAATGGATATAAATATATATCCATTTTTGTATGTTCATAATTTATCTGAGAATATTCCTTTTCAACACTTTCATACCCAATCAGGGGGTTCAAACTTGAACGATGGAAACTTGATTTTTATAGACCTCTAATCGCAGATTCGTGATAGTCTCAATTCAGAATTCATTTCCACGCCCTGTATGATGAATGTCAATTTATCATACACCCAAAAGATATAGTGCGATTCAAAGTGAAAAAACAATTCAATCAGTAATACGATCTAATCGACTTGTAAATGATGATACTGAGGGTGCATTAGCTGTGTCTGCATCCAGGTTGTTCCATGCCGAGAAAACACGATTAACATTAATTTAGAACAATTAGGAATAACATACTGACAGTAAATCCTACTTGATTTAACGAAATGAAACCGATATTCATATGTTTATCAGAACTCAAAACAGCAAAGAATTTTTTGAACCTTATCTAAATAACAAACACCAAACGGCCCATTCTATTGTATCCTCAAGTTATAAAAACACTAGGTGACGCCAGAATTTGTCATAACTTGTCCTGAAAAATAGTTAAATTTGAAGAAAAAAAAGTTCGTGAATTTAGTAAAAATTTGAAAATTTGCTCAAATTTGTTATCCTGCTTCATATGGCGCTGGAGATAGACGACTTGTGATTCAATAGAATCATGTAAAAGACAAGCAAAGCAGAATAATTCTGAAATGTCGAGAATTATTTCAAAAAATCTACAAGATTATCTAAATTACAATTTTTTCCAATGCACCCAAATAAAAGATGAAACTCAGTCTGTCTTGCACCAGCTGACAATCGATTCACGAAATTTCCCTAGCATCTCTCAAGTCTTGAGATTTTAGGTTTCTAAGATGATTAAATCAACAAGTTGATAACCTCATTCTTTGATCATTGAGTCAAGTAAACCGATGAAGAGCCCAGTAAGTGATGATATTTTATTATCAAAGGAAAATGACCTTCTACAAGAACTGTTGAGAGTAAAAGATGAAATAATTCTAAAAAGTTTAAAAAATAATTACCACTTTCACCAATCAAGTGGCGTTCTTATCAATACAGTACAACAATATGGTAATGATAACAGAGATAAATAAAAAACAATAAATGGTGTTAGGATTCCAGAATGGATAACTTCACTGTTAATCAAATACAACAGAAAATATCGAAATGATAGATATGTATTCGTATAAAAGGATGTTCCTCGCAATTTCCCTTCATTAACAATAAGACCAAAATCTCTGCAAACTCATCAAAAACCAAAGAAGATGTTTGAAACGTAATAAATTCAGTACTGGCCCCAAAGCAAGTATTACTGTAATTCAAGACATTGACAAGCACCATAGAAGAGATCAAACGATTAGAAAGCATCAACCAGAAAAATATTGGAATTACCTACATATAGGTCGAAGAATATTATATCTACGACAGGAATACAGGATGAGCTGCGTATTTTCAATTACATTGATGAAAATGATGCATCAACTCTTAAAGATTCCAGGCAATCAAAATATTATTATCAAGAAATTATTCTTGAATGCATAAATTCAAAATTAGAGAGGATTTCAACATGATATCCTGCTCGAAATGTAATGCTTACATCTATAGATTGTAGGGATTCTGTATCATGTTCAATTTGTGCTGGGGATTACAAAAGTAATCAGTATGAGTTGAAAATATCACAATAAGTTCAAAATCTTCTAATAATAATCTAGGTTAATAAACTTAGAAAACACTACAGGCTGGGCCTTGAAAGTGTCGTTTGACAAAAAGCCAAAAGCATGAAACTCAACAGTATGTGACAATCATTGAAAGGTTTCGACAATGCATTGATAAAATACTAGATGTTAGACAGTAGTGCAGATTTTAAATATAAAAATAGAGAATAATAGTAATACTAAAATTAGCTATTAGACAGTATTATAGTTTTTGAACATCAAAATGAACGAAACAGCTGAAAGAGGTCATCGAGTATTTTAAATCCTGTGAATATTTTTCTTTACCAATAGGCGACTGAGATTAAGATCGCAGCGCCAGAACGGCGAAACTGGTACTACTCTATGGGCCATTCCTGGATTGTTTAAATTTGTTTACAGGCGGTATTATGCTATATTTTCAACGTGTTGAATATTTTCAAACAAATTTATTCAATAACTTCTCAAATGGAACACATGTTAACTAATTTGAACAAAGTTAGACAAAGTATTACATGGCCCATACGTTAGTTATATTCAGGACGACAGAGGGCGTATTCCTTAGCATGTTTCGCCTATAGATAGTGTTTCCATTCACACTGTTCGTTTCCGTTTTATTATAGTCGAATCAAATTATTCTTTGACATGTTTTTAATGAATTACCTACCCGTGACTTGAAATTTGTAATGAACTTTCGAAAATGAGATCATTGTTCATATTATTGACCTAGAAAATCCACATAGTCATTTTTTCTTTCTTTCGTGAAGTTGAGTGATTGCAGCTATAGGATTTCGAAATTCACCCCTTATTCAACTGCGAATGCTGACATGCGCAATAACGATCTTGGTCTCTCTGAGCGATGCAGATAGATATATATTGCCCTCTTCGTTTAATGTTGGCGTCTATAGAACGGCAAAGCTTGGGAATTAATTGTCGATGGAAGTATTCCTAAGAACTTACAACTTCCAAAAGTTCAAAAACAATTACAATACTTCCTATCCCCATCCTCCTTGAGGATCCCTCTCGTGCGCTCCAAGAGATAAAAAAACATAGTTAAACCAGGCGAGATCGGAATGATTCAATGTATCTCCGCTGTTTTAATTTCTTGTCATACAGGAGATCGCAGTAAAATAGATGATATATGGTAAATACTAAATTATTCAAGCCGGCCCAACTTTTTCAAGCCGGTCACGTGGTATACGTGAGTTCAATTTTACGTAAAAGAGAAATCGCATTGTTCATCCATCAGTTCTCAACTAGTTCCATGTAAGTTTCATGTTTTTGTGCTCTATTCACAAATGTTTGTGAATTATTGTTGTACACATGAACATTTTCGAGATTCCACCGAGGTCTCGAGATATATCTTGGTCCCTGGGTGATGATGATACTCTTTAATCTACACATACATACACACATGATTTTTTTCTTACTACCACGGAGTATAAGTAAATTTTCGGAATTTTAACATTAAAGATCTTTCACTCAGCCTAGATAGTTATACAAAACTTGGTAACAATGTCTAAATGCTAGTAACTTTCGAAATGGGCAAACCGCGTTACCGATTTAAGTTGTCAAAACTGTACCGATGCCAGATTTATTTGACATTTCTAGAAGCGATTTGTTGTGATCAGCTGATCTCCGCGAATTATTCATTACTGAAAATTTGTTCTTTTAAGAACGTGTTTGAGATTTATTCGTTATTGGTAAATTTTGAATTTGATCTATTTGAATAATTTGAAATGTCTAAACCATTGAATGTTTCAAAAACGAACGTAATAATGATGGCCCATTACTTCCACTGACTGCTGTGAGAGTGAGAAATTAAAGTTGAGAGGATTTTGATGAAACCAGAAGACACCTTCTCATTTCCATTTTTGAAGCTCTACAAAATAGCGTTGAGACATTTTCCATACGACGTTTCGTTTCGAAGAAATCATCATCAACTATACCCCATGATAGACATCCTTATCTTGGACTCACTGTATATCGTTGAATGGCGTCTTCAATACATATGTGTCTATTTTATCATATTGAAATGATGTTACATGCATTCTTCACTATAAATTAAAGTGGCTACTGCTATTTTCCATCTACGGCTATTATTGATTTGACAGAAAATGTAAGCTCTAAAATCGTATCTGACAATCAGGCGCTATTAGGGAATACAATTTTTATGGGCTTCATGAGCATCAAGAGTTAATTTCTGAACTTCGTTTAAAGAAGCAATGAAAGTAAAGAAGTTTAGGCGCGTTTCAAAATAATATTAAAAAATGCCAACAAAGGCAAATGCATTTTTTTTATATTACTATCATGTACAGTTTGAAACAAAATATATCAAAAGTGATTTTCGAGATACACCATTTCCAGACGTTTGACTTACCCTGTTGATAGATGAAGAAAAATGAAGTGTCATTACATCAATGACACAAGGATAAATGAATATGAATTCATAAAACGTGAATTATTACACTGTAAATAGCCTTTATTCCTGAGACAACCAAATGACCTTGGAAATAGTGACAAGATTTTCAGTTTATAATAAGGAATCACTAGAGGGCGAAATAGCGCAGTGGTTGAGGTGCTCGACTAGTTATCAGAACATCGAAAGGTTGCTAGTTCAAATCTCCGCCAGAACAGAGAATTAGCATATATAAAACAAGTAAGGAATTTTAATATTTTCGTAGCCTCGGCTGGAGATGATTCTGCACGATTTGCTGTTGCATTTCAATCAACAGTACTGCTCCTAAGGTGGCGTATGGTGTCAGTAACAAAGCCTATACAGAACACACATGGACTGAAGGACCTCTTGTAAGGTCTAAGGCTAGTTGATATGTGTAGTCTGGCTTCTAAAACATGACCGCAGGAAAGAATGTGTGCCCAATATACAGGGTGAGTTTGAAATAAATACAAATATTTCAAATCCTGAGAGTGGCACCAATAAAACAAATATAGTTCTTAAAATAAAATTTGAGGTAGGACCCCTTATTCCACCCGAAGTTCAACACACTATAGCAATTCTGACGTCACCACTCTTCAAATTTCCGTGTGCAAAGCACAATCACGCTGAGTTCAATAATATAAATTGTTTTAAAGTGGCGCCCTTGATTTTTTTTATCAGTTTTTGTTGAATTTTCAAGATGAAATTTCTCGTTAATCAGAAGAATTAGAGAACATTTACATATTCGTTAGACGGTATCATATCAATGTGCTGAATATATGTCTTTATTTCAAAAACACCTCGTGAATGTTGCTTGTTGTTCAAAAGTGCAGTCAGCCATATTGTTCATCGACTTGATGAAATCGACGTCATCTGCAGAACCGATTTGTTCAGATACTCTAGGCTCCAAGGACTGAATGCCTTCATTCTCTCCCTTTCGTCCCAGGACTTCTTTGGCCAGTCAAACTATACATACATACCAACAAAGTACATATACTACCACTCTCAATATCTCGATTAACAACTTACTTTTTGCTGCTCCTGGTGAATACATCGTGGGTAGAGGAATCCCGTTGATCTGGGGAGACATTATGTTCATTGGCGGTGGTCTCGTTGGAGAATCAGGAGGAAGAGTAGCGTTATAGTTGTGGTCTAGCAAGACAGCCTGGCAAATCAACGATAGAGCATCTAGGCCTGATTTATTTTTATCTTCAGACAGTTTGTTTGGTTCACTGGAAATATAAGAAATATTCACTGTCTCTGTCTCTCAATATTTTCAAAGGATATTGGGAAATATAGTTTTTCTACGGCTATTACACAAAATTGCTGTTGTTTTACCATGTTTGATAAATCAATGAGGTACTTTGTATGTCATCAAATTTCATTTCATTGTGTTAATAATAAATATACAGTGTAAAAATATCATGAAACATATACTTCTATGTTTACCCACGGGGTAACATAATAGGTTGTTATATCAAAACGACTTATCTCTGAGAAAATTTCAAGAATAAAGTCTATATAAACTTGTTTCCGGAAATACTTCGTTTGTTGAAATTGATTTTTTCTTTCGTTTCATTTTAAAATCACTTTTACAAAAAATGAGTTTTTCTACAAATGTAAAAAATGACAGGGTTCGCGTATTGGTGACAATATGCGAAGCGACACTTTTTTCAGTATCCTTCGTTACCACGACACCGTGCGCTAAGTATATAAATCGCACACTGCATGTAAACTATATGAGTTATGTGAATTATATCCTTAATAGACCTCAATCGAGAAATCATTTACCTATTTCTAAAAGTTTAACAATACTCAAGTTGTTTTAAGCCAGTTCAACATCATTATTTATATCAAGATAAGCATATTACTACTTTAGAACTATTTTTTACGTTTGTAAAAAAATTTTGTTCACAACTAGTGTGCGACTATTATTTTAATTGACTGTGCCTCTTTGAAAAATCAGTTCTCGATCACCAAAGTAGCATTCCACGCACTAGATACAAAAATATTTTCTACTAGCGAGTGGAAAAGTGCACTTTTCCGCACTCAGTTTAGTATTGAAGTCAGTTTTCCGCACTAGTGCGGAAAAGAGAATTTTTTTTTGCACGCTAGTAAAGAAAATAGTGTACCTAACAAGTGCGTTAAGTGACTTTTCCGCACTTGTCAGGTAAACTACTATTTTGCAAGAAATTTTATACCCCTTTTTTAGGCGTACGCTGTCATTATTTATTATAAATCACTCTAACTCTTTTGACAGTAGACTTTTGGTACTTTTCATAAAAAAGCTCATTATTATTATTATTATTTTTCATTATTTTTATTATTATTATTATTTTCATTATTTATAATAATTATGAGGAATGTCATTCAATGAACCAGGTTACTTTGAATGAAATCGAAGGTGACAAAATAAACACAATTATCGCTAATTTTAGCATATTTCAAGATTTTAAAATTGTACCGTGAACGAGTTCAATAACAATAATACAAGGAATAAATAATAGAAATGGAAATATTTACAGAACTGAAATCGAAATGACATTCCAGTATAAAGATTCACTAAATCTAAGAATTTCAATATTTTTAGAAGTGGTGAGAAATATGGTCATCAATATAAATGTTTATAAGTAATATTCAAAATAATGTTATTCAAACAAAAGTTCACGTCGTACTTTGATTAGTTTCCTTACTCGATGATAATTTGTTTGAATTACCAGATTACAATGCTTACTTAAAGCATTTAAATTGCAATAAAGATATTCTGAATAGGAGAATGCTACATCATATGGATATGTTTGTGTACAGGGTGCTCCTTTAATTCAATGTTTTTTACAGACCATCATTTTTACTTCAACATCTCCAAAGAAATACACTCTAGTTTATCCAGCAGCAGATCATCAGGATTTGCAGTATTATTTTCCAACTTAAACCAAATCACTTATGTTTGATCAGTTTGCTATTGAAAGAGAGAAAACAAAACAGCATTTTCAATAAATGTTTTCCGTTCAATGAAATCAGATGACATCTCGCGTATGTCCAGTTAAAAAATAACGAGAAAATTCGAAATTTCAATCGGGGAGTAACAGGAATGAATATTTCTTCAATTTCTAGTATGTATTATTGCATTGAAGAGATAAAAAAACCATGTTATTCAAATTCTAGTTATGGCATGATCAACAGAGCACCTGTTTTCTTGGTCTTCAATAGTTATGACCAATGTGTTAGAATCGCGTATTATATGTATAACTGCTCAATGATCATCATAGCACCATCTAACAGAGCAGTTCAACTAGCGTTGAGAGAGAAAAAAATGTCCTTGTCGTCAGTGTTCCAACATAAAATAATGAAAATTTCATGTTGGCAACACTGGAAATGAGAAGAGATGGAGAAGAAGACCATTCTAACATATTTTATATTGAGGCTAATATGATCGTTTCATTTTTTTTTCATTTCCAATGTTACCAACATAAAATTTCCATTATTTTACGTTGTAACACAGACAAGGACAGATGGGGAAGACATTTTTTTCTCTCTCTCTCAATGCTACCTGAACTGCTCTATTCAAAATTGTGAAATAAGGTCAGATGGGATGATGAGATCTTCAAGTAATTATTCCTCTAGTAATAATTATATTTGATATTTTATTTTTCATTGTAATGTCCGTCCGAAGTGTATGACACGGTGTGACGCACCTTGTATTCGTCCAATGAAATGCCATCAATATTTCGCGCGCATTCGAGCTTTCGTTTGAATTTAGGTTCAATTCAATAATTTTTTTCTGGGTCAACCGCAATCGTTAGAAAATTGAAAAAATGCTGAATTCGCCCAGTATGTGTTCTAAATTGTGAAAAAAAATTCAAAAAATTATGGTGAAATTCCCTATAGCGACCTTCCAGGAAAAAATCCTCGTGGAAATCCGCAATATCTTACTTCTCAGTGCGGGATCATACGTTCAACGAATATTTTGGAAATTTTTATTTAACTCTCTATTCATATATTCTTGTATCTCCGCTTTCAACTATTACCCGTATTTGCCTCCCCCTTTCCAAATGCAATTCATGCACCGTACACTAAAAGAAATGGTTCAAATAATAATGTTGATTTTTTTCATGAAGACCCCTATTATATTTGGTGGGAAAAACTGGAACCAATCAATTTCAAGAGGTGAAAAAATGGATGAATGAATTGCACTTTTGAATTTTAATTGTTACTATAATTTTCGGCTAGAGCAAGAGACACGTGAGTTTGAGGGCTTTTCAAACGTAGAAGGTGAATCAGCGATGAGACACATAATATGTATTTCCCTTCTGGGAACTGAATAATCTAAAAATATACTATTCTGAACTCAATATAAAGAAGTTGAGAAAAGTTTGTTTGTGTTCTCAATAGAACAATATACGTTTTTCTAATAGACTTATATTCAAGACTTTACAATTTATAAAACTTTAATGAATGTAGTTTGTATATTAGGATGCCCTATTTGAATAAATAAATGAAATGAAATGAAAAAAATATACCAAGTTTATGTATACAGGTTGAGAATTGCCCTACATTTCCCGCCAGACTTCATTGAAAACTGAACACTCGGACTGTACCTAGAGGAAATGGCGACGAGTCCTAGAACTAGAGAAGTGAAGTGAACACCACTTACGGAATCTGTTTCAGATCATGCAACTGAAGGCGTTATCACAGCGAGATAAAAACCTAAATATTGTAAACTACCTCAGTGCTCAAGTTTATGCATACAGGTTAAGAATTGCCCTATATTTACCGCCAGACTTCATTGAAAACTGGATACTCGGACTGTACCTAGAGGAAATGGCGACGAGTCCTAGAACGAGAGAAATAAAGTGAACACCACTTACGGAATCTGTTTCAGATCGGGGCAACTGAAGGCGTTATCGTACCGCATCGGCAACATCTCGTACCGGCCGCCCGGCATCGGCGCGCCCGAGTTGTTGCTCAGCGTCTCGATGATCTGCGCAGTCAGCGCCTGGTTGAAAGTCAATTCGGTTAGTTTTTTGTCGGGCACGGCGGGCGCCTGAACGTTGCCGCTCACCTTGGCGCCTTTCACTTTGCCGTGCGCCTGCCGCGTCTTGTGCGCCTGCGCGGCGTGCTTGCCGATGTAGTTCGGCTTGTTGGCCGTCCTGTGCGCCCGCTGAGGTGGTATCGTCCTCAAGCCGGACCCTGTCCGCTGCACCTAGTTCGAAAAATTATTTTATATTAATTAGGAATTCCGAAATTCATGATCATCGCACTACACAATATAACTTGTTTCATCACCTCCATTAAGCTAGCAGAACCACTTTGAATTTTTCGATTTTTTCTTCGGCCATAATTTTAGGCTAATTTAAGGCTAATTTATTACCCTATTGCCGAATTTATTGCTCTTCGATTTATGTAAAAAAACGTGGGTTCTGCTAGCTTAACGTTAAGCTAGCAGAACCACTTCGTAAATAAAAGTTCAATCACAAAACTAATTATGCCATAATTTAAGGCTAATTTTAGGCTCCAATCCTAGCCTATTGCCAATTTTTTCGCACATTGTTTTTTTGAAAAAATCATGGGTTTTGCTAGCTTAACCGTTAAGCTAGCAGAACCAAATCTCAAATAGAAGGAATATAAGAATATCGAGTGCACCATAATTTAAGGCTAATTTTAGGCTCTCCGTTGAACCTATTATCGATTTTTTTGGAAATCATTTTCTGCAAAAAATTTCCCAAATCCAACATGAACATGACAAACCAGTAGCAAACCAAAAAAAAATTCAATCACAAACCTGATTATGCCATAATTTCAGACTAATTTAAGGCTCTGATCCTAGCCTATTGCCAATTTTTTCGCACACTGTTTTTTAAAAAAAATCATGGGTTTTGCTAGCTTAACCGTTAAGCTAGCAGAACCAAATCTCAAATAGAAGGAATATAAGAATATTGAGTGCACCATAATTTAAGGCTAATTTTAGGCTCTTCGTTGAACCTATTATCGATTTTTTGGAAAATCATTTTCTGCAAAAAATTTACCAAATCAAACATGAACATGACAAACTAATAGCAAACAAAAAAAACTTCAATCACAAACCTAATTATGCCATGATTTCAGGCTAATTTGAGGCTCTGATCCTAGCCTAGTGCGAATTTTTTCGCACACTGTTTTTTTAAGAAAATCATGGGTTTTGCTAGCTCAACCGTTAAGCTAGCAGAACCAAATCTCAAATAGAAGGAATATAAGAATATTGAGTGCACCATAATTTAAGGCTAATTTTAGGCTCTTCGTTGAACCTATTATCGATTTTTTGGAAAATCATTTTCTGCAAAAAATTTACCAAATCAAACATGAACATGACAAACCAATAGCAAACAAAAAAAACTTCAATCACAAACCTAATTATGCCATGATTTCAGGCTAATTTGAGGCTCTGATCCTAGCCTAGTGCGAATTTTTTCGCACACTGTTTTTTAAGAAAATCATGGGTTTTGCTAGCTTAACCGTTAAGCTAGCAGAACCAAATCTCAAATAGAAGGAATATAAGAATATTGAGTGCACCATAATTTAAGGCTAATTTTAGGCTCTTCGTTGAACCGATTATCGATTTTTTGAAAAATCATTTTCTGCAAAAAATTTACCAAATCCAACATGAACATGACAAACCAATAGCAAACAAAAAAACTTCAATCACAAACCTAATTATGCCATAATTTCAGGCTAATTTAAGGCTCTAATCCTAGCCTATTGCCAATTTTTTCGCACACTGTTTTTTTAAAAAAATCATGGGTTTTGCTAGCTTAACCGTTAAGCTAGCAGAACCAAATCTCAAATAGAAGGAATATAAGAATATTGAGTGCACCATAATTTAAGGCTAATTTTAGGCTCTTCGTTGAACCTATTATCGATTTTTTTGAAAATCATTTTCTGCAAAAAATTTACCAAATCAAACATGAACATGACAAACCAATAGCAAACCAAAAAAAAATTCAATCGCAAAACTAATTATGCCATAATTTCAGGCTAATTTAAGGCTCTAATCCTAGCCTATTGCCAATTTTTTCGCACATTGTTTTTCACTCGTTTTTTAAAAACAATCATGGGTTTTGCTAGCTTAACCGTTAAGCTAGCAGAACCAAATCTCAAATAGAAGGAATATAAGAATACTGAGTACACCGTAATTTAAGGCTAATCTAAGGCTCTTTATTGAACCAATTATCGATTTTTTGTTAATTATTTCCTGCAAAAAAAATTTCAATTGCAACATGAACATGACAAATATTTTCTGAATATTTCCGAATCGCCATGTGATGAAATATTTCTGCATCTTACATAATAATATGCATCACATTGCATAATACATCGTAGTGGCTATACGCGCATCTATGGAATTGTTTAGTGAAAATAATGTAGTTGATTTTTTTATAATGATGGCTCAGTCAATTCTGTGAGAAATACGCTCATGATTCAAGATATTAGGTATGCAAGATATTATGTTGAAAATATTCGTAGACTTTTCCATTATTGTTACCCTGTTTAAAAAAGCTTGTTTTTTGCAAATGACTGCGGATAAGCTCTAAGAATGAGTGTTTTGTTTAAGAACGTCTTGATACTCTTATAGTCTTGATGCAATTTCTTTAGATGAAAAAACCAAGGTTAGTAGGATATATAGGTATCAGTGATAAATATCCGGATATAGATCTTGATAAATATCATGATATTTATGTGACGATATTTATCCTGATATATATAATGTATCGACATTTTTTTTTCTTAAATCTTATTGATCAGTATAAAGTATAAAACCTCGATCAGTATAAAAATATGGCCACGCTGGCGCTTCACCGGCAACAGCGAATTATGCTGCGGTGATTCCCCGTCTTTCCGTGATTCCCCGTCTTTCCAAGACGTTGAAGCCGAACGCAGTTCCGCATTATATTTTATTAATTTTATCATTGAGTATTCACACTAGTGCTCTCTTATTTTGGTGAACAGTTAAAGGCAAAAATATATGATGTATTCGTATTCATAAACTTGTATTTTTTACGAGATTTTTTACCAACATTTTACATTCCTATACATTAGAGCACTGAAATTTTTAATTGTGATAAGTAACTTTCATTGAATAGAATATAATTGTAGTAATGAAAATGTATGTACCTAAATTTCGGTACCTATAATGTGTTTGTCATGTTCATGTTGGATTTGGGAATTTTTTTGCAGAAAATGATTTTCAAGAAAATCGATAATAGGTCCAATGTAGAGCCTAACATTAGCCTCGAATTATGGTGTACTCAATATTCTTGTATTCCTTCTCTTTGAGATTTGGTTCTGCTAGCAATGGTTAAGTTAGCAAAACCCATGACTTTTTGAAGAAACAATGTGCAAAGTAATCGGCAATAGGCTAGGATGAGAGCCTTGAATTAGCCTCAAATCATTGCTGATGAATTAATTTTGTGATTAAACTTTTTTTGGTTTGCTATTGGTTTGTCATGTTCATGTTGGATCTCGGAAATTTTTTGCAGAAAATCATTTGAAAAAAATCGATAAAAGGTTCAATGAAGAGCCTAAAATTAGCCTTAAATTATGGTGTACTCAATATTCTTATATTCCTTCTATTTGAGATTTGGTTCTGCTAGCTTAACGGTTAAGCTAGCAAAACCCATGATTGTTTTTAAAAAACGAGTAAAAAACAATGTGCGAAAAAATTGGCAATAGGCTAGGATTAGAGCCTTAAATTAGCCTGAAATTATGGCATAATTAGGTTTGTGATTGAAGTTTTTTGGTTTGCTATTGGTTTGTCATGTTCATGTTGGATTTGGTAAATTTTTTGCAGAAAATGATTTTCCAAAAAATCGATAATAGGTTCAACGAAGAGCCTAAAATTAGCCTTAAATTATGGTGCACTCAATATTCTTATATTCCTTCTATTTGAGATTTGGTTCTGCTAGCTTAACGGTTAAGCTAGCAAAACCCATGATTGTTTTAAAAAACAATGTGCGAAAAAATTGGCAATAGGCTAGGATCAGAGCCTAAAATTAGCCCTAAATTATGGCATGATTAGTTTTGTGATTGAACTTTGTTTGGTTTGCTATTGGTTTGTCATGTTCACATGTTAGCTCAACGGTTAAGCTAGCGAAACCCATGATTTTTTTTTTAAATCAGTGTGCGAAAAAATTGGCAATAGGCTAGGATCAGAGCCTTAAATTAGTCTGAAATTATGGCATAATCAGGTTTGTGATTGAAGTTTTTTTTTGGTTTGCTACTGGTTTGTCATGTTCATGTTGGATTTGGGAAATTTTTTGCAGAAAATGATTTTCAAAAAAATCGATAATAGGTTCAACAAAGAGCCTAAAATTAGCCTTAAATTATGGTGCACTCAAAATTCTTATATTCCTTCTATTTGAGATTTGGTTCTGCTAGCTTAACGGTTAAGCTAGCAAAACCCATGATTTTTTAAAAAAACAGTGTGCGAAAAAATTGGCAATAGGCTAGGATCAGAGCCTTAAATTAGTCTGAAATTATGGCATGATCAGGTTTGTGATTGAAGTTTTTTTTGGTTTGCTACTGGTTTGTCATGTTCATGTTGGATTTGGGAAATTTTTTGCAGAAAATGATTTTCAAAAAAATCGATAATAGGTTCAACGAACAGCCTAAAATTAGCCTTAAATTATGGTGCACTCAATATTCTTATATTCCTTCTATTTGAGATTTGGTTCTGCTAGCTTAACGGTTAAGCTAGCAAAACCCATGATTTTTTAAAAAAAACAGTGTGCGAAAAAATTCGCAATAGGCTAGGATTAGAGCCTTAAATTAGCCTGAAATTATGGCATAATCAGGTTTGTGATTGAAGTTTTTTTTAGTTTGCTACTGGTTTGTCATGTTCATGTTGGATTTGGGAATTTTTTTGCAGAAAATGATTTTCAAAAAAATCGATAATAGGTTCAACAAAGAGCCTAAAATTAGCCTTAAATTATGGTGCACTCAATATTCTTATATTCCTTCCATTTGAGATTTGGTTCTGCTAGCTTAACGGTTAAGCTAGCAAAACCCATGATTTTTTAAAAAAAACAGTGTGCGAAAAAATTGGCAATAGGCTAGGATCAGAGCCTTAAATTAGTCTGAAATTATGGCATAATCAGGTTTGTGATTGAAGTTTTTTTTTGTTTGCTACTGGTTTGTCATGTTCATGTTGGATTCGGGAAATTTTTTGCAGAAAATGATTTTCAAAAAAATCGATAATAGGTTCAACGAAGAGCCTAAAATTAGCCTTAAATTATGGTGCACTGAATATTCTTATATTCCTTCTATTTGACATTTGGTTCTGCTAGCTTAACGGTTAACGGTAGCAAAACCCATGATTTTTTTAAAAAAACAGTGTGCGAAAAAATTCGCAATAGGCTAGGATCAGAGCCTCAAATTAGCCTGAAATTATGGCATAATTAGGTTTGTGATTGAAGTTTTTTTGGTTTGCTATTGGTTTGTCATGTTCATGTTGGATTTGGTGAATTTTTTGCCGAAAATGATTTTTCAAAAAATCGATAATAGGTTCAACGAAGAGCCTAAAATTAGCCTTAAATTATGGTGCACTCGATATTCTTATATTCCTTCTATTTGAGATTTGGTTCTGCTAGCTTAACGGTTAAGCTAGCAAAACCCATTATTTTTTTAAAAAAACAATGTGCGAAAAAATTGGCAATAGGCTAGGATTGGAGCCTAAAATTAGCCTTAAATTATGGCATAATTAGTTTTGTGATTGAACTTTTATTTACGAAGTGGTTCTGCTAGCTTAACGTTAAGCTAGCAGAACCCACGTTTTTTTACATAAATCGAAGAGCAATAAATTCGGCAATAGGGTAATAAATTAGCCTTAAATTAGCCTAAAATTATGGCCGAAGAAAAAATTGAAAAATTCAAAGTGGTTCTGCTAGCTTAATGGAGGTTGTTTCATCTTGAAGCTGCAAATTCTAAACTTGGACCAAAAAAAATTTAATAAATTACCAGGTGATATCAAAAACAGCCCAAATATTATACAATTCAAAAATAAAGTGATGAAATATATTAATATGCAAAGGAATGATCAAAGCTGAAAGACTATGAATTTCCTTTTTTTTTCACTGTTTTTTTCCTTCTTGTTCATTATAATATGAGATACTTTGAGATATCTTAATGATATGTAAGTTTTCTTCACTATTTGTAATTTCAATTATACAACAGTCGATAATACTTCATGAATGATCTTATACCAGGAATTACTGTCTGATCATTCACGTCATTCCTACTAGAAAATTAATTATACTTTATATATTATTTGTATGAAATGTATCAATGAAGAAGAGAATGTACTGCAATAACTGAAATAAGTAAGTGCCATGTACGACATACTAAAAGTCCTGACCTCTAGGGGAGGAGCGGAGCGATAGGGGAGCGTTTGAAGGTCATTTATTCAAGTCGTCCTTGAATAATTCGAAGATCGCGGCTTTAGCGAAAAAATATAGGTAACATACAGGGTTGGGATTACGTATGGAAATATCTTTGAAACAAAAAGGGCCAAATTTATGAAACTTTGCAGTCAATTACAATAGAAGTAACTGGATGGTATTAGTTAGATAAGAGTTCGGACACACCTGAACTTCTCTCCTTTTCTATTTTCTATATTCTATATTCTGCTCTTTGTCTTTTCAATTTCCCTAGTAGCGCCTGATCGTCAGATACGCTTTTAGAGGTTAGATTTTCTGTCAAATCAATCATAGCCGTAGATTGAAAATAGAAATAGGGTTTAAACACCCACTTCTATTTATAGCCATACATGCACTTTGCGCGCAGAACAACAGTTATGAAAATAAAAAGAATTAATGTAAGAACATTTTAATATGACAAAATAGACACATATAGATAATAAAACATGAAGATTGTTTGCTTTCCCACATTTTGCTGCATTCACTTTTTACTGAAAAATGTTGAATTTGGTCGGTATCGGAAAGGTCATTCAATGATATTACAGGGTGATTCCCAAAATATGGCAATTCAACGCAACTTACCTCTATACCAAGTTGCTTCCCTGAGGAGATATAGGCGTTGAAAGTGAAGTTATAAATTTTGAAAAAAAACAATATCTCCGTTATTCTTGAACTTGAAGCAACCAAATTTGGTACACTTTGTGGATGTATTTAGGGCGTTACTTGACAGTAACTAGAGTTCAATTGAAATTTGTAAAGGGGCTATACTGGGTAGTAATTTTTCGAAAAACCTCATTTTCATCAAAAACTCGAATAACTGAAAACGCGCGCTCTAGGTGTGTTATTTAAAATCATCGAAAATCCAAAAGTTGGCTATGAAAATAAACGTCAAACTTGACGATGAGGCAAGTGAGTTGTTCAATTAAGTAATTGTTGTTTGAGTGTTTTTAAAATGAACGGGAAGTTTTCTTTTAACGAGCAAGTTGACATGCTGTTAGTGCTATGCCTATAACTCCTAAGGGAAGCAACTTGGTAAAGAGATAACTTGCGTTAAATTGCCATATTTTGGGACCCCCTACATACCCCTGCCCTATGTCGGTTGTTATGTGAATCACCCTGTATATCACACTGCAATTTACTTGATTTTCTCAGTCTCCTTCTCAAATTTTCAATTTCACTACATAGTTTTGCAATCAATTCATCTTTATGATAATTTTCTTTTGCATTACATCTGATGATAATGTTGGATTTTTTTTCAAGTTTTTGGTAAATCTTCTGTTTAAAAATGGGCCTAAAATTATGTTTCATTCCAATCTGTTGTTATAATAAGTGAACTTTAGTGTACTTACCTCACCAATTTTGCTTGTCTTCAAATTAATTGTCCATCCAGGCCATTTCATATATTCCTTCTATAAGGGAATGGTTGATATTTCCTTTGGAAAATCAAAGGAATGAAATCGCCATTTCCTTCAGAATTCCCGCAATTCATTACACAGCAGGACATTTCAATTAATGCTTTTTTTCAATAGTTCATGAAATTATATTTCAATTCTGACGTTCATAAAATTCATTGTCAAATTCAAACAATTCAAACAATTTTGAATGAAAAAGCGCGGAACGACTATGATGCTGCAATGTGTGCAACTCAATAAATCTAAATATTTAAAAACACCCATCAGTTGTCATTTCTGTGTCCGAACTCCTAACTAATACCATCCAGTGACTCTAATTACCATGAAACAAGAAACATCTGATATGATTGTTTTTGTTAATAATGTATTTCCGCTTCTTTCTCGCTCACACTCATTCAGCACATTTAAATTTTGAACGTGAATATCATCATGATCCTTTGAAAACTCAATCAAAATCGGTTAAATTCTTTACAACAATCTCTGAGCGATTATGGAATAAAATATAGGGTGTTCTATTTGAAAATCGAATGTTAATGTTATTTGCTAGAGAACCGGAAGATAAGAAATTCCTAAAATGTCAAATTTAGCTAAAAAATAGAGGAGAGAAAGAGGTTATACCATGAGTCAGTGTCACCCGGTAAAATAGACGGCAAATTTGAAAGGCATTTAACGATAATATTATTAGTATTCAACAAAATTGAATAAAATGGGACTATTTATTCTAAACTAACTAACCTATTTCTTTCAATGAATGCATCAACAGAATAACAACAAAGAACATCAAAATATAGACATAGACAATCACCAGAGAGCGCTTCAGTCGAATTCATTCCTGGGATTATTGTCCCTAATCCAAAGTTGGTAGAATTGATGATTATTTGTAGAGGAAGATTGATTACGTCACAACCTTCCTCTACATATAATCATCAATTCTACCAACCTTGCCCTAATCTACATGTTTTTTTAGCGTTCGTTGATTGAACTAACCTGCCCGGGCACGTTCTTGCGCTGCGGCGATATGGTCTTGATGCCGCTCTGCTGCGCCTTCTGTCCGTAACTGTTCACCGGCGGTATGGTCTTGATCTGGCCCTTGTGCACCAACCGGTTGGGCGGTTTGTCGTCGGGCATCAGTTTCATGGCGTGGTTGACGGTCGGTTTGATGGCGCCCAACGAGGAGGGTTTGTTCAGGTATCTGGGTGTGGCGCCGTTGAGACCGCCCGCTTTCTGTCTGGGCACGTAGCGTTGTTGGTTCGTTTTGTTCAGTAAGACGTTGTTGTTCAATTGGGATGTGCCGGGCACCAGCACGTTGCTGACGATCTTCACTTTGCCTTTCTGGCCGTTGAGCGTTTTCGGTTGGGGAGCAGGCAAAACCTGAAATATTGGGCGATTATAGATGATAAATAAATACGAAAAGCTCAAAGTCATTTCCACACAATGTTCATAAAATGAACAACAATGGTAGATTTCGGGAGAAAAAAACTTTTTTCCTGGCTAGTGCCGCGCAGAACATCGAATAACATCCTCCCGAAATCTATGCATCGACTCATATAAACGAATACTGATATAAGTGATTCTTTCCGGAATACCAATTGATTTTGATTTATCCAGGCCACGCTAGACACCTACAGACCGGTTTCGAGCTCTTTGACTCTCATCAGTGCAGGGCAGTCTCCAGCCAGCAGTCTTAAGACCGCCGACTAAGCATAGTCTAGCCAAACAAAAATCATGTCGACATTATATTCCCTCAGAAGCGTCCTCCATTTCCATTTCGGGAGGATGTAATTCAATGTTCTGCGTGGCACTAGCCTGGAAAGTAGTTGTTTTTCTCCCGAAATCTACCATTGTTGTTCATTTTATGAACATTGTGTGGAAATGACTTTGAGCTTTTTGTATCTATTTAACATTTCATTCCACTTTGAGCATTGTGTCTATTTCATAGTTGATTATAGATGAATTTGGATTGTATAGTTTATTTAGAGTCAATTGTAGCGTCTCGCGCCTCGCGTGCAGTCATTTCAAAAGGATCTTCAACCCCGCCATCGCCGGTACGAGAGATGCTCGAATTGACTTTTGATAGACAATACCAAAGATTTAATAATATATCAAGGATCAGTGTTGGGTCCAATTCTTTATCTATTATACATTCAAAATATTGAAAGAATGAATTTGATAGGAAACTATACCATATATGCAGACGATACAGTGCTTCTATATGAGAATAAAAACCCAGTAGTTCTAGAACATATAATAATAATAATAAAGGTCTTTATTATTTTCAAGTAATACTCATACATTTTGTGAATACAAATAAACATATTTTTTGAAAATAAAGGGCGAAGTTCATTTCCTGTAGAGAAACAGTAGCTTCACTACGGAAATGCTCTTCCACTTAACCCTGATACAGTGTGCCAAGGAGAACATGGTGTATAGCCTTTTGATTGGCAATAGATAGTGGGAGAAAAGTGACAGAAAAGGGATGAATACCTTCATGAATTTTTCTATAATTTTTGGGCAGCGAGGTAGAGGAATATCTAGACTTGTGTATTGAATAGTTCATTTTTATATTCAGATCTGAAGCAAGTAATGTTGAGGTTCTTTATACTTTCAGGAACGGAGTTATATAACTGATAAATTTGGTAAGTGAAGGATCGCCTGAATATTTCAGTTTTAAATTTAGGTGGGGATAATTAACCTTTAAATCGTAAATTTAAGTTATGTACATCTGTCCTGAATGATATTTTGTGGTGCAAATATGTAGGAATTTTAAATAAAACAATTTTGTGGTATAAGGTGACAGCGTGATGAATTCTTCTATTTTGCATACTCAACCATCATAAATGAGGACTTGAAAAAAATTGAGAAATGGCTTTATCCCAATCTTCTTTCTCTCAATTCTAATAAGACTCAATATATGATTTTTCGTCAAAGAAATAAACAAAATATTGATCTGAATATTAGAATAAAAAATGAACGTTTGAAACAAACTGCCCATACCAAATACCTTGGTATTTGGATTGATGAGAAATTAACATGGGGAAAGCATATTGACATCCTCATAGGAAAAGTATCTCCCATTATTGGTGCTTTGAGAAGATGTCCTAAACTTAGTACATATACATCAAATATCATTCTCTATTCACATAATATACTCAGTCGAATTAACTATCTCATAAATATTTGGGGATCTTGTTCCAAAAATAGTTTCAAAACAATTTCTGTTCTATATAAAAAGGCATTGAAAGTATTGTATCGTCTTCCATATGACACTCCAACGAATCAACTGTATAAGGAAACAAACACATTTTCTTTGGAAGAGCACTTTTTAATCAATACTCTCAAAATTTCCTATTATATCATCAACAAAAAGCTTAAATCAAATTTTATATTAATCAGGAATTCCGAAATTCATGATCATCACACTAGACAATATAACTTGTTTCATCTTGAAGCTGCAAATTCTAAACTTGGGCAAAAAAAGTTTACACATGAGGCGATTTCGAAATTCAATAAATTACCAGATGATATCAAAAACAGCCCAAATATTATGCAATTCAAAAATAAAGTTAAGAAATATATTTATATGCAAAGGAATGATCAAAGCTGAAAGACCATGAATTTCCTTTTTTTTTTTTTTTTCACTGTTTTTATTTTTCCCCTTCTCGTTCACTATAATATGACTGTAACTTAATGATATGTAAGTTTTGTTCACTATTTGTAATTTCAATTATACAACAGTCGATAATACTTCATGAATGATCTTATACCAGGAATTACTGTCTGATCATTCATGTCATTCCTACTAGAAAATTAATTATACTTTATATATTATTTGTATGAAATGTATCAATGAAGAAAAGAATGTAATGCAATAACTGAAAATAAATAAATAAATAATAAATATGGGTATAAATCATCATAAAAACTGAGGCGACTATCTCATGAACATATTAAAATGATTATCTCGGCTGGTTGTATCTATTTGACAGACTAACAAGTGGGTTAACTGATCACACAACACAGTACATCCTATGTGAATACTTTTTTCTCTATTATTCCTTAAGAATTTCTTTCACAAGAAAAATGAATACCCTATATATTTTTTTGAATACTCAGGTAAATGAGCAGTCTTCAAAATGTACTGTAAAATGAGATTATTTTAAATCACCTGCATCCTTCCTGTATAGAATTTGTAGTAAATCATTCAAGTATGATTATAGCTTTTATAAAAACAATCATGTATAGGGTAATTCAAACTTCCTACCCTTGGCTCATAAGAGGAGGAAAACTGCAAATGCAAATTCGGCAGATGGGATTTGAATAGCCGTGTGTAAGCTATATTTTTTCGTATCCAAAAATTTTCAAACCCTTTTCAAAATGGCGGAAATGGCGTAAGAAAAAAAATTTCTTTTCCATGAAGTTACCATTTTTTTCTCATATTCCAAAACAACATAATTTTTTAGACAACTCTCATCCGAAAAGTGTTTCTGTAAGTTGATTTGGTTATGGAACTCTGAAGTTAGAGTTTTTGAATAAATCTGAACTAATCCTGCCGTAATAAAAATCAAGTCGACCGGGTATTAAGTTTTAATCGGTGTTAATATGAATACAAAATATATCCCAATTCATATTGTTCACAAAAGAAAGTTTATCGGCCGACTTGATTTTTATCACGGTGGGGTCAGTTGAGATTCATTTGAAATTCAACATTCTTAATATTTTACTTTGTAATACCTATACAATGACTTTGTCGATAAGAACTATTTCTTCTGACAATAAAGCATATTTGATGATGATGATTAGCTGTCAAATAAACTGAAGATAAAAAATACTATTTCAATGAAAGAATATGAAAAATAAGAGAAAAAAATGGTAACTTTGTGGGAAAAATGCTTTTTTTGACGCCATTTCCGCCATTTTGATAAAGGTTGGAAATGTTTGAATATAAAATAATACACCTTACACACATCTATTCAAATTCCCTCTGTCAAATTTGCATTTGCATTTTTACTATTCCTGTTATGAAACTAGGGCGATAAATTTGAATCACCCTGTACATACAATATTTGTTGAAAATGAATAATCAGTCTGATAGGAAAAATTTGCCAAGAAACGTTTTCAAGTATCATTATTTGATAATGCTTCAATAGATCCAACAATGTTGACTCCCCTTTGAAGTTATTTTGTTCCCTGACTTCCTAATTTGGAAAGAGTTTCGCATTAGGCATTTTGGGATTAGAGTCACTGGATGGTATTAGTTAGATAAGAGTTCTGACACAGAAATGACAACTGTTAGTGTTTTTAAATATTTAAATTTATCAAGTTACACACCTTGCATTGTGACAAGAACACCATTGTCGTTTTGCGCTTTTTCTTTCAAAATTGTTTGGATTTGAATATACATTTTATGAACGTCAGAATTGAGATATAATTTCATAATCTATTGAGAAAAGAGTGTGATTGAAAATGTTCTGCTGTGTGATGAGTTGTGGGAATTCTGTGGAAGGAATGTATGAAACGGCCTGGATGGAAATTTGATTTGAAAACAAGCAAAATTTGAGAGGTACATACATTCAGATTGACTTCTTATAACAGCAAATTAGAGTGAAACTAGAATGAAACTATATGTCGGCCCGTTTGAGAGAATCTGCTGTTACATCCATTTACAAAACAAACTATTTCAGGTACAGTGTTACATAGAATGATAAGGAACTAGCTATAAGTATATGATGAAGAGCCAATAAAGACTCCAAAGCTTGAACAGAAACAAGAGTACACTTTGTTTTTCTTTGACTGAATACCCAAAGGAAATTCTAGTCTAATCCTCTCCTCTATAAGTATATCCATATGTGTCTATTTTGTCATATTAAAATGTTGTTACATGCATGCTTTTTGTTTTTATAACTGTTGTTCCGTGAAAAGTGTATTGCTATAAATTGAAGTGGGCGTTTATATATACCCTATTCCCATTTTCCATCGATGGCTATGACAGAAAATCTAACCTCTAAAATCGTATCTGACAATCAGGCACTACTAAGGAAATTGAAAAGACATAGAGCAGAATATATCTCTTATTCTTTTATTCACTCAAACCATTGTAATATAGAAAATATAAAAGGACAGAAGTTCAGCTGTGTCCGAACTCTTATCTAAAGAATACCATCCAGTGACTCTACTTGGGATAATTCTATGCACTTCACAATACTGTAATGGTCCAATTCGCGAAATCTCCCACGATACTCACATTCGGCGCCGGGAAGTTGTTGGCCGTCAACAGCTTGTGGCTCTGCGGCATATCAGACACGGTAGAATCAGGACAACTATTCTTGACGAAAACATTGTGACCCCTGTTCTCGACGACGGCCGAACCTGGAGCGGGCGTATTCCCGATAACCCCCACGCCCACAGGCGCCTCAACCACGCCCTTCTCCCCAGCCGCCGGCCCCGCCCCGAGCGCCTTGACCACGGTCACCGGCGCGCTCAGCAGCGTGATGGTCGGCGACTTGACCGCCGCGTTCGTCACCGTCAGCGGCGCCGAATTGACCAGCGTGAAGTGCGGAGCGCTCGGCACGCCCGAAGTTACGCACAGCGTCTTGACCACCGTCAGCGGACCGGAGGGGTTGAGCACCGTGATCAGCGGCGGGTTGACCGCCTTCTGTAAGAGTGGAGCGGCCGGGTGGTTGGTGACGACCAGCTTCGCGATGCCTTTCGCCGTCTGGATCTGCGGCGCTTCCGGTTGAATCACGGGCGGGTGGACGATTGATTGAGCGGTCAGAGGTGAGGACTGGCCGGCCGCGTCGGGCTCGTTCAGCAGGTGAGATGAGGAGGAGGTGCTCACCGAGCTCGGTAGCATGTTAGAAGTTTCGTAGCATACACTCATGGTATCCAGATGTGGCGTGCTCGAATCATCTTCCTTGTCGATGAGACTGGGAGACCGCAGAAGGTAACTGGTGGCTTCCCCACCACCACCCGTCGATTTGTGATCGGTGGTATCCAGGTCAACAGAGTTCTCTGAAATCCGGAAGTTATCATTTTAAGTCACCAATAAAGTCATCATCCTAAATGGGTGGGTATCAACCCAATTTTCATTAGCTATAGTGTGTGTCTCACTTTAAATGGCCTCCCATCTATATCTCAGCTATTGATCGTGCGATTCTTACTGAATTTGGACTGGTATGAATAACTCAATTTCAAATCAAATCATATTAGGCATTTTCTAACAGGAATACTAACCTCTTCATGGTTTTAAACGGCGAGGTAGTATATCTTGTGTAACCTTGTTACTTGATGAGAAATTATGATACATTTAAATAACAACCTGGTTTTAAATGATAACCCTCAATTTAAAGGTATGCAAATTGGGATAGATCTTTGGTAACAAAAGTTAATATTTAAAGTGTCTGACTATATTATATCACAAATTGTGCATCATAATAATACCAATAAGCACTTCTAGAACTGAAGCCTACAGAGGTTATTCGAACAGATTACGTTAAACAATATGACACAGAACTGTATCAAATACCAAAGTGATCACTGGGGGTACATTGCATAATTACTTAGTTTCTACGAAACATTTGGTATGTATGAATCAGAAATTGTGATGAATAGTCTTCCTAACAGTCCTTGTGGTAGTTTTTAAATGAATATAAATTGGAGTAGTCTTACCAATTTTGCAGTTACTTGTTTGGCAACAAACACCAGCATACAATCGGAATACCAATACTATGAGCTGTAATCCTATTGTTATCATAATATGTCAGTGGATGGGCTCAGTAAAGTTTAAAGAAAAGTTTATTATTGTAACATAAGATTCAACTAAGTTAATTAAAGAACTGTAACAATAGTATTCAACATTAACGTCATTAATATTGTATTACAAATTACACATGTAAACGTCAATTTACTTGTCTATGATCCCGAGACCGGCTAACCGAGGCCGATTGGGGACCACTCCTGTTACTGAGATATGTAAGTTATGTAATAAGAATAAAATATTTCAAAAAAAGATAAGCAGTGTAGTACAGAGTAATCAAATCTCCCAGCAGGTTCCACAGTTACACTTCTTTACAACTTGAAGTGTTGACTGCTAGACGGTTTTCAACATGGGATGCCTTGGTTACGAACAGCTTATGTATTTTCACATGGAGGATCCCCAAATAACTTGGAGTTTAGAACGTACAAAAGAACGGAGGAAACGAAAAAACAAAGTACCAAAGAGGAATAGAAAAAATAGAATAAAAGTATCTTCACAATACTATTTCCAGAATCAGTAGACTGATAAGAAAGAAGTATAGTATATCCAATATCAATTGCAGAATATCCCGCACTGTGCGGCGTCGGCGTGTTTGAAGTTTCCATTGAAGTGACTGCAGGTACGGAACGAGATTCTGCTATTGTTTTTGGGTGAACTATATCACAGTTACCTAACATATCTTGGATGATGTGCGGACTTGTGTGTAGACCAGTGCTGGAGGATTAATAATCCCTGAATAGGATATTTTGTCCCAAAACTGAGGACCAAACTATATAACAGAAAAGGATGATTGATCCCACCAATCGTGGTTTTGTTAACCCAACAAACTGGATTTTACTTTTCTGAATACCACTCCAACCTACTACTAAACAGTTGATAAAAAGGCTGCTCTTCGCCAAAAGAGGACGGACTTTGCTAAGCGCTAGTTCAAGTCATGTCAATATGAATATGTGTATGATGAATATAAATTTGTCATGCATCCAAAAATAAAAACGTATACTTGAGAAGTTTCTATTAGTATTTATTTTACTTTTTACGAATCCTGTTCAAAGTGAGAGCCTCTATTACGAATACATGCTCGGCAGCGTCTTCTTTCCATCTTTGATATTCTAGTTGTCAAATTATTTTGTATGTGCACGGCAGTTGATAAAAAGGCTGCTCTTCGCCAAAAGAGGATGGACTTCGCTAAGCGCTAGTTCAAGTCATGTCAATATGAATACGTCCTGTATGATGGATATCACTTTGTCATACATCCAAAAATAAAAACGTATACTTGAAATCTATTAGTATTTACTTTTTACGAATCCTGTTCAAAGTGAGATCCTCTATTACGAATACATGCTCGGCACCGTCTTCTTTCCGTCTTTGATATTCTTGTTGTCGAAATATTTTGTATGTGACCCCACAAAAAATAATCAAGGGGGGTTAGGTCAGGGCTTCGCGCTGGCCTACCTATTGGGCCTTACCTGCCAATCCAACGGTTAGGATCTGCCGAACGATCAGCCGATAATGCGCTGGACAACAGTCTCCTTGGAATATCATTCGTTCGCTGATGGCGAGAAAAACATCCTCAAGAAGCTCTTTTAGATCATGCCGTAAATATTGTTCATACATTCCCCCGAGGGGTAAATCACTGAGCAAAGTCGTGTACACCGGACTGCCATTCATACTCGGACTGCCAAGACTGCCACCGGACTGTCACGGACTGCCACCGGACTGCCACGGACTGCCACCGGACTGCCACGGACTGCCACCGGACTGCCACGGACTGCCACCGGACTGCCACCGGACTGCCACGGACTGCCACCGGACTGCCACGGACTGCCACCGAAATGTAATGGACTATATCACTCAATCATGTGTTCCAATACAAATAAAGCTGTTTTTTGGAAATTTCAATTCACCACAAGAACAAAGTTGACGAAAACCGTTCTTACTGAATAAGTACTAGAAATGCATTCCCGATGGTGATTAACATAGAAGAAATAAATCATCAACCGTGACCTACGATATGAAGATCTCATTGGAAACCTATGGCATAAGAAACTGATCCGGAAACTATAACATTCCTGTATATAACATAACATATCTCGTTAAATCTACATGAAATGAAGATATTTTTTGCGGTGCAATGGGTTGAAGTGGAAATACACGTCAATAGTACAGAAAGCCGATGTTTTCATTCTTCTGTCGATTCGCCTGAAATGTTCAGCACAAAATTTTCGAGGTTGAACAATACGAATTTTGAGTGAAAATGTGAAAATTTGAAAATTGATATACTTATTTCGTTCATTCCGTTTGGAAAGTCAAATCAGGATTTGTCTTGGTTCGTTAATATCTCGGTAAATACGAATTTTGAATTGTATTTGAGGATTTCAGATTCGCCCTAAAATGCCTCAAATGAAAACTCTGGGGGTTTAAAGTTTGAGATATCAGAATTCCGAGTTATATATTCAAATTCAAACGATTTTGTCATTTCCTTATCAATTTGTCACCAAATCGTGGTTGAAAAATACGCATTTTGAGTCGCATTTATGGCGTCCCATAAGATGGCGGACGATTTCAACATCCATTCTCTTTCGATTCGCCCGATTCATGGATAAATAATAATAATCATTAATTGATTTAACGATTCAAAATCTACAGCGTTGACATCATTCTAGATGCCACACAGTGTGTTTATTGAAATGCATGTAAATTCGTGATTCTTATACTTGAAAATTATTGTCAACAGTATACAGTGTGATTCACCACAAATATTCTTTCCTGATGTAATTGGGTTATTCCTAAACCACATAATTTTTTATAACACGTAAACAATATCGTTGAACATTAATTTCTACGGTTTTTCCAAATTTTGAAAACATTCCAGAAATACTTGAGTTACAGGTCGATACATATAATTATGGTGAATCAGATATGTACAAGGATTGAGGCAGGTATAGATAAATAAATTCTTAAACAGGTACTGCTCTGAGATCTATTTTCTTATTGAAATTTTGTGAATTCTTATTGGTTAAATACAGTATAAATACAAAATTGTTAATAAAATGTAGTATCCTCTCTTATGCAGAAAGAATATTCTCCTTCTTTGTATTATCTATATATTAGGTCGAGCTAGGTTAGATTGTTTAGAAAAATTAGTCTCCCTTCTTATGCAGAAAGAATATTTTTCTTCCTCATATTATATATCATGCCGAGTTAGGTTAGGTTGTTTGCAAAAAGAAGTCTCCTTCCTTTTTCGGAAATGATTATATTTTATGTCCTAGAATGAGTTCAAAACATATGAAACTTGATAAAACTACCGTTTTAAATGTTTCCTACTTTGCGCTCAATTACAGCATACCTTTTTTGGGACGTGCGTGCAATTGCACTATGGGATAAGGACGAGGATTAGGACCGAGATTAGGACACACTGTTGAGAATACTGACCGCTGGGCGCAATTGCAGTATGCCCATAATACACAAAATTTGCGATGGTATCAACTCTGGAGCTTGAGATCCCCAAGGTGAACTTTTTTTATTCAGGCGATTCGGACAATAAATGACAAAGTTTTTCGTCCCATTATAGGCGCCATCTAGAATTTCAAAACTAACTCGAAAATCATGATTACTCCAAGAATAACTGATTTCTTTTCCCCATTATAGGAATTACCTTTCGTGCGCTCCACGAGATGAAAAAAAACTGACGCCTCCCTACAGAAGCCATCTTGTTTTTTAAAATTTGGACTCGAAATTCGAAATTGCCAATCTCGAGAACCCCTTCTACGTGTACATTTTCAGGTAAATCAGAGAATAAATAACAAAGTCGCCGCCACCTTGCGAACGCCCTCTTGAATTTTCAAATTTAGAATTCCATTTGTGATAATTGTCGGATTACGAGAGACGAGACGAGAGACCACCAGACTACCACCGGACTACCACCGGACTGCCACCGGACTGCCACCGGACTGCCACCGGACTGCCACGGACTGCCACCGGACTGCCACGGACTGCCACCGGACTGCCACGGACTGCCACGGACTGCCACCGGACTGCCACGGATTGCCACCGGACTGCCACGGACTGCCACCGGACTGCCAAAAGAATGTACACCGGACTGTCCCAGTGATTTACCCCTCGCATTCCCCCGTTTACTTTGTCTAGGAAAAAATGTGGTCCTATTCAATATCGGTCAATGAGTCTCATCCACATATTTACAGAAAACTTCCGTTAGAAACTAGTTTTCCTTGATGAATGAGGGTTTTCTTCGGCC